GTAGAATAAATACATAGTAGTTTAATTTCTAAAAAAACATTAAAATGTATGTGTGTAATAAAAGAAAACAACCATACCACAAGCAAGTAATGATCAATACTATTTGTTTTAATTGCTTTACGTGAGCTACAAACGATCGTGAATTTAAAAATATTGAAACCGAGCAGATATTTCTCATTTCAGTTTTTTATTGAAATTCAATTTAAATTTACTTTTTAACAGTAATACGGTAAATTATATGTTGAAAGCATATCATATTTTAATTTCGTTTTCGTCATTTTCTTACATTTATATTAAGCTTTCAATATTTGCAAGATATATAGTTTTAATGTAAGGTCTAAAATACTAGACGGTGAATCTGATAATTTTTAGAGTTTTTAACAGCTCATTTTAGAAACGAATTTCTCTTGTATTTTACAGCAAAAGCACTAGCTTAATGTACACGTAGATAGTTGACAAAACTGTAGATACATACAGCCAGAAATAGCTTTAGTAACTTTGTGAAATTGAAGATAAACATTTCACATTGAAGGGATATTTATATAGGAAATATATACATATATAATATAATTAAAATTAGATTTTAGATGATAAATTCTGTCATGTTGAACTTGACAAAAATTTGAGCAATCATATTTTTTAAAGACAAACTTTATAAACCAACTCTTATATTCATGAAGCTGTCCTTTATCTGTCTAATGTCGATGTATAAATATAGCTACTTATTTGAATGCAGTTACGGTTAAACTGTTTATTTGAAGATATTTTATTATACATACTATCTAAATTACTTTAAACATACCATCTCGTTAAATAACTTACATTATCTATCAGTTTATAATAATAAAAACATTGATAAGTAAAGTAATTACGATATATAAAGACAGAGTAACCAATGAAAATAAATACTTTATCATATAATTACTATAATCATGTACAAATATGTAGTACTTCTACATATAATAGTGTACGTTATGTTCCATTTATGGTTTAAGATAAGTAGTTATAAGTACAAGCAAATATTGATTGATTCAATATTGTAAAAAGTAAATTCATATTTCAATGGATACTATACAATGTAAGAGTAGTAATTTAAATCTAAAAAAAAATAGAAGGGGATTTTTTTCAAATATTTTTAGTCGTGATTATGATTTTTTTGTGTGGAATCAACACCTGTTGACCACCTGGTTTATGGAGATGATGATATGCAAGTCCACAAGAACTGTCTTTTAGTTCCTTACGTGTTGCACGTATCCCCCCAGGTGGTGGCAAAAGAGTATCAAATGCGAGGTCAATGAGGTCAGATATGATAACCCGACCCCATACTTGCCGGACGGTAACTGAGATCGTGAGAGGATTAAATGGCCCCTACAAGAATGGTGCGGAAACGAAGGGGGATACTAACATAACTATTTTCTCAAGAAAATAATGGTAGGCATGTCTTTTTTTCACACTTTTCTTCGGGCATGTGGCTAGAGGTAAATCAAACAGTCTAGAGAAACTTATAATCACTGGCTACATGGAAGCGAAGAGGAGCAAAGGACGTTTGCCCGTGCAATGGGCCGAAGCATTTAGGGAGGTCTTAGAGAAGCAGATATAGTCCAATATTTACCTGATTTAGAATCGGGGCCTAGAGGGCTGAGATGACAAGAGCAACCTGCGATAATCACTTTCCTTAGCCATGAGGACACGACGAATAGAAAGAGTTGGTTTTAGTTTAAGGTCTACGAGAGAAAAATGTTTAGACAGAAATTCTCTTCATCAATAATTTAGGTTAATACTGAATATTATACATACTACAATTTGAAATACGTATCTGTTTTAAATCTCTACAAATATTTCTGGTATTCTTTTGTATATTTTAATCTTGTTGCAGTAATTATAAAACCCGAATGCGTATTGATCTCTTTACTTTTACATCGTTGGTTTTCAATCATGCTTGCCGATTCTTTTAATATACATTTTCAATTCGAAAAAATAAATATTATAAAGGTTTACTATTCCAATGGACAATTAAAAAAGATATGTACATCAATTTTTTTGACTTCCGTGTGTACGAATAGAGATAAAGACCGTCCGAGAAATGAGGTGAGGGTAATATCAGATCGTGGGTCTATGGTTATGAAAGCTATAAAGTAGAAAGGCTTTATGTCAACGGGATAAAAAACTAGTGGTAAATTTCTTCATATATTTCTGATACTTTGCTAGTTAATGGTAGTGAGCTAAAAACGTTTTCCTTAAGAATTATAATATCATTGGATTCAGTTAAAATAAGTAGTTCGGAAATTTTAGTAAAAAGAGTAGTCCACTCCAAATTTGACGATTATCTGTACGTTAAATTTTTAAATTTTATTCACCTTATTTTTACAATAATGATATAAATAAATACTATTGTCAATTAATGTTACTGGTTTGCATGTGGTAAGTGTCACACATAAATCAACTTATAAAAGAAAACTGCTTCGTCTTTGTTGTCTAATATTAAATTAACATTACATTTTCACAAACTGGAGTTTTGTTTTTAAACTTTTGATTGACAGATTTTCCAAGGAAGATGAGAATTGGTACAGCATAAACAATATTGATTATTTTGTTGAAGTATTTGATTGCTACATTTCTAAAGATTTGTACTCAATATATAATAATGATATATTAATTTCATAAAATTATTGCGTTTTAAATTTATATTCTTTTGATAAGTAAAACGTAATTAAATGCAGACTTTCAATAAAATACAATATGTAATACCTTTCTTGATGTGTAATACTAAGGTAATCGTAATAAGGTAGGTTTCAGAAACAAAAAACTCTTATAGGGTAAATACTTATTTAGACAGGAAATTAGATATTTTTTCATAAATTCAATTAAAAAGTTATACCACATGATAATTAATTTTAACTTATAAGATATTTTATTTCAATAAGTATATAAATATATATACTTGTATATAAATGAAACATAAAACAATAGCATTATTACAAAGACATCTAAATCAAGCTAGGCGCCTATAAAATTAATAAAGCAATAATCGGTTCGATTACTTTTCATTCTGCAATTTATTGATAAACAACGACAAATTGTGGTTACGCCCAACATAATCAATCATTCTCTCGTACGTATAATCCAACCTATAGCAAAATGTGAGCATAAACTTTGACATCGAAATATTTTAAACAATATAAAGATATCTTTATAAACTGAGAGATACCGAAGCTATTAGCATCCACAATCCAATTTCTTTGTTTAAAAACAAACGAAATTGAATATATAGAAAGCACTGCAAAAATCAATTCGTTGAACTGGGAAACTAGAAGTTCCTGTAGTATTGAATAATATATATAATTTACTATTATGATTTGGGGTTATGTAATCCCAGTGCGCCGTGCACTGCAGATACATACCCAGGTATTTAGTAACTAAGAACACGTACTGTTTCACTACTTATTGACTGCGGTTTGTTTTTGCTAAACAAAATAATCCATAATCCATCTTTTACAGTTTTGGGTTATACATGTATTTAATTATATTGTATTATTTTTCAATATCTTTATTTTACATAAACATAATACATTTTTAAAATACAAGAGTTCATAATAGACACGATAAAATAGGTCGTTGTAATAAAAAATCTGTGTAATTTTTTGTAATTGATGTTGTGTTCTCTGGTATCACGAAATTTCGAGTATATTGCAATGAAATTTGGTTACACTGCGTAAGCCTCGAAAACGTGCCAGGGTTTTAAATTGATTAAAAAATCACCGCTGAAAACTAAATGTGAAGGTAATATTAACTGTATTTTAATATTCTATCAAAATAATCACAAAAATTATTTACGTAAAATTTTAATTAGATCAATCTTATTTTAATTTTTTTTTTTCTATCGTTGTACCATGTTTAAAAGCCTTTAATAATGTTACACAATATAACATAAAGTTACAGTAAGTTATAACGGCTATTTGGAACTACTTACTTTAGGCTCTAAACCAAACGTAACAGTTGTGACATATTTACACCTATTAACGACCATAATACTAAATAAATAACATCAATATATTTACTAAATACTAATTAGTTAAAACGCTAATTTTCACAAAGTCCTATTTCATTGTATAATCTCTTAGTTTCTAATTTAAATGTCGACTTTTATTATTGTTTATATTTACTTTCGGATGTATTAAATAGGTGTATGAATTATGTAATTTATATGGATACAATACGAGATTACATTTTTTTTGACTATATATAAAACAAACATTCTTATTAAAATATAAATATTTCGTTAGCTTTTAAATTAGATTTATTAATTAATTACTATGATATTACTTTTCTCTAGAAGAAAATATTAAACAACAGAGATTCCTGTCGTGTTATGGTATTCTTAGTGTAATTAAACAAATATCATAACGACTGTAAACTTCTAACAATCGGTAAACATTTTGAATTTGTACACAACAACAATGAGAAAAGATTATGAAGACTTACAAAAAACAGAAGTGTTGAGTTTTTCAGATGTTAAAAGTCATCTTCATCATTCTTTAACACTAAATTCATGTAATAAAGTTTAATATAGAAACTCATAGCGTAGTTATAAATGCAAATCATACTAACTTAAGGTTGTCTTCGATTCAAACTATATCCTATTAATAGAATGGACGGTTACACATATTGTCAGTAATATCGACCATCGAGCTTCAGATTTCTAGCAATGTTTATTATTATATGAGACGACAGTTACATTTAGACTAACTGTAATCAGGAGAGAAGACAAAATAGAATACGTATATTAGTAGAATTATATGAGAGAAACTACTAAATTAAACTTCATATATTATATACTTTACTGCAAATTTATAAACCAGTAAATGCTCAACTAATCTGACACTGCCACTAGCTTATCCCCAATATAGAAGTTCTGCATTGTCATGTTTTTAATCTGTGACCAGAACTCCAATCTCGAATAAGTATGGAAATTAAATTACTAAGTGCATGACAACAGAAGGATGTGTACGAGTAAATGGATAATTGCTATTGTATTTTTGTTGACGCTGACTCAAGCAAGGGCCCAGTATGTCAATACCACCTGCGAGGAATTTGAAAAAGATGCGAAATTTGATCCTTTTGAAATAATGGATTCTAAATGGAAAATTATCTATTTTTGGTCCTCAACTGTAGAAGCTAATCCAGTTATATTTTCATTACTTGCAGCGAAGGTACTTAAATATACATTGGTATTTATTTTTATTTTTGTTTCAATTTATAAACTAATAATAATATTTACAAACTAAACATAGAGATTAGAGAGATTTAAAGAAGTGGTGAATGCTCTGGAACCAGACCTACGTCCTGAATGGGATAAAGCTGCTTTCATGATGGAGCCCAAGCCTGGAGTTCAAGTAGTTATGCTCTATTTGGGAACAGCTGGGCCTTCCGCGGAATCGTCAAAGTTGAACAACGTTACAAAGGTTAGAAAAAATAAATAAAAATATAAACCTTCATTAATTTTTTATATAAAATCTATTGCTCAATAGAAAATACATATATTATAAAAACATTGAGACTATCTTAAGGACAGCTTATTTATTAATAGTATTAATATCAATGGTAATTTCATCCCTTTTTCATGTTTCTTTTGTCCTCGCAGATAAGAATGGAAAGATTTATTTGTTCCAACACTTTTGTTTAAGAAATAACTACTTCTTGTCACGTTATTTATGCGTTTGTATGAATGCAACACAAAATTACAGAAACGCCGTTGCATTAAATTACTTAAAAATATTTTATTTACCTATTGGTTTAAGCGATATATTTAGGTTAAGATGTAAGTAAGGAAAAACAAATATATTTAACTAATTTACTTTTCTAGTTATAAATGATTCTGAATTGTAGGCTAGTAGGTTAGTATCATGAGTCCTTATGCCTTATGTGCCTGTCAGCTGGTTTTCGCCCTCGTCAAGAGCGTACTGTGTAATAAAGGTGTGACAGTAATACTCCAGCTTGTACCCCAGCCGCGCCATTTCCGCTCCTAACTTTCATGACTTGACTCATAATCATAATAAACAGACCGCTTTTTAAACATATTTTTTTCACGATGTTTCCTAATGCTTGCTGTAACTGAAAAGCTCATTAGTCGTCAGTAAAGTGTATATAAAATACCAATGGCCGTCGTGGAAAACAAAATGCTCGAGTTGATATTTTGATGTTTTGTTTGTGCAATATTATTTCTTACACTTTAAATAAATACAAAAAAATAACGTGAAATTTGGAGAAAAAACAGAATATTTAAGTATTTCTGAAGTTCATATCTTGTGAGGGACGGGAGAGTTTTCAAACTGTCAGTACCAGTCTGGATAAAGACAAAGAAAATTTTAATATGAAACTTTTCTTAGACTGCCATGAAACTTTAATATTTGGACAGAAAATAACATTGAAGCTTAATTAAAACACAACGCGAGTCTTTGAAATTCTAAACTATTTCATTTAAGTAAAGTTCATTTTATAATTATTTTACAGATCGACCGATTCCGCCGCCGCTCATAAAACTTGCTGATTTAAGATTTAAATTAATAGACAGACATATGGCTATGATGTGCTGTGAAGACATGACTGCATTTGTATTATCTAGAAACTAAAGAAGTACCTTCCTCAGAAGAGGAATGCCTACAAATTGCAAGTAAATTTGGCCTGAAAGGGGGTTAAAGGTAGATCACACTTCTACCTAAAAACTCTGACACGTACTGAACTTGTGAACATGAAAATTACTAATAAATAGTCAAAATAATTAAAAAAGAAATTAATGTATTTTATTTTTACAAACTAATAGTGTTCCATGCTTTTGATTTGCTCTAATGACAATTCTTGCGGTAGAGATAGCGGAGTAGTGGTTCACCGCTTACGATGCGTCTAATATCAACATACATATGTATGTATATATATAGGTAATAGATATGGTAATTTGACCCTGACTCAATTCAGGGCTAAATTTACGCAATGATAATTAATTTTATAACAATTTTTAATAAACTAAATCACATATGAATATATCATATAGGCAGCCAATGATTTTCTATGTAAGCTATGACCGAGTAAGTGATATGTATATATCCAACTTCCTTCCCTTAGTGGATTCTTGAGTTTGTTAGTGAATAATGCGAAAAAAACAGAGTCCCTGTCTCCCAATAAATCTTCGATCCGTGCTAAATCCTTCTCAGCCTTTCGCTTTGGGATTACAGTTATTATATACATAAACATCCAAGTACAATAAGTGAAATAGTTTTTAAATAAAAGGCCAAAGGCAACTTCTAAGATAAATCTGAAAAGTTTATTATAGTGAATTGTATAGATAGAGGTTTTTTAAAGGACCATTTATAACCTAGCAGTCCATTTTTACATAAAATACAATATTATGCTACTATGTTTATGGCTCCGTGGTCGAAATCTGCATACAATACGTGGTATCTTGAGACCCCTTATATTCAAGACAACAAATTTATTTTTCCTTCGAAGCGCACTAGACGTCAACAAATAAGGTTATTTTTCAAAGGAGGTTTATTTATTTTCAAGATGGCATGAAGACCAAGTCAACATTACTTTTCAATTTTGTTTCAAACTTGTTGATTTCTTAAAACATTTACATTATTATGTAACTATCTATTATTATATTGTTGGTCGTAATAAAAACATTTAGCACAGAATAAACCAAGATTACTTTTGTATCCGTCAAGTGTTCTAATAGATGATATTAAGTTGTAAATTGATATAGGATAAGAGAAAATGAGTCTATAAGCTGAAAATAATGACAACAAACACTACAATATACGCCAAGCGTTATCGTACATAAGATATAATGTACTCATTACATTGAAAAACTTTGTGGTAAAACATGAATGGTAAGATGTATACAAATAGTACATGTAAATTAAATGTTATGTAATGATTATAATTAATTATAAGGATAGAAGAAATGAATAAATGAATTTAATCATCCCGCTTTAGAATATGAACAATGACAGTCACGAATGTAAAAACAATTGTCGCTTATTCTGTCATTAAATACGGAACCAGATTTTTATCTGTGCTATAAATAATAAGATTTATTTTATTTGCCATTTAGTTAAAAATAAACAAAAACTTTAATGGAGCTAACTTTCGAATTTTATACATATTACTAATGATGTATTAGAAATGACATTGTTTTAAAAATTGAAATGAAATTATTAAGTACTCGAGCCCCTAAAAAAAAATCGATTATTGCAACTTCATTACAATATAACAAAAGTCCAAGAACTTTCAAAAATTTCAATGTGGACAAAAACTCAACTGATATCGTGAAACAAAATGTTTTAAAAGCCATCAAACATAAAATCAAAGACGATTTTGAAATCTCCTCATCCAAATATTTAACTCTGAATATACCTAATAATCATAAAAAAGATGAAAAAAAATGCAATTCTTACATTTTATATGGCATGTAAAAAATATTATTATTTTTTCGATCTGACTTTTTATTATAGACGATTTTCACTTGGATACAGGCTGTAGGTGCGACGTAATATATTCAAAAGTGCCATCGTTGAACCTCGACAGGAGGCCTTTCAGAGGGCTTGTTTTATTAAAATGAGAAGATTTACTGTGACTCAAACAATCCTCTTGTATTAAATTTAATATTAACTGAGGACTTTACCCTAAATCACCGGCCTACATGTTTATAGGAAATAATAACCTTATTAACTGTAATTTATATGTAACAAATTAATTTATCAACAAAAGCCATCGAAAATAAAGAATTCCGACTCATAATTTCTATAAAAAATATCGTTAAGTTAAAATTCCTCTATGTAGTGCAGAATAATTTTGCCGTGTTTGAAAAAATACAAGAAAAATACAAGTAATAGTTTTATCATAAGAAAATTCTATTATTCTGTACAAAATAAACTTAAGCCGACCGAGTTACTATTTTCTGCTCCAAATGGGCTACCTTCGTCAAAACGAGTTTCCTCTAAATCCATTGAGTCCTAAGTCCCACCGAAAAAATGATACGAATCAGATAATATTGTCCCCAGCACGTCTTTTCATTTACAGTATTCCGGAGGAATTCCTATTAGTTTTAACGTACTTTTGCCGTTCGACGTTTTCCGTAAAAAGTTCTTTTCTAAACGAATGTTGGTTCCTCCAGACAAAATGCTTGACACAGCATTAATATATCTACTATATAGTTTTATTTACGTATATTAAAATTTTCATTTAGTTTAAGTATACATATTTTTTTTTATTTCTAAGACATTTACACAGTTTATATTGAAAAATGTAATATGTCAATATATTTGTTAACAAACGTTTTCATTCTTTGACTAGAATGGAGTTTTTATGAACGTATATTGAACCAGCAATAGAGAGCTTATAACGTAAAACAATACTTAGTCTCGTTATGCGAGCAATATTCTCTTCATAAATTTAATGTCTAGCTTTAGGTACGCGAGATTAAATTTTGTTACAGGTAAGATTGATGATTTTGTAATCATGTGTTTAATGAAAATCAAAACGCAATCACAATAAAATGATACAGGGATGAAATAAAATAACAACTATTTCCTCCATTTCTGGCAAGTTGCCAAAAACTTTTTACAAGTTACAATTTTTTTATAAACTCCGACCAAACCTCTTATGAATGCTGATTGAATAAACTGTAGTTAGTTTATTAAGTTGTTGATGTCATTTAAACTTATGTCGTAAAGAACATGCTCACTTTTTTTTTTAAGTTTATTGGACATTAAGTGAAACTTTTTTGTTGTTGCATAATCAATTTAAAATAGTATTAATTGACATGGTTCAATTTATTTGTTTTGTATTATTTTCTGCTAAAAACAAAACCAATACCAACAGTAATTATGTAAACAAGAATCAATTTTAATTCTGGTCATCTCTGAATTATAATATATGTATTTTTATATATTAAAGCAATTAGAATATATTTTTTTTTATATAACGCGTATATTTTATTATGAAAACGTGTAATGTAGAAAATATAAAGTTTCCAAAATAATCTGAATTCTAAGACTGTTTAAGGATCTTATTTTCAAAGTGCTGTCAGTTACGTTCTTAGAAAATTTACTAATTAGCTTCTTTGGTAACTTCGTTATCACTACTTTTTACGTAAGATTCTAAAATAATATATATAAAATTAGTTTGTTTGAGGCATCGCTCGTTATAATTTAAAACATGACTATTCATGTTCAGACAACAACATTTTATAAAATCAATAAATTTCCATTTGTATTTCAATATAATGTTTTTTAATGGAAAGAAATCCGGAAACTCTACTTGTATACAAGATCAAGGCAGTTATAATTAAAAATCAAAAACCAACATTATGCAAATTTTTTAAAAAATTCATTCGTAATAAAATACATAAAATATTTTAAATATGTATATTATTTTAAAAGATTATTATCGCAAATACTATTCAAACATTAAAAATAGAATAATAAGAAATGTATACTCACATATATCCCAAACGTCACAAAACAATTCACTAAGAGAATATTTATTTATTTAATGAACCCAGATCAGTCTCTCATATATTAAATAAAAACAATCGTCAGTATTAAACTTGATAATATTAATCTCATATTTATACCCAACCGTCGTTTATGTTTTTGTAAATAAATACAAAATCATTTATTCAAAATCATGTTTATTTAAACACATGTAATGTAAGTGTTTAATAAATGAGTTAGTTAACAAACGTATGTTTCCATTCCGTGCAACAATATTATCATGAATGAAATGATAAAGCGTATAATAAATCAGCATTGTTATGAGGTACAAAGTAATCAAATGTAAAATGTTGGGGAATGGAATGTTAAGTCGAGAAGTTCTTTCATTACTGTACAAGTGTACACGACTTGTGCCCAAAAACATCTTTCCTTTTTTCCTTCAAGAGCCGGAACCGCTTTTCTCGTCACTTACGCGCTTTGTGGTTCCCAACAACGTGTAGCTTTAATATATATTTTTAATGGCTAATGTTTTTTTTTTGTTTTAAATTATATTCATACATTTTCCTACGTAAATTTAAGCTGACATTTTCATAACTTTTTATAATAGATAATAATACACGAATGTTATTGAAGACAGATTGTATTGAGTTAAAAGGCGTTTGAGAAGTAAATAATATCTTGAATAAACAAAAAATACAAGAGATATAACTCGGTTGGAATGAGGTGTGTTACGAGAGTGAAATTTATATTTCTCTCTATTGTTGCCGACTGCCTTTCTGAGGGCTCGTTCAGGGAGCTTTATTTATATAAAAAAATCTGGTCCCAAATCTTATATATTATTTGGTTGGAGCACACCTAGCTAATGCAGCTAGTAACAAGCTGGTCACGTCGGGACATTATTTATTGTTATGGCAAGACCACCGAGAGAATATCTTTACTATGTAATCTAGTTCGATGACAAAATTTTTTTATATAAAAATTTTATGAAGCTCATGATGACTTTATAATGTATATATTGAATGTACTCAAATATTGGTGCCATATAATCGATACAACGGCAATATCGACATTTGATATTTTTGTAGCAGTTCGTAGCTCGTAGCCCGTAGCTCGTAGCACATGTAGCAGTTGTAAAAGCCCGCCGGCGTAGGTGGCTTTATAAAGCTAACATCAAACAACATGTGTCTATTGTTTAACTTTGGACATTAAAACTTATTGGATTATTTTTATAAAAATAAAAGTTTCATATAAAGTCAATATTTTGAAAGAAAATATTGAAAAAAAAAATAGCAAACAGCTTTCAATACACCAACATATTCCACACTTATTAGTGAAAAATATTTTTTATTCTGGACTCGTGTCCGTCGAATGACTGTGGGATTGAATGCTGTGAAACGCAGCTGCACGGTACCCAAAAAAAAAAAAAAAAGAAAATCACACACACATGTGACATTATTTAAAAATTGTGTCAACACGGCGGGTAAAACGCTACGGTTGCCAGCACTGGCGTCCAGTCGTGTTTCCAGCGCAGCGCCCGACCGCTCTCTGGTCCCGGTAAATACAACAGCCTCCTCTCTCTTGTATGGATTAATCGCAGCCAGCGAGCGAACCAGTTGCGACCCACGCGCTCCCCGCGTACGCTGTCGTCTCGCACGGTACCCTCCATACAATCGAAACTCAGCAAACGTTTTCAAAGCATGCTATTGTTACCTTTTGTGCCGCACTAAGGACACAAATGTCTTCAGTTTTTTATGTTAAAGTAAAATGTGAAGGTAACACACTCTTCCCCATTCTCCCGCCGCTGTTTATTCGCTGTATTTTCCTTATAGTTTTGCGTAAGTATTTTGTTTTTTGTCTAGTGTTAATTTTATTGTAACTTTTTAAATTTTTTTATAGTTTATATCATTATAATAAATACCTTGAAAAAAAAAACTTTTGCTATTTCTTATAGATATTTTAAAACTTTTTACTTTATTTTACTTTGTTTGCTACTCCAAAATATATTTTTAAACAAATAAATTATTTTTAATTTATAAGTTTATAAGATTTAAAATATAATCGTAAAATTATTATGTTATTGCTCGATTGTTTAAGGACTTATGTTGAAAGTTTAATAATGTTAAATTTTAAAAGTAATTGAAAAATTAAACAAAATATTTTGATGTGATTGATTCAAGAACAGTTAAACTTACAGGGAATTAAATAATTTTCTAGTTGTGTTTTAAAAATTATTCATTTGAATAAAAAACATTATACGCGTCCGCTTTCAATGAAAAAGAAAATTCTAATGTCAATTGTCAGTGGGATTAATTAATAAGTCATCTAGGGAAACATACATTAGTAATTATTATTACGATTTATTTACTTATCTTTTCCACTTGATTTATGTGATTTCATTTCAAGCTTACATATTATTAAAAACTACTTTACTACAAAAAATAATATATTTTCTCGTTACTCTATATAAACATATTACACACAATTCAATGCTGCATTTTGTATACCACTACACTCTCTAAAGTTTAAATACCTAAATCAGGTATGATTAACCTGTAAATGGTAAATATTTAATGAATCTAAAATGTATGTAATGAGAGCCTTATTTTAATTAAAGCTCAATATTAATTAAGACTAGAGAATTGGTCAACCCGGAGCGGTCCGACAGGAATGTTAAAAACGCCGAAATAAATTACATAACTAAACATTAAAACAATTTTTTATACATAAAACCGGATGATTATTCACGTTACGTCACGGTTTAAATTTTAAATATATATATATATATATATTATATATATATATATATATATATATATATATAGTACTGAACAAAAAATCGTCATAAAATATTTGTAAATAAATATATATGTTAGCTTACATATTTTTCAGAGGCCGCGTTTATTATCCACTCAACATTTTTACTCGCAATCAAAATCGTAAATTCCTTAACAGTCCATCTAAACTTTAGAGGAAACACATTTAACGGAACAATACTTTAGAGGAAAAAAATATTTTTTCACATTTCCCTCCCTCCGATACAATTCATCGCGGTTCGTAATGTGTTTATTTCATGTTGACACAGCTGGAAATCAGTCGATATTGAATTCACGACACATATGTTACTTTTTATTGTTGTCATAATATTTACTTTTATTCACACAAAAAGAAAACAACAATTTCATTTGATAATTTGAAAAATTATTTAGTATATGAGAATGTTTTAAACGTTTTTTTTGCATGTAACGATCGGTTTAATTTAACAACCTTAACTAAGAATCTTTTTCGATTGGTTCAAAGCAAATAAGATTTCGTCTTTTGGGTTGATATGTAATGAAATTATATTTCCTTCGGTTTTAATTATTGACTTGAGAGTAGGTTTAACGTCTTGGAAAGAGATATAATGCGTACGAATTGAAAAAGTAAGGAGGAACTAAATTTTGGAATTTTAAAATCAATATTTCTAAATTATTGAGAAATAAGTCATAACTTGGATCTGATCCATTACTTTCAAATGAGAATCACTTGACAGAGACCCAAGACCCAAGACCCAGAATAAGTCGTAATTATTTGGAACGGTTTGTATTCAACAATTAACTATAATGACTTCTCATCGTACTCACATATCACGTAGAAATTTATACTGAGAGGTAGCCATATACAACCAGTAGTATATTTTTTGACACCGAGAGAGTCTTACAGGCTATTAAAACCCGAGCTATATTGAAATGTATTTAGAATCTCAATACTATAAAATAAATCGAAGTGTTGAAATATGCTTCCTGTATGAACCCAGAACAATAACTTTCCAATTACCAGTATTTGTGTTCAAAACTAACTTTCGTAAAGTAAAAGAATTCACTTTCATTGAAATGAAAGAAAACTGAAATATTCGTGTTTGTTTTCCTGATTTTTAAACAGTATACACAGAATATAAAATAAACAACTCTTATTTTTTTTCAGTTTAAAAATCCACAACAACACGTATTTTAACTATAGTGATATTTAATCATTCTTATATTGGAGATGATAAACACCGGTTGTAAAAATGTTTTCGTTTATAAATAAAATTAAGATTCTGGAGGCCCGCGGAACTTCTTACCCATTTTCCTTTCTCCCGCCCCCTATTAATATTTCTGTTTTTGTCTCCGACCCCATCCTTCGAATATTCCCCCTTTCTCACTTGCTTACAAACTTGGCGCTTAACCGCAAAATCTCTTGCCCACACGTAATTTTCTTCTGCGGCAACGTACACTTTTTTCATTAATTCGGTAATGCAATGATGGTCAGGATGCCAAAAAACAGAAGAGCAACTTAAAATGTAAAAGGTTGAATGAAATAGCATGTAAAATGTATGCGGCTTGTGCTCCTCTGGCACAGTAATTATGCTTTACATAAAATGAACTCCACTTAAAACTTTATATGTCCCCACCAAATCTTATATGTTGGATCAAAAAAAACATTCTTGATGAAGTACGTCTATTGGTAATTATAAACACAAAATGTACCCTCGTCCAATTGCCTTTTATGAAGTTCGAATGAAAAGAATTTTATTCTGAAATCTTGACGTTGCATAGTATGGCCAGCTTCCCTAGCATAACAAAAACCCTATTCTTAATCACCGCGCGTGTAAATCTGATGATAATAAAAACGTAAATTTAAAAGCTTTAAATTATTGCTTTATATTATCTTTACAAATTGATATATATAAAACATTATATATATCAATTTGTAAAGACATAAATAATCAATATAACGGTTGACGTATCAGAATCCCTCAACTTCAATAAAAAGCTTTTAACATTATCGCAGGGAAACCTTCGTATGCTTTTATATTATTTTATGTGATATCAAATTCTCCATGTTTTGATTTCTTATATTATATCACAATATAGACGATCAGAAAATTCCAGTACCTATATATCGGAAAAATATACAAGTTAATATGTTTTAATGAATAAGTATACATACTTATTTTATTATATCAAATAAAAATTAAAAATCTTATAACAATGGGCTGAAACGATATTTCAATTGTTAACATGTTTTTGAAGTTATTTCGTGAATTTTATAATGAAATAAAAATTTTGTCAATAGTTTATTGTAATCAACAAAAAATGTATATTTTCGTAGGATGTTCCTGGTGATGTATCATTGAAGTGACCATGATTCAAGTGGATGGTTTCAAGCGTTCGTCTCCGTCACCATCTCGATGCTCAGTTTCGGAGTGACAGTCGGGTCTTCAGACAGCCTCGTGTCATTCAAGTTAACCGAGACGCAGCTACAATGATGGACGATGAAGCCAGTGTCAGCGGCATGGGCAATGTCACTGAACCTCCTTGCTCCTCAGATTTCGAATCTAACGTAAATCAGTCGACACATTTTCGATCTCGAACATTCAGTGATGGCTTCATTAGAAACACAAGCCTCGAATTGTTACTGGGTGTTGATTGCGAGGCCTGTCTGGCACTCGCTGCACAACAACATTGCATCAATGAACCCAATACGGAACAGGATTTTGATTTGGTATGCAATTGTAATGTTCGCCAACATAATTAATTGAACTACTACCGTGACTCCGTCAAACAGAAGGGTCATACTCTTAATATTTATGATATAGAAAGAATTAAGAGAGACACGGGACGAAAGTAGTCTTGCTGTCGGTTGTCACATCGCAGTCTCGATAGAAAACATTACAAGAGTAAAACAATAGGCGTTTCAAGTTATATATCCAAGCAGTTAATATCATATGACCCGACTAATACACTCGTACAAAAACTCAAAAGAAAATTGTCTAATCTGAAAAAAGTGAGAGGAGAAAATATTGTGAAAAAACCACATAATGGCCTTCAACTTGCTGAGATGGCATCCACTTCTACTAGCTCCTTAAAAAGGCTATCAATGTTATCAACTTGTTGATAAATCGCAAAGAAAAGTGGACAGTCCAAAATTGCAAATTTTTTTTCTTCAAGCGGTGTGCAATCGAAAGATGATTTTCAAAAACAATGTTACCACTTATGAAAATTTTTCTGTCCAATATTGACCAGTGCTATGACCGGCTTCGTACATCCAACATCGATACATCACAAAAAAACGTTAAAGGAAGAAATTTTGATATAAACGACGAACTAATGCCGAGGAACCCACCTTTGGTGAAATATTCAACACTTGATAATCGAAGCAGGTGTCGAAGTATAAAGAGACAACTCTCGTGTAACGATTTTCCCAGCGACAGGTGTAGGGAACGTGTGGCCCGAGTCATGGTCGCATGACGAGAACTCTTTTGTTTTGGAAATTCAAGGAATGAAGTAGAACGACGAACATACGTTCATAGAAGCTGACAAAGTATTTAAGTCAGAAGTGCTCCAAGAAGTGCTCATGCAATTGTACCTGTTAACTCCATTCAAGACAATAGAATACCATCTATATTTTATGGACACGCATGTAAGTAACTCATGAAAACCTTTTTTATGAGAATTAAAAATTACATATCGCCTACTTCTTACTTGGGCTTTCGTATTCTTTTGTCAGTTTATAATAAATAGATTATAATTATTTCGGAAAACAATCAATATGTTACCCTAGAAATGTTCTTGATTCAAATTTAATACTCCCCTTCTTAAGTTTTGTTTTGGAAAAATATTAAAAAATTTATTACTTATCCAAATACAATTAAAAAATTTTACATAGAAAGCCCAATAAATTTAATGTCATGTGACTATCAATACGGTAATAAAATTTGAAACGGCAGACTTTTTTTTAATCACAATTGACAATTCTCAACCGTTCCCTTTTATTTTATAACAGATTTTTTTTATTTCATCACAAGTGCACGGATATGTTTTACTAGTCACGGAACGAAATCCAATGTTTTATAACTAGTTTTTCATGTTACATAAAAATGTCACTACGGTTATTCTCCCTGGCATTAAACTTACGTCACCCCTATTTCCTCGAACAAAAAATTTCTTAAAAACATAGACAATTTTCTTTCGAGAAATAATAAATTCTCATAAACTGCTTTTCATTTTTAACTGTAGTATAATCTGAAGTTTGCAATTTATATATATTCCATGTATTGTTTACCTTTATCCTTTAAAAACATTCAATGTCATTATTGAACCTACATTTATCGTCAAATTATATAAGATATAAAATAATATTTAAGATAAAAAAAACTCTTGTTCAGAATAAAAGTCGTTTCAGCGATGACAATTATAACATAGGGAAATAAGGTACAAGAGAAAAGTATATTTTTTTAATTACCGTGTTGTATATAAATTAAACAAGTCGTTTTTTAACATTCAAAGATTTGGGTACTTTTTCTTATAAAGTAAGTTTATATTTCAAACAAAAATTAACTCCAAAATGTTAAACAGGGAACAAGTTTTTCTTAAATTAATGAGAATTTGAACGTTTGAAATTGTTTTCCAAATTTTAGTGCAATACATGTTTCTTCATGTTATGATACCTATTATTTATTATTATCATTGTATCTCATACAAAATGTAAAATAAAGCCAAATCGTAAATGAATATTCAATTTAATATAACTCTTCCATGACTATTTTAAAACAATGAAAGGAAACCAAACTTGTACAGTAGATATAACTTAAACCGATTAAACATCAAAGTTTCTTATCTGTTCTTATATCTTACAATAGTTTATTTATCAACACACAAAAGTATTTATTATTTGATAGTGTATTGATTCAAAAACGTATTAAATCTTTTAAAAATATATTTTTAAAAACAACATTGATAAATATATTAGAGTTCGTCCAATTCGTTTTTTGATTTTAAATTTTTTTTTTTTTTAAATTTAATTTGGTCCCTGAATTTTTGTTCCATAAAAAGCTATCTTACAAAAACTTACTACAATATTTATCCAGCCAGCATCAATCAACCCAAATTTAAAAAAAAAAACATATATGAACCACAGAATGTTTAAATAAATTTTTGTTAGATTCAATAATCAATAATAATTAAATTATTATTAATTAATAATCCATTTTATATTGATATTGAATTTATTAGTTCAAACTATTACAACTAAGGATAAATCGTATATATATTTTTAAAAGTCCTCGGTTACTCCCGACTCAGGGTCACAACGTATATTACGCTATCAGATGTTCAAAGGGAAAGGGGGGCTCGACGTGATTGAGATTGCAATCTGAGTTCGACGGAAACCACTTTATCACCACATGTTTGGTCGTTTTCCATTTCACTATGTCCACTCTGGAGATAACTGTGAAATTTTAATTCCAATAATTTTCTACTAAAATTACGTATTAAAAAGACATGTTAGTAATAATGGATAATATGAAAATTAGAATGGGACGTATAAAATATAATATTCTACAGCTAAGGTTCAAATTTTTACTCGAATATTAATAGAATTTTTCATGCAATGTCTTTTGTTCTTGTCTCAAAAAATAAAATTGTCGTGAGCTTTACTAACATTTTAAAATACTTTCTAGTTTTTTCTAAAATTCTCTGACGGTAGAAAATGTCTGACACAATACCATTTTACATTATATTATTTAACGAACAACACAATTTTTCTTTTTATTCTGTATTAATAATGTAACTATTTTTAGGTATTATGAATTTTTTGTAAACAAGTTACTATTGTTACAAGAAAATATGATATATTATCCCGTTTCTATTTATATATGTAATTATTATCCCGTTCTCCTTTTTAAAACTTTTATCAAGCACTCCTCTAAGGGCCGTCGTTTTAATCACTATTTAGCTAGTGGTAATGGCATTCGTTAGTAAAGTTTTGTTTGAAAATGTGCTACATCAATGACTGGTTTACAATAAGTATGTAACGGCAGGGTAAAAAGCGTTCAGCCCCTGCCCCTGACGTTTTACTGACCGCTCCCAGGGAAGAGTTTTGCAGCGCCTGTAAACCTGCACAGTGGTAATCCACCGAGCACCTCTTGCAACTAGCCACAGTTCTACTGTCACTGCTAATTCATCACGTACGTACATACTCCTAATATAACATTATATTCTCGATCAATCTTTATTATATCATCTTAATATATATGTATAACTAAATATAAACTAGAAGATCTATAATAAACTGGCTTCGTTTTAAATGTCAGAAAATCTTTAAAGGTCAAGTAAAGTTTTATATGAATATTAAAAAATTTTTATAAATTTTCACATTAGTACTGAAGTGGTTTTAAAATCAATAAAAATAACAGACGAAATGTGCGCTGAAAGATAGCTGTATCAACTGTATTAAATAGACTCAAGATCAGAAAATGAACCGTTTGAATAATTCCACAAAATTTAGCAGTGCCTCTTGAAAAGGAATATGTAAGAATCTTTCTGGTGTAGAGTTAATTTTTTCACACCCTTTACTTCATTCACTAAAAACAAGATGACGGAAATTAATCTATTGACTGTGAATAATATTCCTCGGCTTTCATTTAGATAACCGTTTGACTCTAAAATTAAAGTGCCTTTTTGATTTTTACATTAATATATCGAGGTCTTTTCAGTTGCGATGACTGTAAAATAAAATAATAAGAGTGTAAAATTAAGTAATAAATTATTATGGGAAAAATGGCACTAATTGGTAAAAAATATATAACTTATTTAAACGAAAAATTTGAACCCTTTCATCTCTTTTATCCAGGGAATGCTTACTTAAAATGTTTTATATATTTATTCTAATATGTTCGGAAAATATTGTGTCTCCATAGATATTAACGATAATATCATAAAACATAAATAATCACGAAAGTAAAATGTGAAAAACCTTTTGCGTAAATAGTAAGAACAAATTTATTAATAAGTAATTAATTAGGAAGTCCAATTCCCGTGGTCATATCAAAGCAATCGTAGTACCCCCCCCCCCTTTAAAAACCGATTTCTATGAATCATCTCTTGTTAGAACCCATCTGTACCTTCCCACCAACAGATCGTGTAATATTTTGACAAGAAGAGTTATCCAGAAGCTTCTGACTGTTATTGGTATGACCTAAATCGATTTCATGTACATAATATAATGTCCTTATCTTTTATACGTCACACGATAAATAGTTTTTTTCCGAGAACAAGACTCCAACAACGAAGATATTATTAGACGCCAATAACTACGTTCAATTAATTAAAAATTCAAAAAGGTCTTTTTAGGCATGATAGAGTAGGTTGAGTTAATTTGTGCTTGATAACTTTTAAAACTTCGTAAAAAAAACCGCGTAAATGCCTATGTAAGTAATATTATTTATGTTTCATAATATTATTGAAATCCTAATAACCCTAGGTTTGACAGCATGGCATCGTCGATGGTGTTGCGTGGCCATACTTGTGTTGGTAGCGGGCACGGCCTGCGTCGCCGGACCGCTTGCTCTTAGGGCTCCTCCTGGTGCACCCTTACACGAAGACTCGTCCGCCTCGCAGAAAGATTACTACACGACACCCCACTTATTGATGGACATAACGATCTACCGTGGAATATAAGAAAATTTTTACACAATAAAATTAAAGATTTTTAGGTACATCCCCCCCCCCTTAACCATAAGCCTATTTTAATATTTATTTCTCAAAGCAATACTTTTTTTGTTATAAAGTAACTTAGTTGACAAATATTATCAACTTTTTGAAAGCGATAATTAGTGCCACTCTCAGCTCCAGGCATACATATATTATGAAGTTTGAAATTTTTGAACAAGCTTATCAAACTTTAAACTGAAAATTTTGTTGTTAATTTTCTCTCCTGTTATTCTGTACAAGTACTTACCTCCCGTATATTTTTTACTTTTTTTTTACTTAATTCCATAGCCTCCCCCACCCTTTTGATGTCCCTCTGATCTTCGAACTATATCTCCCTGGGCTACGAGTTCGTGGAGTTCAGTCATCACGGATTTACTTCGCCTTAAGCATGGAAGAGTAGCCGCTCAGGTAAATATCCAAATATTTATAATACAATCTAATTTTTAAAGTACTCTTACGTCAAAATCTCATAAAAATTAATATATTTAATTATTCCTAAGCAACTAGTTTGTTTTTCAAACCTTTTTATTTTATACCTTCCACATTTTTAAAAGCAAATTAATACGCCTTCATTTGCAATGATTAAGTTCTGTCGAAGTTATAGGTACATTGGGCCTTCTAATTGACAATGAGAAATGGAGATTAAAAACTCTCTAACTTTTTCTATCACCGAAGATAAATTTCGTAGATTTTAAGCTTTTTTATAAAGAAAATTTGTGTTTTAATAAATCTCCCTAGACAAAGTTAATAAATGTACTTTTTATTCTTAATTATCGATAGGTACATTTTAAAGAGTATTGACAAAAGTTTAGCCCTTTTAGCCCCTTGGACCATCTTTTATAATAGGCAATTAATATTAAAATATTAGTTAAAAAAAGTAATTACTTTATAGCAGTGGTCACGTAATTAATGGAAATTTATAGATATTTTTTTTCTGCCTTGTTAAGATCAATATCTGTATTATCAAAGGTAATAAATTAAAATTTTATTATTTATTCACCAAAAAAGCACACCACGCTAAATATGGAAATATTAATATCATTCATAAATAAACATAACGTCTTCTCATATTTGGACAAGTGATATCTTTTGTAAACTCAAAGGTACGGCACTGGCTCACAACAAAAATTAATTTGTCAAAGGGTTTAATATTTGTTTTGACCCTTTGAGTTAATGACGCCGAAAACCTTTACCTGTAGCAAACTCGAATCATTTTGATACTTAATTTTAAGGAGTGTTTCATAAATGGTTCAAAACCGTATATTTTTTTTTTATATTAATAAATTAGCTTATAAAAGATAAAATATAGATAGTACTTTTTTTACATGTGAAAGTTAGATAAGAAATGCCATTTTAAATGTATCGCCTAAACGCTGAAGTTATCTCACGTTTTTTCTATTACATGTCACTGCGTACGAAGAATGGGCATTCGTATTCCCCCCCCCCACAAGCAGCTTGGAATGCAATTCGTGCATGATATTAAATCAAGAACCACTTAAAATCCAACATATCTTTGTTTGACTGCCGCGGGCTTCACTCATGCCATAATATTATCTGTCACTACGGATTTGCATAAAACAAATCAAACTAAAACTTACAGTAGATATACCGTATCTTTACGATAGGGTTACTTCCTTCAGACCAATATAACATAAATCAAAATGGGGAAAAAAGAGTTATAAAACGATTTATCTTACTTATTTCTTCGAATCAGTTTTTGGGCGGCATACGTGCCTTGCGACGCGCAACATCGGGATGCAGTGCAATTGACCTTCGAACAAATAGACCTAATCCAGAGACTCACTGACAAGTACCATCCACAACTAACATTCTGTACCTCCGCCGACGGTAAGTCTATAAATATTATAAGCATTGTTTTCATAGTGTGGAGATAAATTACGACCAATGTTTTTCTTACGAACAAAGTTTTAATTAGAAAAGTCTTCTACAAAAGCAATAATTTCTTTATAGACTGTACTTTTCCGGCAACTTTGGCGCACGTAAAAGTTTATTACAGCCAATTTAGACTTCCTGTGAACTTTTCTTGGTCGTTTTTCCTTTGCTTTCACAAAATTGATTTATAAAAACACACTACATACTACTTCATCAAATATATTGAAACAGATAGTTTTGCTGTATTTCAAACAAGCTTTTACTTCCCCGCTTTCGTGAGCTGAAAGAAATACAATTCTAACGTTATCTTATTACGTTCCAACCCTCAAACTGAACTCTTCAAAATATTGTTTTTCACTCAATCAATAGTTCCAAGGATCCTTGAACAACATTCAATCTCACCTCCTTATAATAATGATGGAGTTGATAACGTGAAACACAAATATACTTTCAGAAGAGCTATTTAGTATGGATATCCATTATTGAGGTTTCATAAATAACTTTAACAAATTAGCTGTCACAGTCGGGTTACTTTCCTTAATGGTAATAGATATTGGCTCGTTTTATTCATTCAGTTTCCTTTTCCTTGGTAAATGCTGGACGCACTGTTTCTTCATATATTTTACTTTTCAGCTGTTACTTCGTTCATAAGTATTATTGATTGATTACTTTGTTTTCTCCTAAGGCTCTCACTACCAAAACAAGCTAAACAATAGAACGAAATCACCAAATTTATGTTTTGCCATATGTTTTTATACCCGAGTTACAACGTATTTCGTGAATTTCGATTTAAACTGAAATGCTTCCATCTGAAACCTAGCAGCTAAAATGCCCCTTTTTCACGGAACAGGATTAGCATATAAACTGGCCTTTTAACTCTTAAAAATGTTAGAATTAATTAATTTCAGAATAAATTCTATCGTCTTGATTTTTTTCTCAGTACAATTGTATTTTTTTCGTCTTTCTTCTGAATAGTCATTAGTGTTTACGATAAATCAAGCTGCCAACGCAGAATGCTTTTGCACATGGAAACAGTTTAAACGAGGGTTTCCTAAAACTAATTTTTAGTTCTAAATCTTTTTCATAAATTGTATTATACTAAGACAGATTGCTGTAAGTTTAATATTTTTTTATAATATGTAATGGCGTCTGCGATACCTGATTCTGTTTAGATTTCCTATGTTAATTGAATGTGTTCAAAATAGTGATAAAAAGACCTTTGTACTGAGACTTAACAAGAAATATTTGCACATCTTTCTGTAAGTACAATAAACCTAATGTTGAATATTCGTATCAGTTTTTCATATTTGCAAATTTAATTTTTACTTAGGACGAATCATAAATGTCCCGAAAATAGTTAACTTAGGTAAAAAAAAAATAATGGCAAGTAAAGGACCAAACTTATATAATCCTACATACTAAGTCCTACAGAATACTTAAAATCACATTTCGGGTTCATCTAAGTCTTACGATGTGAAACCACACAACCACCACAGTATACTTATTATATAAAAATAATATGTGCATATTATATTTGAAAACTTACATAATATTTTAGACATATTATCGGCTCATGTAAACCACCGGCTGTGCTCTCACTGGTGGGTGTGGAAGGTGGGCATGCAAATTGGAGGTTTTCCTTAGGCGTACTAAGGACGTTGTATCAAGTTGGAGTTCGGTATCTAACTCTAACTTCGACTTGCGATACGCCTTGGGCTGAATGTGCTTCCACCGATTCGACCTGAATCCGCACAAGGGGAGGATTAACGCCTTTTGGTAAAGTACGTTATTCCCATTAAGTTTTAGATCTCTCAGATTATTGCTTTCAGAAGTAAAGCCATTGAAAACTAATCTTCAATAAATTATAATAGCGCCATATAGGGAGATAAAACGTTTGTGTGCTATATTATTTATTATTAAAAATAAATCTATAATAGGATAAATATTTATAAACAATTGTCTAAGATTATAAGTTAATTCTTTCGAAATGCAAAGAAACCTACTATTGAGACGTCGGTGGGCTGAAGTAAGTGCACAATAATCATAAACATCCTGTGCTGTAGCAACATTTTTCTTTGTATGAACTGCGACTGCTTGCGAAATATTCCTTTGTTTAACGTAGAAACGATACTTTGGCAATATTTTCTTTGTTGCACAACTCGCAGCATATACTTTCGACTAAATGTAAACGAAATATTCGTTTTTGTATTAATTATTGTATTTATTTCTGTAAAAGATTGAAGTATCCACTCAACAATAAGTACTAAGTAAGCTCTATAGTTTTGAAAGCTCTTTCCATTCAACACCAATTCAACAACCAAAAGCCTTTTACTGAATTTCATAAGCAATTGCACTTGAATTTTATTTACTGGTTATGAAAAATTGTTAAACATTTAATAACAAGCCCTTCTAAGTTTATTTAAGAGGGTCTGAATTAATACTTTTCAGGAATTTAAGAGCAAAGTTACAAAATGGTGAAAACGTGTTTGAATTTTTTAACAATGTTTTGTCAAAATTGTTTATATATATTGTAGTTACAATGGCTTACAGTATCAAATGATGAATGATTCATTTAATACCATGAGAATTTTAATTTCGGATCATTAAATCTGCCCTAAATGAACCAATTTTAAAAAATGATTTCATTTGCCACAACAATTTACTTAACGACCCGTAAAAAAAAGCACCTACAATGGTATTCTAATTGGACTCACAAATTATTGTAAATGTTTATATAAAACTCTAATCGTATTTTTTTAATAGAATTTTCACATATACTCTAAGTAAATAGTGGTATTCATTAAATATGAATATTTCTATACAGCCAAATCTATATTTTATATATAGCCATCACATATAAGATATTTCAAACGAGCCTCTTCTAGACTTCAGCTATAAATCTTGAATGTAAAAATTGATATTTGTAAAACTTTCCGTCTAAGATAAATTTCTATTTCCAAATAACTCACTATGTTTTATGGTTTGCCAAAAACTAAGACTTTGTTATATAAACTCAACTGTCAAATAGTCTTAAAATAGTAAAGAAAGAAACACTCAATTTTTTTAAGCTTTCTAAGACCACTTCTCATTATTTACTTATGTTTCAAATATTAATTTTTAGATTATAAATATTTGATAATATAATCTATATATAGAGATTATTTCGGAAAAATCTAAAGAGATTTTACAGTGAAACAACAAGATACAGAAAAGCTTTTTTTTAATAATGAGCGGTTTCAACATCAAGCCTTTAGCTTAAGCGCAGAGCCTTAAGCCCTTTTTCTCACCATTATTATCTCTCTATTTATAAAAACCATAATTTTTTAACACTTCAAAGATTTGTTTTTCTACCTTTGTTAGTTTAAAATAGGACCAGAATTTACTTTAGAAATAATAGTTCATTTCGAAGTAAATAAGGCAATGAATGTTAAAATTATATTCAAATATTTATCGAAAGTATAAGGATTTTCAATACAAATGGTGAAATTGTATAGTTTCAATTTTTATCTGGCGTTTTTACATAAATCATAAATATTAATATCATATCATGAGCCGACCCAAGAAAACAAGTGGAAAGGTCTATACGTGTATATTTTGTAAACAAAAATTTTTTAACTATAAGGGGACTATGGTATACCATACAAGGTTTTTTTTCCAGGTGGTGGTTAAGGAAATGAATAGATTGGGCATGCTGGTGGATCTATCACATGTTTCTGAGCGAACCATGCGGGATGCCCTTTCTGTTTCACGAGCGCCAGTGCTTTTCTCACATTCCTCGGCACGAGCGCTTTGTAACGTAACTCGGAATGTACCAGACAGCGTGCTTCGTCTCTTAGCAGCTAATAAAGGACTGATAATGGTCAACTTTCTACACTTCTTTTCTCACTTGTAGAGATACGGCTACCGTTTCAGGATGCGATAGGTAAAGCTTTGATTTCGTTTTTAAAAACACTACCAAGTTCAATAGTTCGCATTGAGAAATTTTCTATATGAATTTACATTTATGATGTCTATCTAGATATTTTTAACTAATATCGCAAAAATAAAAGTGTCTTCGATTTTGATAAAAAAAAAAAAAAATTTTAAGGTAATGCAAGCCAAAGTAATTATTAATATACATATGTATAATCGTTGTTAAAGAATATTTCTATAACCAGCCAACCTTTAGAGTTTGACGGTGATGGGCTAAAAAAAGATATATTTTTTTTAAAGCGAAATTTTAATTACAGAAACACATAAACCATATCCGTGACATCGCTGGTGTTTGACAGTGTCGGCTTAGGAGCAGGATACGATGGAATAAATTAGTAAGTGAATTTTGTTTTTGGACTAAATAGTTGGCAACGAAATGACATAACGTACATTTTTAATCCTAAGGACTAATCGAAAAACATATTCATAACGCTATTATTTTATATTAAAGCACACCTCATGGGTTAGAAGATGTCTCGTCATACCCATTATTATTTGCTGAACTCATGGAAGACGGATGGGAGCATAGAAGATTTGAAAAAAATTGGCTGGCCTGAATCTATTACGTGTAATGAACGCAGCAAGAACGTGTGTCTAAAGAATTATCATCAGCCCATGTCACTCCTTACGAAGAAGTTTGGACCCAGAGTCTTAGGCTCGCACAATTGTTCCAGTCAGGACGTTTAAAACAAATTCTTTTTAGTACATTTTCTATTGCTATAATCCAATAAGTCAATTGAATTCATTAAATCAAAAAATTTCTCCTTTAAGTAGTATCCTGTGATAAAGCTGAAGATCGTAGGAGATTGACCTGCTATTAGATATTTATTATACATTAAAATTATATATCCCAAGCTTTAATATTTTAATATATATGAAAATAAAATAGATAAAATAGGTGTAGTTTTATTCTTATTATATATCAATAATATTTTTTAAAATTGTTAACGAAAATTGTCTGAAATTATAGATTTTTATTGACATTTAAAACATTTTGGTACTGTTAAAATAATTATTAAAATTTAATCATTTTTTCAAATTTGTATTGAAATACATCTTCTATTTTGAATGTCATAATTTAATAATATCATATTCTATTAACATATTTTTAAGCGTTGTATCTAATTATAAAACCTTTTTCGCTATTGTGTGAGTTTCACACTGAAATAAATTACGTGAATTACTTTTTTTTTACTCAAATTATTTTAACCCTGACAATTAAAATGGTTAAACACCCAAAAAATATTAAATTCTTATCATTATCTACAAATAATAAACAATGAATGTGAACATAATTTAGTTTTTTCACGTAAATTTATTGCTTTAAAATCCATAGGAAACCTTTTTAGAACATAGTAAAAATGTTGCCATTTACAAATGTTTTAACTTAGCTAAAAATATTAGTAGATAATACGTATCGTTCATACTTTAATATTTTTTATTGAATAGAAAATATTTAATAACCGACCAAAATAGAAGTGAACCATAGACTAGCTGACTAGAGATTAAGGGCCCTTCTTAAAGTCGTCTCACTGCGACATCTTTTGTAACCTAGGTAGGTAGTTTCTAACAATAATACAAAATTAAAGATTTTAGACTGCCTATTTTTTGTTAGTCCATAATAGACGGATCTTAATACTGAACACAGTTCATCAGTGATTCTTGTTTTTTTTTTTTATCATAAAAATATGTCTGTTTGATCTTTTTCTTAAGATTTGTTTATTATAACTTGAAACACCGACTGTAATTATTTGTGTTACTCAAATAGTATTTATCAAATACGAGATTTACTAAAAACATATCTAACTGTTTTTAAAAAGTGGAAATCTTACAATAATAATGTTATGAATCTTCTTAATTAGTCTGCTGATTAAATTTTCAATAAGCAATATTATAGTTTTAGGTACGAGTAATTGCTTATTATGTAAGTAAACGTTAATTAAAATATAAGACTACGTTACCAAGGATATGAAAGATCGTTTTAGTTTTACTCCGAACTGGATAATTTTGTTCGTAATAGACAATATTGGAAAATTAAATATACATTCAAAGGGAAAATGATGTAGTTGGCCAAAATTACATAGTCGCACATAATGAAGCGTTTTTTCGAGTTTCTCATTGTATAAACCTTCGTAAATATGACAATATGCGAGGATTTATAGGAAAAAAAAAAAAACTGTTAGCGCTCAATAATCTTGTGTGTCGTTGTTTATTAAACAGAACGATTTTAGACAACCGAATATGTAACAATTTAAAAAAAAATTCGTAGCGTTTTGAAAAACGATATTGTTTTATACAAAGTGGTAATCATAAACTTATCAATTTTATGATACAAGTTATGTCAAATAAAGTATGTATATAAAAAAAAACCCCTTACTAAAAACCAAAAAAAATTGGATAGCATTAAAACTTTTAACCAAAATATAGTTTTTCGCTTTTAAAAACATTACATACTTAATAAAGGTAATTTAAAAACATTTATTTAATTCTTAATATCGTTTTTGAAACGCCCGTGATACAAATTCAAAACACAACATATTTTTAGAAACCTACATCACTACAGAAGTAGGTTAGTAGTTTTAATTAAATAATAAAAATAATGAGCCTCGTACCTATAAACACATATGTATATCCACAAAAACTATTGTTTTCTTTTTCACGTACCCCTTAAGTTTCTTTTCCATATTTTGCCTAATAGTTCGCTAAGTATTCACTTAGTAAACGTATTTACGTTCACATCCAATCTCTTATTATTATCTAAATTTCAAGATGATTTGATATTCGAAAATTAACTTTTTAAATATTTCTCATGTTGTTAATTTTCATACCCAATTTGTCAAATGAGAATTTACTAAATAATTTGTTCCCTAAATAAAACTTACTTGTCTTGAATAAGAATTTACTAAATAAATTTATAGTTTTGTGAGAAGGCTACTTTACTAGCCACATGAATGAACTTAAATGAAGAAAATTTATTTAATATTACATGTGAAGCAAAATCTGGTACCTAATAATATATTGATACATCGAAATAAAAGAGATTTATTTTAAATAACGCAATAAAAACTCCACAACTATTCATTCACCTGATGTAACTTATAATAAAAAAAGCTTAGAAATAGCTCTATTATTTATTTCAAAAAAAAAACTACACACATCTCTTTAAGTAACTTTTTACTTGATTTAAAGTTTTTTTTGTAAATCATATTATTATAATTTATACTAAAATAAATCATGAACTTCAGCCACATCGAGTAGAAAATAACATACTAAAGTAATTACTTTCTAAATAACATAGAAATTTTATCGCTGTAATGGTAGTAATGTTCAATTTGTCTAAACCTTTTTATTACTAAAAAAAAAATTACATTACAATTAAATTAATTCCTTGTAAACAGTATTTTCCAAATTTATTTCCAAAATTCTATATTTTGTTAGACAATCTCGTAATTATATATTACTTTAAATATATCATTAAATCAAATTAGCTAAACGGTAGTCACCAGTTTAATTATTAACCAAAAACAATAAGAATTTTAAAAATTTACCAATTTTTATCTATTTTAATTTTTTTATGTTGTCGCTTCAATTTCCTTTTCGTATTATTTGAATACTTACAACACCCTTGTAAGTAAAAATCACCATTTTTTAAGTTTTATCAATGAATCATTTGGTAAACTGTCTGTTTATAATGGGGAAACAAAGCTTTAAACTTTGTGATACAGGACAAGATGTCCACGGAACATGAATGAATAGTACTTTCGAGCATTAGCCTTGATAAAAATTTGATAACTAAGTACTTTTCATACTAATTAACAAAATATTATTTTATATATTAATAAAATGTACCTTATGGCTTATAATTATGCAGAAGTATTTTTTTTGTTTGTAGTAACACCTTTCTAAACTGTCAATGTCACCGCGACCGCGTCCACTTGTTCGGTTTTATTGTAATTTTTGAGTTTTATTTATTATTTGTTAGTATTTATTTCATGTTATATCGGTGTTATGTTTGAAATTTTACTTGGACGTCCTGTGTTTAATTCTTTTTTGCTATATGTATCATATAAAAAAGACTATATTAGCACAGTACTATATCATAAAATCTTATTAAAATACAACTAATACACTAAAATGGGAGACAAATCCACCCCACTTTTAGCTGTACTACAACTTCTCCGAAAATATGACTTGAAAGTAAGCTTACATTCTGTATTAAATGTTTTATTATAAACCAAGGAATTTATCGATCTCCAATTTTAATATTATTATTTCGACAGGGCACAGAAGAAACTTCTAAGGAAAGAAGCAAACTTAGGAGATGTTGAATACGATAAACTTAGATTTGCCAGAAGTTGAACTTGCCCAGTATCCTCACAGCTCATCACACAGAAAGTGATCCATATAGCTATGAGTTTTGCTTATGATAGCCTTAAAAAAAGTTTGTTGAAAATTCTCTAGACATTTACAAGGTAACACGAATTTAATTCATTTTATTTAAAAACAGATAATTACAATTATTTTTAATACCAACCTATATCCTAAGATTTAATTTTTTTATTTTCTATTGTATTTTAGTATGAATTATCGACACTCCCTTTATTCCAGTTTTTGTGCATATGTATTTGGCTCTAATATTGTATGACCACAATGAGGCATGCTTATAAGTTCTTTGAAAAATTTGGCCCAGAACAAGAAGATTACTATCAAGACGATTTAACTCGTCTCTCAATTGTCAAGCATAAAGATCAAATTAAAGGAAATGAAAAATTGCAGAAATATACAGGTAGAAAATATATGGTTTTTGTCACTTTAATATATGGGAAGCCTGTTCAATAATTTTTTTATAAAAAAAAAATGTGTTTCAAAATATTAATTATGTCAATTTTTTTACAGCTCTAACAAATTTCAAGTACAAGTATCTCGAGATGCATCTACACAACTTAAAGATAATATTTACATGAACAAAAGAGTTCACCTGTCATTATAAATATTTTAAATAATCACATACAAATTGATATAAACACGATGGACCGGGTAGAACACAGGCACAAGTGAGAGCTACTATTGGTGGGCTTCTAGGGTGAAGCTTCTAGAAACGGTAAAAAAAAAACTATTCCTTTAACAATAATACTAGCAACAAAAATACTACAAGAAAAGTGAAAATTTGTTTTTAATATAGAACCTATTTAAATATTCCTATTTTTGTCTTGCAGAAAACCGCACAAAAGTGTATTATGGATTATTAAAGGAACCTGATATACAAGTCCCTTCCACCACCCATTGAAGATTGAAGAGGAAGCGGAGGAAACTCCAGATAAACCCAAAAAAAGAAGGCCAAAAAAAGACAATATTTTTCTCAAAAAAACCTAAAATCTGATCCCAATGCACCACCAAATGACAGAATTCCCTTGCCAGAGTTGTAAGTACTATGATCAACAAAATATTCTAAAACTTTTATTTATTCTAGTGGACATTAATATTACAGCAATCGAAAGTATAGAAAAAACAGCATTTCATAACAAGCAATATTAGTAGAAGGATAGTTTAGACGGTGTTAAATGCTTTTTATCTTTATAAAATTTATTTTCATTTAAAACCCTAGTCTGAAATCAAAACTAACATGGTTTTCTGATTGAATTCATATAAAAAAATAAATTAGATTGGTATGATAAAAAATAATTTTACCTTAAATTTTTTTTATTACAAAGGGGACAAAACTTGTGTTACTAGGTTACTGAAAAGGTAATCACATATTTCTGTGTGAAAATGGAAAATGTAGAATGGATGATTTTCTTTACAGTAACTGCTAAAATACCTCAATATGATCTATTTATTATATATGGATTTCAGTAATTATTCACATTTATTGAATGACAAATCTATTGCAAACAAATAATGTTAACCAAAATATTATTGACACCAAATTTATAATGAAATTTTTTTATAACATACTAGCTTTTGCCGCGACTCCGTCCGCGTGGAATAGTGACTTCCGGCAGATTTTTTGGTTCTTCCCACATAGTTCCCGTTCTTGCGGGGTTTTTCGGAATTGTCGAGTTCCCCGCAGAATTTTCAGGATAAAACCTTTGTTTTTTTTTATTCACAATAAAGTACACTTTAACCAACAACATATTGCTTTGTTTTTATTTGAATAAAGATTAATAATATTATGTTTGATACAACTTAAACAAATTATTTCAAACCAAATTTAGGTACCATAAAAACGGTTTTTTTTTTTTGTGAGTTAATCTTAAAAGAGAGACATATACCGTCGCGGGACTGTGTTTTAGATCATTAAAAAGAGCTATTATTCTTTAACACATATTTTTTTTTTGTGTATCTTGAACCGTTTTCTAACACGGCGCACGCAACGGAAGGCTTCAAAGATGAAATAAATTTCCTCCCGATTTTTTTACACATTTTACCACTATATCTTTGCTCCTATTAGTCGTAGCGTGATGTTATATAGCCCACAGCCTTCCTCGATAACTGGACTATCCAACACAAAAAGAATTATTCAATTCGAACCAGTAGTTTCGGAGATTAGCGCTTTCAACAAACAAACAAACAAACTCTTCACTTTAAAATAATATTAGTATAGATTTTGAATTTTAATATATGAATGATTATAGATTTTAGAAAAAAGAAACAGACAAGCTGGAAAAAGGGAAAGCCATAAGAGAAGCTGCGAAAACGTGTCCAACTAGGACCAGAGAGTCCTACCATCTATTTTTGTTTTTACACTCTATTAAACAGTGGCCATACAGCCATATGTGCTGATATTTGTGATGACTCAACATTACTTGCTGTTGGGTTCAACAACTCATCTATTAAGGTTACTTACTTAAAAAATATTAATCACGATAAATACTTTTAATGGGTTAGCAATTACACCATCATTTAAGAAAAATAAATATAATATTAATATGTTTTCCAGGTTTGGACTTTGACAACAATAAGATAAGAAGGAATGAAATCAGCTGAAAAAGTTGCAAAGAACATTGACAGAGAAGCTGGTTACAATATAAGAAACAACATTTTATAAAATATATCAAGACAAAATTAAATGAATTTATTACACTAATTTTTTTTCTAGGTGATGTTTTTAGTGAGGATGATGGAAGAGAAAGGACAGAGATACAATGTCCGAACATTATTTGGGCCACTCGGGATCAGTATTCAAAGTTGCATTCGATCCTTTCAAAACTTTGTTACTATCATGCTCTGAAGATTCCACAGGTAAAAAGTTGTAACAAACAACTTTGTAAGTTTATACAAACTTTTAACAATCCAAATTTTAGTTGTAGAAATCCTTCCTATTTAACTTTAATTTCGAACTTAAAGTAGAAAAACTTTATGAATAACGAATTAATTTCATACTAATTTACTATGTACCTAAATCTGTCCTTAAATACGGGATTCCGAGAAATCCGAAAGAGTGATCTGTACGAAGATATAAGCCTCCTATTTGTTATTGAATAGGTTTTATTTATAATTATTAGAACGAGATAATAAAATGTATAACTATTATTATAAAATGGTTTATATGTATGTAGACAAGAAAATGTTTTGTTTTTTCAGTCCGCCTATGGGTCCACCTGCAGTGTTGGTCGTGCCCTAGTGGCGTACCGTGGCCACGCGTGGTCGGTGTGGGACGTTCGTTGGTCGCCTCATGGCCACTACTTCGCCACCGCCGGCCACGACCGCACCGCACGCCTCTGGGCCACAGACCACCATCAACCGCTCAGGATATTCGCTGGACATTTTTCTTTCTGACGTCGATGTAAGTCCTAAGTCTTGTTTTCATCAGTCTGAAAACTTCCTGAAGGTTATGCGTTAATTCAAAATGAAATAACAACACTTTCGCGAGTATTCATTTAAATTAAATTAATAATTTCGGATTATTACGCGTTATTTTATAAAATCCGATTAATCCGAGTTTCATTACAATGCTTTAATTAGTCCTATACTATTTAAAAACAACTTTATAAAAGAGGTTTCTCAATATGATTCATTTTTATTAGACAAAACAAAACTTTTTTCTTTATAAGTTTAAATACTTTTTTTAATAATTTGTATGTATTTGGATCGGTCTTAAATCAAACACGTGTTGTTATAACAGAACATGGGTGTAAAACTTTAATTATTTCTTTCAGTGTGTTCAATTTTCAATTCCATCCAAACTCGAATTACATTGCAACGGGTTCAAAGCGACCGCACCGTAAAGGCTATGGGATTGTTTGACGGGAACACAAGTACGGATTAATGACCGGTCCACAAGGTATAATTTATAAGAAAACATACTAGAAATTACTACATAGAAACAAATTGTTATAATGTAAGTTACTTGGATTATTCTTTCCAGACAACTCCATATACCGTTTGCGTTTTCTGTATGTGGTCGTTGGATAGCTTCAGGCGGCGCGGGCGGAGAGATAGTTGTATGGGAATATTTCACACGGGACTACCAATGAGCACTCTGCCTCCAATGCATGTAGCACCCTTTTTCACGCCTTAGCCCTTCAGTCGAGACGGCACTATCTTGTCTTCAGGTAATATTTTTCTGATACTATCATTATAAGGCGGTTTCTATTTTAAAGCTAATTTTTTTCTTATAAACATCTTTCACATCCAGAATGTAAATACATATATTTTTTACCATAAAAACAATATATTTTTTACCATAAAATATCGATTTAATCTTTTTTTTAGAGGCAATTCTTTCATTCTATCGTGGTTCTAGGTTAAAAAAACGTCTGTTAAAAATTAAAACAGATATTTTATTGCTATTAATATTTGTATTAAAAATCAAAAACAAAGGTTCTAAATCTGATACATACTTTTTTTTTTGTACGACCACGACTAACTTAGTTTATGGATGGAGTTAATATTTCTTATTTTTTATTCCGTATATACAGAACATTATTACGATAACTTAAAAATGGAAATTAAGTATCTGAAAAATCTGAAATATCAAAGCATTTTACTAAATTTTTTTGCAAACAATAGTTAGTTGTAAAAAACATTAATAAGTTTTTTTATATTTACTATAAGATTTATGAATTTTTCTATGTTGTCAGGTTCTTTGGATTCCACTATCAAACTTTGGATTTCACATTGATTACGGATGAAAATATAACTGACGACACAGGTGCAAATACTGGCCCACAAAAAGAAGAGAAGGTTTCTCTTGCGTTCGTTTGCGACGAAAATTCTCCAATCAAGCTTTTGCATTTCACACGTCGCAACCTATTGTTAGCTGTAGGATCATATGAGGGAAGTTTCTTAATGAAAACTACAATGTAATTAATAAGAATTAATTATTTTTTTATTTACAACATATATTTATTGTAATTGTAAGAAAAATGTCCTTTCAGATGTAATAAACTGAATTATTAAATTCAATAATGATTCATTGTTTCTTGCAACCTGCGCCCTCATGGCTTGTTTTTGAAATCCTTCTTTTACCTCTTTATCTGCTCCCCGAGTTCCAATTCTCCGTTGACCTAAATGTTGAGAATTTTGGAAGAATGTCTAAAGCGAGTTTTTTTTCCTTGCTCATTCCAAATTAAAACTTAGTTTCTTCTAATATATCTATATGGATTTATATATGCTGTGAATAAATGATAGTGAAAAAACACCTTTACTTTTTGATTGCATCCATAATTTGTATAAACATAGCTTCTTCTTGAGGGCCATCCTAATTGCATTAACACTAACATATGTCCATAAGTCATATCTGAAATTGTTCCCAGCCTTCATTAGAATTCTTATGAGTAAAGAACAGAAGTAATGCATTATGGCAACTTTTGTTAGAGGCAGAAAAAATGAAGATGTCTATGTTTTTCCCACCTACTATAAGATCTGATTCTAAAAACACCTTCCACTGATGGCAAAAATGGTAATGCAGCTAAAAATGTTTTCAATACAGGGCCTGGTAATTTTGCTGGAAGAAATTTATAGACACTTTTTGTAATATATACAACTATATAATATTCTGGTGAAACATTTTAACCCTGGAGCTGGAACTGCTTCATCATATCTTCCTCTATATAGTGCTAGCTCATCTGCAAAGCCCTTTAGCCAAGGTTTAACTTGAAGCTGTGATGTAAGTTTCATAAATTCACGAGATATAACATCATTGCTGTGTAAAAGCTCCCAACAGTTTTGCTGCGGCTTGAAACTGATGTGCAGATACACCTGTCACTTCAGTAATCCCCCTTTCTCCGTTTAGAATGGTGGCATTTTCAGGATCTGACAAGGCTTCAACTAAAATATGATTGCCTTTAAGAGATTTGTGTGTTCATACAGAGACCTCAAAAAGAAAACAACACCACAATATAGTAGCTGACGACAATCTTTCAGAATTTCTTAATGATAATAGCTTTTGAAAATACGACTCCTTATTTCAAAGCTGTTACTATAGTTGACCAAATATGAATCCCAAGCCAGTTGTCTTCCTAATAAATCTAGAATGCCATATAGCCCTCTGCCCATGGGTCTGTAATATCATGTTCCCGTATCATCATACACATAGGAATTGTAAAAATCTATAGCCTTTACAACCAAACGCTGCAGCAATCTTGGTGATTCTAAAGATGTAAGAAGTGGTAATGTCTCTACAACAAGTAACCGTGCATACCTATTATCATAGAAAAAATTCTCTGCATTAATGAGAGTTTTTTTTACTAAACTATCTACACCTAATTGTGGAAATTTCTTCAGTAACAACACTAATAAGCGACAGTGTTCCATGGTGTCATCACTATTCTCAACACTTGTCTTAAGAATAGTCAATTGAATATCGGGACATATGTAATCAAAACATCTGGCTAAGGAAACTAGGCTCATTGGATTTTAATGCATTAGCAATTGCATAGATCTCGGGTAGGAGCTCAGGTAAAATTCTGTCTAGACATCATTAAAAGAACTAAAACATTCGGCTGCTTCTTGTACATTACCAGATTGCTTTTCCATTAAATAAGCTTCAAATTGTATTTTTAAAAATTTGTTGGAAATAATGTTTTTGCTGTTAGCATCCATGCTTTTGCTGAATAAATATTATATTTATGGAGCTTCTTTTTGCTCTAGATATAAATATAATCCTCATCGTCCTCCATTACTGGTTTTATCAATTCCAGGCATTTTAATAATAACACAAATTTATCAGGTTTAATTGTATCACTACGAAACTAAATAACTTTAAGCTACTGATATTATTTTTAATTGGCAAATTTTTCACTTAAACTTAGTACAATTTTACAATATTATTATAATGGTTTAAAAGTACTAGTAGGCACTATAAAGTTTATTGACAGTTTCATACATGACAGCTATTAAAAATAGCTGAAGAATCCCTACTAATATATTATAAATGCGAAAGTAACTCCTGTCTGTCCTGTCTGTCTGTCTGTCTGCTACGCTTTCACGCCTAACCCAAACTGAACTGATTTTAAGAAATGAAATTCGGTTACAGAGATAGAGTTGACCTTGAGAAAGAACATAAGATAGTTTTTTTTATCCCAGACCTTTTGAAAGGTTCTCTTGGAAACGCGATATAACCGAACTCCACGCGGGCGAAGCTGCGGGCGGAAAAGGCTAGTACGGAATAAAACAACGTAAAACATCGACCTCAAGTTCTTTTGTTGTCATAAATTTTATTATTACTGGAATTAAATAGTTTATAAATACAAAATGAAAATATTAGTGCATCAAAAACAATTTTTTTGTTTTTTATCAAAACAAATTTTGTATACCTTTATAATCAGAAGTGTATGCTGCTGTCTTTATTCCCCTTCTCTCTATAGTTTTGAATCTGTAGTGAAAATATCGAATAAAGTCAGAAATGTGTGATTTGTTATCTGTTTTTATACAATAAGATTTCATGTACAATGCAAATGTAAATAACAAATAATTTTATAATAATCTTGTTTGTAAAAGACTGCGTTTTTATGAATAATGAACATGAATATCGTTTGAATGGTTTATAATTAAATATTTCGTAAAATAGAGCTAAAAGTCCAAATCTCAGAAATGAAGTTGTTTTGTGTAATATCTAAATTAAAACAAAAAAATTGATTACTTCGTTAAATTTCAGAGTAGTGAAAAAACAATTACATATGCATAATCCGTACTATTTACCAGCCGTGAGTCCCATATTATAATATTCGTAATCGTAAACTATAAACGAGTCAGGCAGGCGAACGGTATTGGACCATTTATTAGAAATACTATTTTTCCTATTTGTCCCTTAAAGATCTAAAAAATTGTGCACTTTGTTTTGTTAAAAACTGGCACCCGTATTCTAAACGATGAAATAGTTACGTGTGGAAAGGTTACAATGTATTAAAAGGTTAGCCGAAGAAGTAATGAAGTCTGATTTGCTTTCAAATCTTTACAACTACAAAGCGAAATTAAGAGCATTTTTTATCACGCATGAGTCCTTACGACTGTTCCGAAACATATATATATAAAGCTAATGGATTTACATTGCACAGGTTTGCATTAATTTAAATTTAGGTAATTAAAACTTTGTCCATGCCTTTCCACTTCCTGTACTCACCTAAATAATTCTGTTGTAGGAATCCTGTTTTGCAAAAAGTTACAGATGCATGCAGAGGTAAAAATCGGCTTCAATCGCGGTAGGCATGCCTGGGAAAGTTATTTGGGAAGGGCCTTTGAGGTAACTGTAGCTGTTATATAGAGTGTCAAAACAAAGGAAGCTCCCATTACAATGTCCAAGGATAATGTTGGACTCCTTGGTTCTGATGAACAAAGCTGGGGCTGGAAATTTAGTTGACAACTAAATTTATTACACAAATGGAGATACACAGGGCCAGGTTATCCTCTTCTAAATAACTGCCCTAAATATCAAGTAAGAGTTTTTCATATTTCACTTCATCTAATAAATTAACTATTCTGATGAATGTGAATTGTAGCCATAATTATAGTTATGATGGATTCAATTATTAGAGATATAGAGAAAATTTCAATAATTTTATATATTTGAAATTACTATTTAACAATGACTTATAAACCATTTTCTTAAAATTTTGCCTTGACTATGAATGAAAGTTAAATAAATATATATTGTGTTTTCATATTTAAAGGTGAGGTTTGAACCTACAACTTCTAGGAATATGTGTCCCCCCTAACCGTGCACACCTTTGCCACAATGCCTTTATTAGTAGTTGTGGAATTAGTCCCTCCCTATAATTATAATGTATATTTTACTGTCTGGGCTTAATATGTGTTTCTTAGTAGAGAATTTTTTTTTAGTTTTTCAATTTTTATTTTGAAGACTGTATAAAATGTAAACCTTGAATCTGTCCTTTCTAACCTTTGTTATTTAGATTTATTGCAGTAATGAAAATTGTAAAAAATTATCTGTATAACCATATATTTTGTAAAAATTATCTGTATACCTATATATTTTTTTGGTAATTTTTCTTATACTTTTCAGGTGGGGGAGAGAATAAGAGTTATTTCTGGATTGTGAAGGGCATACACTATCAATTTGAAAAAAGAGGATATGAATTTCTGGGTGTAGCTTTCAGAGGTATGTTATTTTTATTAATAAATTATAATTAGTGAAAGTTTTTAACTCATATTTTTATATATTAAATTATAGGTTTGCCGGCAAAGAAAAAAATTGTACCCAACAGTTTTTTTCAGCGGTTTACGGAAACACTGAAGTGTCCAATGGTGTAAATCTGGGTCCTCCATTAGATGGTTAAATTATTTTCTAATATAATTAGTTGTAGAGATATTATAGTCTAAGTCAGTTTATGTGATATATTTTATATTATTTTACCAGCTTCTCAAATATTATTGTTTTCAAATTGTTTGTTACAAACATATAGACAGATAACTTTTTTTTAAATGAAATGTTTTGTTTGAACAAGTAATGTGTCATTTAAATAAAAATAAGTACAATATTTTCATGTAACATTCTCATTTAGAAGATAATCTTAAAAATAATAATGCAGCTTTAATTTATACATGTAACAAATATTTAACTATTTTAATTTAATATACTATTGCTTACTGAGAGGAATGTTGTAAATGGAATATTTTATTATAGACTATTTGCAGTCACATTTACTTTTAAGATTTAATTCATTTTAAAATAACATTCCAAAATGTGTAGATTAAAAAAAGTATGTAATCTGATTGTATTATATAAAATTATGTTTTTTAGTTTTACCTGTGTAAAAAATTATTTAAATAACTTTTATGTTAGTACAGCATTTCAAATCTTGTATGAGATGTTCATGATTCAATCTTACTAATCATATCAGTTTATTTCCAATTTTAAATGGGGTGCAACCTCAGATGAGATAATAAAAATATTTTAATATTTTACCAAATTGTAAATGTCTATGTTTTTAACATTAATATAAATACTTCAATAAAAAGTTTACTTACATAACATGGAATGAAAAATTCATTATCAGAAGTTATATATATAACCTGCAAATTCTTGAACATTGTGTAACAGTTATATTATCAATTAAGCTAAGCTTGTGTTTTGACTAAAGATGATGAATTAATCATTTCTTTTGTTTAGTTCTATCCTGTTTTAATGGTTTTCTAATTTTATATAGTCTATTGGAATTTCACTTAAAATTATATATCACTCAAATAAAACTCAAATTTGTGTTCTTGTTTAATGGTATAGTAACATTTTAAATTTCATTGTGATAATTGCAAAGCCACCTTTCAATTACATTAGTATTAATGAAACTTTTGTTATATTTCTATATCCTATATGTCATAAGAATGATTGTGAGATATACTAACCAGTATAATTTTTATTAACCATGCAGTTGTGTTATATGAACTAGAAAGAAAATCTTAAAATAGGCGGTCAAGTATTTGTTTGGACTGAACAGCTTATTCTTATATCAATAAATTTATGTTCTTTATTATTGCGATCTAATTTGTAAGCTAAGAGTTTAATACCTTTAAATTACCCAGGTTCATGATTATCACAAAGTAAAGGCCAACTTCAATGGGCTTAGAATGGCATAAGAATTAAAACTAAATAAATACATGTTATGGTCACTATTTAGTTTCATCTATTTTCTTGTCATGTAAATGATCTCCCATACGTGGTTTCACTTTGGTAGGTGGGAATTTAGTGAGACAAAAATCAGCAGTTAAGCAGAACAATTTGCATAGTAGTGGACATAGAGCAGCTTGGTGTATCACAGCTGCTATGCGATACCACGGCCCCATCAAAGGGATCAAGGATAGCTGGACATAGCATGTGGTTTCAATTCACTTGGGAGCAGGCTGGAAATATTAAATGTTTCAATTAGGTTTAAGTATTCAATTCAGTTATATAAAATGCAACACTAATTTAATTAGTACTTACAATTGCAATAACTTTGAAGAATTATGAAGTGATACAATAAATGTGAGACAATAACTGAAGATCGACCAGTTTAAAATCCCAAAAAGGCTCAACATTATACACACCTAAAAAAAAATACTTTTATATATATGTTTTTTACTGTATTGGGCTACTTGGAAACGAGAAAAATACTTACCACCAATTCTTAAAAGATAATAAGGTATGACAAACATCATACCATGTTGGATCCAATATAATGATAAGCTTCTGCAAATATCTGCAACACACATTTTTTCTCTTTAAAGCAACCATAATATTAGAATAAATTATTTAATAATAAATAAAAAACACTCACTAGTCCTGAAAGCTGTTTCTGGGAACAAGACATGCCAGTAATGGTCCATTTAATAAATTTAAATGAAATTCTAAATAATGCTGTAACAGTTTTGCTGGGTGGTGCCGCCAATAGATAGATCTTAAAAAAATAAAACAATATGTTATTATTTAATAATGTCTGATTCTGTAACCTTCCAGATTTAAGAAATAATTTTTTTACTTTACATTAGAATGTATTTGATATTGGCAGTGATAATATTATTTTTTAAACTTCGTGGTGTTATATTTCATAACATTGCAATACTCATACACATTAAAATATTTAGAATGCAGTTCTTAAAATTGTACAGGACATCAAAACTCTATGGTATCTTTTTCATTGACACAAAAAAACTTAATGTCATTAAAACAATGAGAAATTAGCTGTTTAGCAGTGTTAGATAATCCTGTTACATACCAGCAGCTATTATACAACATGCTATAGTTTTTAAGGAATTAGTGGACAATGAAGAAAAATAATGACAGAGAAGACCTCAAATATATTTTAAACAGATATATAATGTGATAAAGTTATAATTAATTTGAAGTAATAAATTTTTACAACACATTTTTTGCTACATGTCTTTTTCATGTTAATTATATATAGTAAAAGTGCTTAATTAGTAACAGTTAACTTTATATATTTATGTCACCTTTGTAAAATACAGAGGCTGTTTATTCTGAAACATGATTCAGTATTAATATGAATATAAAAATATATGGTATAGTTAGTATTTGAACCAATAAATACTTATACTAAAATATAAAAGACTTTGGTGAGGTTTTTTCTCATATTAGGTAGTTTTTTATTTAATCATATAAGATAGTTGAATTACATGCATTTGTCTACCTTATGAATTTTTCTTTTTCTATGATCTCTGCATCCTATTTTAAAAGAAAATATGTTCATTTACAAATACCATATTTAATAATAGAATTTTTGTTATTTAAGCATACATATGTATATATTTCAATGTACAACCAAGCAAATTTTTAAAAATATCTTTCAACTATAATTTATTATTTATTACTCTTTTTAGATGTTGAAATAGGTACTTACTTGAATTAAATGTGGTAACATGGACATGGGTTTTCAGTAAATATATCACACTGCGTGAAGCAAATTTAAAACCAATTTCCATACCCCATAAAAGTGCTAGCAAAATAACAAGAATCTCTTTTGCCTCCTCTATCACTTTTTTAAATAATTTACATCTTGTTCAATCTTCAGCTTTGGGTATGTCCTTTTTCTGAAAATATACAAAATCATCTTTTTAACACATTTATTATAATAGAAATCAAATATTCAATAGGATTAAATGACTTTGTTAAATTTATTGCCTGTTAAACTGATTACATAAAACTGCAAACCATAATGAAGAGATTAATTTTGTTTTTTTTTTTTTTTTTTGGTAATTAAATCAAAAAAATATTTTATATAATTTTATAAATTTAATTTTTTACTTTATAGTTGTTAGTCCATTTACAGAATTTTTATGGAAAGCTGGATTACGACCTTGATTTTTTTTGTAACTTTTTTTTTTAAATAGCTAACATTATTGAAGTAAGTTACATTTCTATTGTCTACTTACAATTGTGTACACGCAGACCGCCCGTAACTATTATAGTGGTTTTTCGATTAATTTGCCTTTGAGGCGATAAAAAAAACAAATATGCACATTCAGGACCAACATTTCTAGCACAGCTCTATTAGCACCACTATAAGCCCATTCAAACATTGTAATAAGAATATTTTATTTGTAAGTCATAAATAATTCAATTTATCTTAATAATCAGCTAAATTGTGGTAAATAATTTATTTCTTAGGTTTCAAAAAAGTAGATTTTTTCCCACTCATATCTGACTTTTGACAGATTTCCGTATTGCCAGCAGTCTAAAATACTTATTGTAGAAATTGCGGTACAAATGAATGAAAGCCTGGGCTTCGTATCAATTGAAATAAAACAGAGTTTTTTTTATCACTTATGTACAAATAAGTTGGGCAGTATAGTAGATAGGAATTCCACATTCTAGTACTAAATACAGAGTAGTATATAATACTAAATAAATATAGAATACTAAAAAAAAAAAAAACAAAAAGGTTAGATATCAATAAGCCACATTTCTATATGACCACTTCTCATAATTGCACAAAAATTATTCAAAAACCATATATAAAGTATATAAAGGACATTCGGATTGGGGAATAAGTAAATAAAATACTAAATAATGTATATAAAAATAGAAGCACCCAATGGAGCAATTGACAAAAAAGTTGTTGTGTTAGTTTAAAATTAATTATTAATATGTCTCCATTGAAACTTTGTTATATCACTAACTAACAACGAATATTGTTAAAGATGACCTTATTTTCTAGTTAAATTAAGTTCTGATTCAATTTACGTGTATTTGAAGTATAAAATATTAAATGTTAAACACATTGCAACACTTATGCACCGTATGTACAAGATTCCAATAACTTTTTCACAATAATTATAATATTATAATATATGAAAATGAGCAATTCTTGTATATAGAAATTATTATTTAGAAATATAAATTAAAATAATTATCGTGTGAAGAGTCTTTGCGGACCCAGATAAAGTGCCATATTCTTTATAATAAGTTATTCTTTAATGATATAATAAGTTCTATACAAAATTTGTCTATAGACCCAATGGAATTCAAATAGCGTATATCACCCATAAATCCTTAATTCCTTAGTGTACACCTCAAAACAAACACACATTGACTTTCACTTATTGTTGTTTGTTGCTTACCAAAAACAACGCCATCTGCTGTTGCGTCGTTAAAGCAATTAGTAAAAGCAATTAGCAAAAAGTAGTATTAATAATTATTATAAATTCGCCCATAGATTGCAGAAGAGTCATATTTTTAAACGACTCTTTTTTTGTATTTTTTAAAAATAAAAATAACATTTTTTCAAAAACGATTCCTAGCTAGATCGATTTATAACCCCCCAAAAATAATTATATATGTTTATAAAAGCGTATGACCACATTAAAAAAACATAATTGTGTACTTTTTTGAAATTATTCAGACATAAGTTTTTTTTAATTCATAATAGAAAGTACTAGCTAAGAGAAGTATACATTTTAAAAAAACATTATTAAAAATATAAATCAAATAATTATTAGATTATCGTGGAATAGTACCTTTGTGGGCCAGAGAAAATGCCATTTTCTTTATTGCTTTAGCATAGAGAGACAATGATGTAATAAGTTTTTAACTTTTAAAAGTTTTGTCAATAGACCAATGGAATTCAAATAATATAATTCACCCCATAAATCAATAATAATGATTTTCTTAGTTTTAACCTCAAAACAAACTCATTGATTTTCCTGGTACTTAACAAAGCCATCTGATGTTGTGTCGTCAAGGCAATTGGTAAAAGCAATTAGCAGAAAGTAGTATTACTATTCGCCAATAGATGTCAGGAAAAAGTCATATTTTAACTCTTTTTTGTATTTTTTCAAATAAATAACATTTTCTAAAAATTATTCCTAGCTAAATCGATTTTATCGCCCCCGAAATCCCCTACATACTAAATTTCATGAAAATAAAATTCCGTAAATGGACTAAAACTATAAATAAAAATTAATTTATAATATTGTATAAATATATATAACTGATTTAATTACCACATTATCCCTTCATATGCTTTGTTTGTTTTTTTGCAGTTTTATTGTAATCAAGTTTTTAACAGGCAATTAATTTAACAAAGTCATTTAATCCTATTGAATATTTGATTTCTATTTATAATAAATGTGTTAAAAAAGATGATTTTGTACGTTTTCAGAAAAAGACATACTTAAAGCTGAGATTGAACAAGATGTAAATTGACACTATATGAACAAACATAACATATCTTTTAGTTTTGGAAAGAGTTAATTCTTACCATTTGGGTTTTTCCAATAAGGGGGAAAAAGATTAGCAATTTAAAATTAATTGAATAGCTAGGTATATAAGAAAAAGCTATTTAAGAAAAACTTTGCAATTAACGAAGAGAAAATAATATGTTCTTTTTACTTTATTAACGAAACAACATCATTTATGTTTGTCCACAATTTTATTTTACAATATTAATAGTGATCTAAATTTTTTTTTTTTTAAAGTTTAAAAGGTCCGCCTCGAATGCCTGAGGGAGAGTAAAGGGTTCGATTCCTGGCAAGTACCAATGTGCTCTTTCCGAGTCATATGTACTTTCTGAGAGTATTTAGAACATCACTGATTAATGATGCATTTCCAAAGAGAGTTGATGTCAGGCTGGCGTAGGTTGTAAAAACAATTAGCCAAAACTATTAATAACATGTATGTAAAGCAAACCCTAGCTAAAGCTTGGAAATTGCCAGGTAGAAGAAGAAGAAATATTATTAATAGTGGATCTTAATGAATTTACCTAACAAGGCTTTTAATGTTCGGATTTAATATAATGTAGTAACAAACAGTTATGAAATATTTGATGTTGGCATTTTTTGTTAAATTTAAAAAAGACAGAAAGTCACAGAGTTTTCCAGTTAGTATAAGATTGGCTACTATGTAAACATTCTTGTGGCAGATAAATTTAGCAAGCGGAATGTTTTTTAAAGTATGAGAAACCGATTTGTTGCGAAGTTGAATAAAATTCTCGAGGAAACTTAAACTCGAATTATATGTCTTGAATGTGCTGACTGAATTCTCTACCAACAGTGAAAATCACTCACTCTACCAACAGTGAAATCCTCTCTTCTCTTCTTCACGCTCAACAGTGAATCTCTCTACCTAAAATGTTGTTTGAGAAAGGTGTAATTAACTCTTTTTAAATACAGAGCTAAAACAACTTGGTAAATAGTTATCTAATGCAATCATAGGTTTATAAATGTCTACGATTTTTATTCATGAATGTTTTTAAAATACACAAAAAAAAATTGCTGAACGATATTTTAGTTACAAGCCATTCGAATTTTATGTTTCACATCGAAGAATAACGAGGGAACGATCTCTTTAAGAGAAATGATCTAATCATTGACACAATAAAAAGGTTTTACTCTTTTGTAAAATTATTATTATTCTTGAACTAATAAAGTAAGAATATAATTATATATTTTGGTTTACTTCTTTTTTTCTGTAGCATTCCGGCAAAAAAAAAAAATATTTCAAATAATTGGTTCCAATAAAGAATCACACTATTTACTTTGAAGCATTAAAATTTTAAAGAGTGATTTATAATAGATATTGGATATGTGTAAAAAACAAAAAAGCCATAGAAAATTTTTATCATCTTAAAGATTTATTAAAAATGTAACTTACTTAAGTATTTATAATATCTATGTAACATTATTAAATTATCTACAATGGCAGTGTTCGTACCAATTTTAACAAATATATTTTCTTTTTCTACGAGAGGCATGTAAGCAAATAAATGATTATAATGTAAAGTGATAAGTGTTTGATTATATGGTCTTTGTAAAAAATCTGAAGTATCTACTCACATATTTTTCTTGCTAATGAACACGTGTGAGTTTCAGTTTAGAAAGTAATACAAATAGAACATTATTGTAGCAATATAATAATTCTTAATGATTTAAAAAGCAAGTAAGTAAGTACTCTTATTGTATGTTAGTATTTTAATATAGTTTTTTAAATTTGAAATTTTGATATTTATCTTTTAGTTTAGGTATAATATTCGATGTGACCTAGTGACAATATACAACTTTCTTCGAACATACGATGTCAAGTAATCACTTTTACGGAGTACATTAATATATATAAAATTTAAAATATATTGAATTGTAAAAGAATATTTAAATAAAATATACTTATAAAAAAATATTAACCTAAATTATATATTGCTTTGGTGTGCTTTTATTATTATAATGTACGTTATTTCTATTTAATGATTTATTTAACAATTATGCATCTCAATTATTCAACACCAAATTGTGTTTATAATGTAGTACCGAATTTTAATTGGGATAATAGTCTAAAAAAAAAACTAAGTGGTTACTGAAAAAATAGATCCTATGGAAGCTAACAGCGCACATTATTAAGTTACTTAGATACTATAATATTTTCTATAGACTATGTGGTATTTTTAATGCAAACAGCGCATCTAGACACTCGTTGCAAAAGCCGTCCAGATTTAAGAGTTTCACGCTCTGGTTTCGCGAATTGCTTCTTATCATCTATAGTTGTTAGCCAGAAACTAAGTTTATTGGCGAAATGATGGCAAGTACCACCTTCACCATTACATTCAATAAATGGTGTTGCTCGGAAGTCTTCAAGACAAGATCCCGGACTAGCAAGCGCTTGACCACCACCTTGTCCACCAGCTCCAGTGTGCTAAAATCAGAGTTACAATGAATTTAGTGTCGGTTATTTATTGATTTAATCTTTTTGCTTAATAATATATACGAACTTATGTGTTTATTATTCAATTTTATAAAATTGCGATAAGTCTTACCATAACAAAACTGTATCCAATCCACAATGAATTCCAACCCACTGGACAACTAGGTATATCAAGAGTTTGACTGTGAACAGCTATGACATTGGCTGGGACCTCACAAACAACACATCTTGAAATATATCGTGAAATTTCATTATTGTTTACCGGCATCATGGGTATCGGCAAATTTGTAGAAAGCCAATAACTACGATCGTTTTCGACTTGCGTAATTGCATACATCATTAAGATCACAGAAAAGGAAGGGCATGGTACTGAACTTTCTTACACAAGATCCAGCATATCCCAGATCTTGATTATGAGCTTTTTTCATTTCCATCAATGTAAAGTAAGGAATAGCCATCCCACAACTTAATATGTCCGGGCTCACATTGGGGTACTATATTTGTTTGACTGTGACGCACTAAAAGGATGCCAGTTAGATAGTCTGTTGTAGCACAAGGAGCACCAGGTATTCCAGGTACACCTTGTAATCCCATACGACCTGTTTCACCACGTTCACCTTGAATACCCATTATTCCTTGAGGACCTGGTAAGCCTGGTGGGCCCATAGGTCCTTGGAAACCTTTATCTCCCTTCATGCCTGGAGCACCATCCCAACCTTTAGGGACCAGGTAATCCATCAAGTCCAGGTGGACCATCCAATCCAGGAGGACCTCTCGGCCCTGGTTCTCCCTTACTTCCATAAACTATAGCGGCCGCTTCTCCCTTATCTCCTTTTACACCATCAAGACCTGGAATTCCAGGCCGACCAGGATAGCCCCTGTCACCTTTTTCTCCTTGGTCACCTTTCTCACCCCATCTCTCCAACTAATCCTTCCAGACCCCGATCTCCTTTATCACCTTTTTCACCATTTAATCCCGGTAATCCTGGCAGTCCAGTGTCTCCTTTCGGGCCAGGTAAACCAAAACCAACAGCACCTTTGTCACCCTTGTTACCCTTTTCGCCATATTCACCAGGGACGACCTTGTAACCCTTGAGGACCGTCAAAACCGGGGGGTCCTGCGACTCCTTCATTTCCTGGTTCACCGGGTTCACCTCTGGGTCCAGGTGTTCCTGGCATACCGGGGCGCCCAATTGGACCCGGAAGTCCTGGCAATCCTTGCTCTCCCTTTTCTCCCGTAGCACCGCGCATGCCAGGTCTGCCGTGTTTTCCATTATTTCCAGGTAACCTTTTTCACCCTTTATTGTAAGTCCAGGAATACCAGTTGGACCAATTGGACCTCTTTCACCTAGATAAACATAATTAATGTTAAAAATTATTTTTATTTTTTTAAATAAATTATCGTTATCGTTATTGAATTGGTAAAGAAGACTCGAATGCCAATTTAAAATTATTGTAGGAAAAAGTAGTAAATATTCAATTCAATAAATTATAAATAAAATTACCTCTTTCACCCATGGCGCCCATTCTACCCATTTCTCCCTTTTGTCCAGTGAATCCTTGATCACCCTTTTCCCCTTGAAGACCTTGGAAGCCATCTCTACCTCGATCACCCTTATCTCCTTGAACTCCAGTTATACCAGGAAAACCTATGTCTCCTTTTTCACCTTTTGATATTTATAGATGGCCCAGGCAAACCAATGTCTCCCTTAGGACCTGGGAAACCCATTGGTCCTATTGGCCCTGGTGGTCCGGCAATACCTTGGTCACCTTTCAAGCCATCAAGACCATCACGCCCTGGTAATCCTCGATCACCTCTTTCGCCCTTTTCACCATCCTTTCCTGGTAAAAACCGTCTTGCCCTGGAGCACCAGGACTACCATCCCTTCCTGGCATTCCTGGCAAGCCATCTTTGCCTACAGGCCCTCTTTCTCCCTTCAGACCTGCCAGTCCTGGAAAACCTCGGTCGCCTTTATCGCCAGGTATACCAGGTAAACCGATTTTTCCAGGCAAACCTGCATCTCCCTTTTCACCTTGACTTCCTGGAATGCCTTGACCTGGATAACCAGGAAAACCTTTGTCACCTTTTTCTCCATCTTGCCCAGGTCTTCCATCGACACCAGGTAAACCTGGGAAACCTTGATCTCCCTTTTCTCCCTTTTCTGAAGCTAATCCAGGTTCTCCTTTTGGTCCTCTGGAACCCTTGAAGCCCATATCACCTCTTGGGCCAACTGGTCCAATAAACCCATTCAACCCAGGGTTTCCTGGGAAACCCATATCACCTTTCTCACCAGGTGCACCAGTCAAACCTCTAGGGCCGTCAAGACCAGGTCTTCCAGGCTCACCCGGGAATCCTATATCTCCCTTATCTCCTTTTTCACCGGGGCTTCCATCAAGACCAGTTTGTCCTTGCATACCAACATGACCACGAGGTCCTGGGAAACCTTTAGGACCATCTGGGCCTTGAATACCTGGTTCACCCTTTTGTCCAGGTAATCCAATCACTCCAGGTTTACCAGGTGGGCCGGGGAATCCTTGTTGACCTTTAGGTCCATCTCTTCCTGGCGTTCCAGGAATACCCGGAACTCCGGATGGTCCTATAGGGCCCGGTTCACCCTTTAAACCAATAGGTCCTGGATAACCTTGTCTTCCTATTAATCCCATATCACCCTTTTCACCTTGCAGGCCAGCCAATCCTGGTGGACCATCCTTTCCTTCTATTCCAGGTTGACCTCTTGGTCCTTGTTCTCCCTTATCTCCTTTTAATCCAGCGGGTCCAGGAGGTCCAGGCATAGAGGGACCAATCTCACCTTTGTCTCCTTTCAATCCTGGTAATCCTGGAAAACCTCTAGGTCCTAAATCCCCTGGTGTTCCCGGAAATCCCATTGAACCCATTTCACCTTTGTCGCCTTTGAAACCCGGAAGACCACGTGGACCTACTGGTCCAGCTCGTCCTTGTAAACCCATTTCTCCCTTTGGACCAGTAAAACCGAATGGTCCTTGATTACCTTTTTCACCCTTCATACCTTTAAAAATTAATATTTATTGTTTTTAAATGTATATTTAGGTTTTGTAAATATTAAATAACAAGATTAATGAAATAAAATCAGTACCTAAAGGTCCTTGTGGTCCTGGAACTCCAGGGTTGCCTTTTTCTCCCTTTGTGCGAATTTTTAACTCATTGGGACATTGACCAGGTTCACCTTTAAGTCCTGGTCTTCCAGAGAATCCTTTGTCACCTTTTTCACCCTGATCACCAGATAGTCCTTTCTCACCTTTGATTGACATGCCTTTCATTCCTGGCCGTCCAGGTATTCCATCACTACCAGGTGTACCATCTATACCAGCGGGTCCCATTCTACCCATGTCACCCTTCTGTCCCGGCATTCCATTTAATCCACGATCACCCATTATTCCATCAGGCCCTCTTTCACCCTTAGGTCCCATGTTTCCTTTTTCTCCTGGTTCACCTCTTTCTCCGGGAGGTCCTTTAACTAAATTCGATGGTATCATTGCATCTGCTCCCCTCATTCCTGGTGGTCCTATTGGTCCATCCAATCCACGTTCACCCTTAAATAAATAAAATAATTATAAAGGAAAAATACTAATGAAATTCAATACAACACAAATTTATTAACATACCGGTGCTCCAGCTGCTCCAGGCATTCCATTCATACCGTCAGCACCACGCTCCCCAGTCATTCCGATGGGTCCAATGTGACCTCGTTCACCTCGTTCACCAGGAAGACCGTCAGCACCGCGGTCTCCTTTTTTCGCCCATACTTCCAGGTCGACATTCGTTACACCGTCCTCCAATATCACCTTTTTGTCCAGGATTACCAGGTATTCCATCATATCCAGGAGATCCTTTTTCACCTTTTTCACCAGGGGGGACCCATTTCTCCAGGACTACCCGGTGTACCTAATGTAGAGTTTCCAGGTGTACCTCGTAAACCTGGATAACCTCGTTCACCCTTGGCTCCCTTATCTCCTGGAATACCTGGTTGGCCACTGTTTCCCTTGTCACCCTGATATATAAATTTGGTATTAAATATAAATGTGATTATCACCATCAAATGGGCATTTTTAAGATCCTGAACTTATAATTATTTTGAAACTGTACTAAATTTTTTTGGAAAACTGTCTGTCATTAAAAAAAATCTATGATATATTTTTTGTTGCAATTTCTATGAAAAACATATAATTTTTCATGTCGTAAACTTACAGGAATTGATTGTCCTTCTTCTCCTTTCAATCCCCTTGGTCCTTGTGGTCCAATAGGTCCATCATATCCTCTTTGACCTATTTCTCCAGGCGAACCATCAAGACCAGGTTCACCTTTTTCTCCTTTTTGACCCGCTGGACCTTCAATGCCTGTGTCACCAGGTTCTCCCTGTCCACCTCTTGGTCCCATAGGTCCTGGTAATCCATTTTCTCCTGGCCTACCACTAGACCCTGGTGCACCAGCAACGCCGATGTAACCCCGTGGACCTGGGGGTCCAGGTGGACCTCGTGCTCCAGCTCGACCACCAGGTGGACCTGGTACTCCTTTTAATCCCATTAGTCCTGGTGCCCCATCCCTGCCCGGTTCTCCTTTCAAACCCGGTCTACCAGGAAGACCATTCAGTCCATCAATGCCTCTGTCACCTTTTCGTCCCATAGGCCCGGGTTCACCATACATACCTTCACGACCCTATTTAAAATATATTTTGTATTTTAGATGTGAAAAACAAAAATAATATTTTTATCATTTAAATATGTAATAATTTTAATTATTTCAATTCTATTATTTATTACAAATATACTAACCCTTTCTCCAGGATTTCCTCTTAAGCCCTTTTCTCCTTTAATGCCCATTAATCCAGGCAAGCCAGGTTCACCCATCGGACCTGTTTCTCCCTTTTCGCCCATTCTACCAGGTTCTCCCTTTTCACCTTTCGATCCCATATCACCTTTGACACCTTTAATTGCTCCTTTATTATCCAATGAAGGTAATGTTGTTGATGGACAACCGGGTCCTCTGTCTCCTTTGTCACCTCTATCTCCTTTATCACCTTGAATAGATTGTCCCCTAGATCCTTTAGGACCTTTATCACCTTTATTTCCAGGTGGTCCCTAAAATTAGTTTATAATGGTTAAACAAACAATTTGTAGAATTTTATATTTTATTGGCATTACTTACCATAGGTCCAGTCATTCCTTTCGGACCAGCCAAACCTGGAGGACCTGTTGGTCCAGCTGGGCCTGATTGGCCTTGTAAACCATCTGCTCCGGGTTCTCCTTTTTCGCCTTTTGGGTATCGACCCATATAAGCCGGTTCTCCTTTATCACCTTTGTTACCTTTAGGCCCAGCAAATCCACGAGGACCCTGTGAACCTTTGATCCCCATCATTCCAGGTTCACCCTAAAAGTGAATTCATATTTAAAACATCGCCTTTCCGTATTATCGATCTGTTTTGAAGATCATTTTGTTTTATAACGTACATCAGTTCCATTACAACCATCACGTCCAGGAATTCCTGGCATACCAGGTTCACCTTGAGGACCTGGTGGTCCTGCTAAGCCTATAAATCCTTGAGCTCCGGGTTTACCCTTTTCACCTCGCGGACCCCGAGGACCTTGTGGTCCATCTTGACCTTTCTGACCTTTAAGTCCCTGGGGACCTTCAGCCCCAACGTGTCCTGGCAGACCTGTGATTCCAGGTGGTCCCCGCATTCCAGGGAAACCCTAGGTAAAAAATGCCTATTATTAACATTTAATATTCATTTCTTATCTTCTCTAATTAGATTACATAATTAAAAAAGTATTCACAATATAAAATATAACAATGTATTACGCACCCTACTACCCTTTTCAGCAAAACATTTTGGGACACAGCAGCCAGGGGCCGTACAGTTGCGATCAAATGCATTTGTCCGTTGACGAGTTACTGGGTCATACACAGCAAAGTTTTGGCCAAAACTTCTTGAAGGCTGTGGCACTCTTTCCGGTGGGGGAGGAGGAGGGGGGGCAGATGGTGTTGGTAAATCCTGCCTTCTCGATAAACCATAGTATGAATTTATTGTTGGTTGCGGATTGTAACTATTCTGATACATCCAGTCTTGATTATCATAAATATTATTTTCTTCGACGTCTCCTCTTTCATATTCGTTTCGTTGCTGAAATATAAGATATAAAATAAAATATACTTAATTCTAGTAAACATTATCAATAAAATTATAACATCTTAAAACGTCAAACTTAGTTATTAAGATAGAATACAGATTGTCTGTAAGACAGATGCAGCAAGTACTCAATAGAGTCCCGTTTAGATGACCCAGGAACCAACGAGAGTCACTTTTTTAGAATATCTTACAATGTAAAAGACGTAATTTCACAACTATGTCACATATACATGAATCAATCGGTACAACTTTATACTCTTTATATAACAAGTTTTCATTGTAATTATTTTCTACAGACAACCCTGTTTCGTTAATACGGCTTTTTGTTAAGAATAATCTTAATTATTTTTTTTTGTCAAGTTTTTCTTAAACTGATGATTTCATTTAACATTGTCTCTGCATAACGTTAGAAATCAGGCTAACTTTGCGCAGAGGCAATATCGTAACCAATGAGGTTAATCCGAGGTGCGATTATTGCTAGTTGAAAACTTTAGAAATCAGGCTACTTTTATTACTTTATTGTTATTTCTATTCTATCAGTGCGTTTAATTTTTTTTATAAATTGGAAAAAAAAAACTGTCATATTCTGGTCATGCTTACAAAATTGTGAGGTATAAATAAAAGAAAAAATTAAATATCTATTTTATATAATATAAATTTTATATAATATTATGTATAATAATTAATGCAATAAAATACGCAACTAACATAGTAAATAATCATGTAATTCTCGGTTATGTTAAATTAATTTATATTAAAAAATTGTATAATTTATCGGCTTAAAGTTAATAGCAAAACCAAAGATTCTTGCCGCCGCTACTCACACAGAAATGAGAACTATGTATATTTATCGATTTTCTTCAGAATTTGAAGCATAATATAAATTTATTATGTTATGGTATGAACCATGATATAATTATACGTGTTTTCTATATATATGATATAGTGTCTGTTCATATTCGTTACTGATATGCGATATTTTGCTGGCAAAGCGTTAGCGCTATGTAAGTTGATACCAAATTATTACTTCGTGTACCCAAACTTAAACAAAAATCATCGCGATTAATATCGGTGATCGCTATTCTGTTTTCTTCCAAACTTGGAACTTACATATGTATATTTTAAATGTTATGAATTCTGATCGTTGAAAACTTTTAATTGTTATACTTGCCAATACTATTATTTTTTATTTAAATATAATATTTAATACTATGTAATAATGAGAATACGCCAGTAAAGGGAATAGTTAATTTCTATTTTCTGTTGTATGTACAGATTATGTTCATTTTATATGAACTGAAATAAAAAGGAATTTTCTGAAAAATATTAAAATTATTAAAATACTTGGCGTAATATACTAATTATGACGAATATAAAGATATACTTATACTTTTATTTCCTTATCTGTATTCTTATACATATTATACATATATATTATACATAGTATATATATATACTCATTCGCTCGTTAGATGAGTTTTAATAGTTAAAAAATATTATTACTTTTAATTGCACCACATTTTCTTTATTTTTTTATTTTCCAAAGAGCGCTCTTTAATAAAAAAAATCTTTTATTATAAAGTTTGTTATTTGAAACTGTATAAAATATATATATTTATATATTTTATTTCATTTCAACTTCAACAATTTTTGTAATATCTACGTCATTTAAAAAAAAAAGATTCCATTTAACAAATATCTAAAATTAAAAAAGTACTAAAGATTACAAAGATAAAAAAATGTTTAAATTATATTATTTTCAATATTATTTAGCGCAATATTTAATATGAATAAGTCACGACGTGAACTATTTATTTTTATCACACTTGTTCTTATTCCTTCATTAATTTATTGAAATGTTTTGCTCTATATCACTATACATCCGAATGATAAACTTTGTCGGTCCTACGTTTTATAATGAAATATATATTTGATACTATAGAAAAATATTTCACTAAACTCCTGATATTTTTTTAATTATTGTAAATCTTTCATTTAAAGCACAAATGCCTCACTTTCAAACACTATCTGCCAAAGTTCGCGCTTTAAAAGAAATTGCAAAAAGACAAAATAAGCTGACAGACCAGTCAGAGCGCCCTTTCGTTGTCCTAACATTCCCTAAACCAAACAGCGTTCATGATATATATTGAAATTTATGTACTATAGTTTATTATAATAATTGCTGATTAAATACACTTATATAAAAGAAAATTAACTCACCGTGCTAACTCCACCAAATGTCACCAAAACCAGCAACCTAAACCAATACTTTTTTTTTAAATAGTCCTTATAAAAATATGCTTCAAAAATATGGATATAAAAAAATATTATTAAATCAATCGACTCATCGGATTTACAAAAAAAAAATTAAAGTGATAATTTAACTTAGAAAATAAATGAATTTAAAATAGATTCTTACCAAAGTACGTGGACCGCCATGGCCCAAAGCGCGCTGCGCCAGTGTCCCGTGCGCGCGCGCCGTTTGAGCCGGGATACTAAGGAAAGAGGAGCGCTCGGGCGGCGGTCTTGGAGCCCCCGCCCCGCACCGGACTGTACGGGAGGCGCTGCGCTCGTCCCTGTGTGAGAGGGCGCGCGACCAGTAGTGCGGCGCAGCCATGTCGGGCCCGGCGCGTGCGCGCCTCCTCGCTGTACACCTTGTGCCCGTTCTCCTCCTTCTCTCCAGGATTTCAGCTCCTGTATCTGCTGTAAGTGCCTCTATAACTTCTACTCTTAGAACTAACCAAGACTTGATCTTTGAAAAAACTTCGACGAGATCTTGAACTTGAACAAACGACCGAATAACGAATCCTGCTAACTTCATTTGACACAATACTTAAAACTTTTTATAAGTTTCTTAGCTGATTCATGTATGAAAATATATGTCATTTTATCATGAGACTTTTCTGAAGTCTTTAAACAATCCAACCAAATAAATGAAGCATAAAATTTGTTTATAAAAAAATATTTTGATACATACCTCTAAATGCAAAGTCGAAGTTATAGTTGTGTCTAAATAATTCTTGTGTTGTTAATAATTATTTTTTACTGTTAAATTATTTATTAATTAAAATAACTGACACAAAATAATGAGAATTGTAATACGCTGACGTGATTGCATTATCAAATTTGTCTATACCACAAAAAGGATACAAGTTACTATTTGTATCATCAAACTGCTAGTTTGATAACCTTTGGAAATAACACCAAGTTTTATGCATGATTTCCATATTATTTTCGACATTGTGTCACATGCATTTGTTTTGAATAATAAGCAATAAGCTCATTGATGACAGTACATGTTGCTTCAAACTTTATACATGCATACTTGGATTAAGATCGTTGGATTTTTATGAAATATATGAATAACTGAAATTAACAAAATTGATAACGAAATAAAACATAACATTTTCTTAGGATTTCCAGTTAAGAACCCTTTATGTTATAAATACTTTCTTCTTTTCAATTAAAACGTTTCAAAGGCCTTTAGAGATATATCTATAGAACAACGAAACAAGCATTATTTATAATATTTTTATAATATATAATGCAAATGGCTATTATAAATAAATAATATGACAATGTCGTTAACAATGTTTAAATATATTTTCACCATCATTTAGCCACTCTTGGTCCATTGCTTGACATAGGACATTTTGTCGTGGTAGAACTATTTTGCCACTCTACTTTAAGAAATATATAGCTAATTTTTTATCCTAACTTTTCTACTCAATAAATATTATGTGGCGTAAACTCTTTCATGTATTATAAGAGATATATTTTAGTTTACTTATCAGTTCGTTTACTCCATACAATCGCAAAATTAGAAGTTACTAAATATACATATATGTATATAACAGAAAAATAACTTCCTTTTTCATCTTTCTTCTCTAGTAAACAGAAACTACTATAGTGTGAAAGAAAATTATGTTGAACTTCCGTAATCTTATTATGTACATGGTTTGAAAAAATAAAAAAAAACGGTGTAATATTTTAATTTCACTTTTGAAACCATTCATTATTGTTAATTAATATATTCTTTTTAGACTATTTCAACTGATTCAAATTCATAATAATTTCCCAAAATTTACTTATAAGGTGGACTTCTTAATGGAGTTTACAGTACATACAAAGTCCGGTTTTTTTAAACAAACTTTGAGTATTTGTGTTAAAAATAAATTTTGACACGAAGTTAAATAATAATTGGTTGTTGTTTATTAATTTTATTACAGAGTATTTTTGTCAGCAAAATATTTAAATGGAATATCGAATATAAAATATATAAGTCAGTGGTGGCCTAGTGGTTAACAGGCCTGCCTCTCATGCTTGAGGGCGCGGGTTCGATCCTGGCCCGGGTGTGATGTGATTTTTCCGAGTCATATGTACTTTCTAAGAATATTTAGACATCACTGATTAATGCATTCCCAAAAGAGGGTTGATGTCAGGCAGGTGGCCCGTCGTAAAAACAATTAGCCAAAAACTATTCACAACATGTAAGGCAGACCCTGGCTAAAAGCTGGGAAATTGCCAGGTAGAAGAAGATCGAATATAGAATATAGTCATCCACACCTGATGGATTTATGCTTGTAATCTCCGGAAGACAGCATGGTAGACGCTTTGCATCTGCTTTATGTAGTCTGTGTTTTTATTTTTATTTTAGAACCTTGCTAGTATTTAAAGAAAAGAAGACAAAAGTAAATACATTCTTCATAATATTTACAATAAAATATGATAATTTTTTTTTATGTAATGCTGTTGTAACACACAATATTAAAATGTTTTTATTTCAAAATATTTGAAAGAAAATTTTGAAACTGAGTCTTCCTATGGTCTTCTTTTTATATAGTAAAACTTTTGATTCAGAATAAGCAGTACCCTCTTTCAAAGCTTTTTACATATGGTCCGTTTTACCTAGTTACCTCGACAACAATGTCATTAGGAAATGATAAATCACATTATCATATTAAAGTAGTTTTTTTTAATCAATAACAAAAAACCTTTGAAAACAAAATCGATTCCTTTATTTTCAATGTAAAACACACTTGTCATGCTCTACAGGATAAGTTGGGCCTAATACATTTCAATGAAAGAAGTTTTCAATCTTTTATAACTATTTGATTTGTAGTGAAAGTGTTTTCATAAAAGTTTAGATAGGATCCGATGTAAGAACTTCTTAGACGACAGAAATTAAATTTAGGGGCGCCTTATTTTTTATATAAAAAATATTTTCTTTACAATTAAAATTTTTGATGGTCTTAACTTTTGTTTTAAACATATTTCATTGTTTACTTCTCTCCCTAGTTTGCGTCTCATTCTTTATGTTTTTAATTCGCAGTCGATTAATAAAAACCTTTGAAAAATAACTTATATTTTATTTTAAATGTTTTTAAAACTAAAAAATATAAGACAACAATCCTTAAAAATAACCAAAATATTTTACAACTAATGATTAACAACTTAAATTATTAATCATTAATAAGTACGAAATAAAAAAGTGTATTAGGAACTGCTTCAAATAAATTATCAAAATGATAATTTACGAAAATTCTTAAAAGCTCCAATTTTAATGAAACGTCAAATATAAATAAGTATATCGCATTTTAATTACACATATAAATCGCATGTAAAAATAATGTCATCACAATTTTTTCCAGAGCTCCAACTTTTTAATTATTCTTTGACACGGGTCACAGACAACATGGCTGACTGATTTGATTACATTAAATTTATTTATTTCTTATTTTTTAAGTTCAATAATAAATAACTATTTACGTAGCAATCAGTTAAATTATTTCAAACCTTGTGGGTTTGAGTCACGTCGTCATGTAACCGTAGCACGCCACGTTACAACAGCAACCAAACCAAACGTTAGCTTCTTCAATTCTTCATTCATATACTCTTATAATAAAGTTTTGAAAATGAACGAATGAATACTAGAAACAATACGTATTTATTTTCCCGATGCAAAACTTGTAGTGATAGTACTTGTTGCTCGACAAGCTTTTAACGTTCCTATTTCATGTACATTTTTAAATATATTTTAATATAATAAGATTCTCTCCTATCTTAACTTCACTCGCTTTCTTCATATCTTCTACTTGTTTTCACATCTTATGCAATAACGAATCGTAGAGTCAGAAATTTTCACTAGGAATTTATTAATGGAAAACTATATTAATTTCAATGAAACATCACAATAATAATAATAATACTAAGAAATAAATATTCAAAGTTATTAATGATTTTAATTAGAATGTCTTACAAGATGCACACTGTAGATTTGTACATGCTAACACATGCTTTATTGGTTTAGAACAATTGTTAACAATTATTCTAATACCTTTTTTGTTATTACTATCCCACATCTAATGCGGTATAACAAAACACAAGTAAGTTATATAATTCTTCCTATAATTAAATTAATTCCTTTGATCTTACATCACCATACATCCGCTGTATCATTCACCTCCCAATTATACATTTTAAAGATCAGAACAACAGTGTGACTGTTGTCGACTTCACTGATAAGATAAATATATAAAAAAAGGCTATCTGTGGCTACGAATAACGTAACGTTATTATCTTTGTTAATTTTATATAATTTATCTACATTTAATTCAAAAGCAAAATATATATATAATTGAAGAAATATATTACTATAAATATTATAAAGTAGTTAGATATATTATATGCTAAATATAATGGTATGTATTATAAAATGGTTACTGTTAATATGGGGACCGAATTGCAACAGTATTCGTTTGTCATTGAAAATACTTGTATGTTAGAAAAATATATATTTTCAAACCCCTTCTAAATTGAGGCAGATATGGTTAAATTATAACACAAATATCTCAGTAGATTTTTTATAAAATGAAAATTTATACCAACTATAAAATCACTACTAGATTATTAAGGTTTTGAATAAGTAAAACATCGTTTTTTCAATAAACCTTTATTCCATTTTTCTTTATCATAGAATATAGCTATCCTAATAAATATTTTTTTTAATTCAAACCAAAACATAGAAGTCGAAAGTAATCATAAGTTGACTACCTATACATTTTTACCAGAACCAAAAAAAGCTAAATTACTTTACACAATGTGATGAGAAGTTATTAAATCCAATTAAAAATGTTATTAAATTAATTCTCGGTAATAGAAATTAGATTAAGATTCTGATAAAAGTGTTGGATGATGGATTTATAGATTAGTTGTAATATATTTTAAAGTTTAATGACGTCAGTGTAACAATTAGCGATAAATTTTCAAATAGGTCACTTCTTAATATAGATCACTAGTAGCCTTAACCTTTGACATAATTATAATCTTAACTATGTTGTCCCTCTTATTTAGGAGTATTATATGAATTCAATTGTCTTAAATATAAATCATCGAAAAATTCAAAACTTGCCAACAATACCTATAAACCATAGAAATCATTTACGACGCAGAATATTAAGGAAGTAGATATATCAATATTATTAAAACATTTATAATTCACATAAAAATTAATTAAAAAACTATAATTTAGACGTGATATCTTGTATTGCAAAGTTTCATTCATTTCGTATAAATAATAAAGCTTTTAAATATGTCTCAATGACCTGAAATTATGCTACGAAACTGTGGAATATATTTTTCATATCGTATTTGGTCTTCGACACGGCGATAAAGTAACATAAAAAAAATACGGACGTTTTATATGTACGTAGATATTAAACAGTTATTAAATTTGACAATCTGATGTTACTGTAACCTTTGCCGCCCTATTATCATTTGATTTTTATACCCGCGACTAACTAGCAACGAAGTTATCACTTAGTAGCCTCGTGACCTAAAAAAACATACGTTATATTTTTTTATTGATATAAATAATATAATAAAATACCTACCATTTCTTGTATGAAGACTTATATATATGAATATTACAACATCTCTTCTTAGACTATGATTTATTAAGTTCAGCTTAGTACCGACTTGTATTTGACAATATTTTTCATTACTATTTTTGTAATAATTGAACTTATATGTTTTTCTTTTATCAAAAGTTATATTGTTATTTATACTTTAGAAAATGGAATTCTTTAAAAATCCTACAATGAAAATAGAAAAACAACTATAGTTCTATTCTTACTTCGCTCCTAAAAAGTTTACTATCAATGTTCTGTTACTTTCTGTATGTTACAACTATACGGTAAGTACTTTAAGTTAATAAAATTTTAGATGCTTTATAAGGACGAAGAAAAAGAAAGGGAAGTAAGGAGTAATATTAATAGAAAATACAATTCCAATACATGATTTTAAATTCTATATATGTACGTTAAACTGTTTATATTCAAATGTTAATAATCACTGGTGCTGTTATCTTATCAAGCTAGTAATTAAACTAATTCCGAATATTTTTAAGTTGATAACCTTAGATAAATTTGCTCTTTTAAGAATACTTAATCAGTTTTATGTGTCCAATGTATTCGCGTCTTTTGTGATAAATAAGCAAAATTATTTTGTCTCGACAATTACAATAATGATGAATGAAATGAAATAATATTTCATTCAATATTTAAACTTTTTGATACATATTTATATTATTATTGAATAAATAAAATTATAGACACCATACAAAATAATTTATTTTATGATTCTGTGATAGTTTAAATGATATGCTGACCCTATTAACTCATAATAGGTGTAAAAAAATCAATGAAAAACTTTTAAACAGGATAAATGTATTATTTATTATAGTTTTAAAAGCCAACACTTTTGGACTACCACTCCAAGTAACAACTGTTATTATTAAGCTAATGTCATTTTCATATCTGGTGCTCAATATATTAAATTAAATTAAATTAAAATTACATGAAGTATGGTTTAAAAAGGAATATATTAATAGATTACAATTAAATAGGTTTAAGCACTGGAACATCCAAAGATCTAAATGGCCTATGAAAAATAAATTATAAAAATATAATTTTATTGCAGTCTAATTGTAACTTTGCAATAGAAGTTTATATAAGTTTAAGTTTACCCCTACAGATGTTTACATCTATTTATACAAATCAACTAAATTGAATTTGAATGCATTTTGATACCACAAATTGATATACACATTGAATTAAATTTATAGACAAAATATAGTGACGAGTACATAGAGATACGTGGAGAAGCAACTAGTTACAAAATAGGTCAAAATCAGCTTCCAATGACGAAGTTTTCGTAACGAGGTCATCTCATAAACGGCAGGATCTGTTATCAAAACGACGGGAAACTGCTATCAACTTGTCGTTAGATATATAAAACATTTTTTGCAATTATTGCCGAAATAACGATATAAACTTACATCCAGTTCACATGAACGCCGTATCACATGACCCTGTTAATATTTGGGCGGACGTTCTGAAATACATTTTTCAATTATTAAAGTAGCCTCTTTTATTCATGGTTTAGTTAGTTTTACCGGTATTTAATTAGAAATTGACTTAGTTATCAGAAGACAAGTGAATGGAAAATCAGTCTTGAATTAAGTATTTAGGTAGTCTTCATTCGTGATTTTCAGAATTTTCTGTTTTCACTTTACTTCACTTCACAATTAGTTTTACGGTTTAAATTCAATGATTACTGTTTTATTTTGTACTCGCTAGTCTAGATTATTCCTTTTGCTTTTCCTCTTATTTCGCTTCTGTTAATTAATTTAAAGGTGGAAAAAACAAATCTTTAAAAATTGAAAAATAAATTAAAAATGCAATATCCCATTATTTCTTCAAATTGTATACTGAGTCAAATTACGGTTGGTTTAAATATTAAAAGTAGAATTTCTTAAATCCAAAGATTCATAAAGGCTCTAAAAAACTTATTTTTTTTAATATTATTAAATACAAGTGGCTTAAATAAATGTATGTATATTATATTTTATTCCGGGGTGAGTTGTCCAGTCAATGCACGGCGCAATTTATGAGTCGATGGATGTTTTATCATCATGACGTTGGACACATCACAGTACAATGAACTCCAAAGGAAGTATGTTTCTCAATTTTTATATCGATTCTAGCAATAACACTTTATTTATATTGTATGTTCATGTATACTCGTAACTTAGACATGAAACCTGAAAGTTATCGTGAGTACGTACATGTTTTATTATTGTAAACTAACAGGATGAAAGAGTTTTTGAAATTTATATTACAACAATATTATATGAAGACTTATGACAAAATTAGTTTGTATGTGGTCTCAAACTAAAAAACACAATAGTCTATATTCTAGTTTTATATAAAAGATATGCATATAGATTTTGAAGGTAAATGAAGGAAATTCATTAAAGTCATTGCACCCATTGCATATCCAAGTCCAATGCATTACGAGTTTCTCACAAACGTATTTTATGGTACAGAACGTTACACTGAAAATTATTACTTACTTCCAGTAAAGCAATATAGGTCAATAGTTTCAGTGCGGTAACAAAAGCCAGTTGAATGTACTGCAGTAATTCTAGTCTAATTTTAGCACAATATTCGTTGACAGCAAAGCAGATTAGATGAAAAGATTTCAGAGATCTGAAGATAAACTATAAATAATACAGGAAACTGGTCTCATGTTTTGCAATAAACAAGTAGAATTTGTCCTTTCCTCACTACACTAAAGTTTCAGGAATTTAAGGATGAAAAAAAAAACATTTCAGTAATAAATATTACAACAAACTGTTTAAGAAGTAACAATGACTTGATAACTGTTCTATTTCAAGACTTTAATAAATAAATAAAAATTCAAATCATATCGCTACTTGCAACAAAACAACAAATAATTATAGCGCACTTATGAAGTATATTGATCGGGAAATATTAATTTTTCATATCTAAATGGCTACATTCTTAGTTCTTATAGTGTAACCGTTGCAAGAAATAATCAGTAAAACATTACAGAAATAATTATTACGGTACGCTGTTTAATAAGTCATAGTTATATTTATGAACTATAAAGTGAACAACGATCGAGGTGTATCGGGAACACGTTTATGAGTTGTCGGGGTCACCAGATTCTAGCAAATTGCTCGTAAATCCCAGAGTTGCTCCATTTTTCAACATTTGACATACATAAAATGTCTTATTGCGTTAATAATTATGCTTTAATATTAAATATAACAAATAAGTTAGAAGCCTAGAAACTCTTCAATACATATAATCACACCTAAAATATAAAATACCAAAAAGTATATATATATGAATATATCATCATTCTTCGTTTGCTTTTTTCAGTAAATTTCATTTTAACGAAAAGGACCACAAAGTCAAAGCTTTTGACAGAACAAACAATACGCATACGTTTGTATCAAAATTTATTGACACATTGTAAGCGAAATTGTTCAATCTTTAATATAATTTATCTTTGTAATAAAGGTAAATATAAAAAAACAACCAGTCATGTTAATTGTTGGATGTCATACATAATAATAGAGCAATCGTAGCAGTTGCGATGAAAAGCTTTGTGCTTTATGATAGCTATGAATTAGTTGTTGTTATGTTGTTGCATATTATGTTGTTGCCGGGTTGGTTTTAATTGTTATAAAATGTGTTCCCTTATGGACTATACACGTGGTGTTGACGGTCGCTGGTGGGCTGGGGGGAGGGGCAGAGCGGACGCTGCGGGATGTGCGAATGGCCGTTATCGCTTGGGACACTGCAATGATTGTTTATCCAGCCCGTTCCTTGAATTGCAACTAATGAGTCACACACTCTATAATCACCAGCTACTGTAATACCTAACGCTGCCGTCATCGACAATCAAAATTTGGTTAGAAACATCGCATTATGTCATCACATATCATATAAAAAAGTAACTATATTCGAGTGTTAGATCAATTAAATTTTGTTTTTATCCCCTTAGTCATCTTGTTTCGGGATCCAAAACTCTTTTTAAAATTGCTTATTTTATTTTTTATTTTTATAGTTTTCAAGCGAGATATAATTAACTATTTGTACATTAATTACATTCACATGCATGTTAAAAACACCCCAAAAGATTCTCAACAGTACTGAAGGGTAGGAAAAAATTCATGGTTTTCAGGTGCCTTCCATAATAGGTAAGCACAATGCTAATGTAAATATGAGAGTTTACAAAGTAGTTTGTGGTGCTTTATGAAAGTGTGGAGCTTACTGTAACGTTTATATAAAAAAATACCAAAAAAATTATTGATATATTTAAATAATACTAAAAATATCCGGGTTTTAAGACGAAACAGAGTAAAGTAAGATGTTATAATTTTCAATTTGATTCCTCATTAAATCTTTGAAATAAATATTCCTAGCATTCAATGATAAAAATTCAAAGTCAGTTTTTTTTTAAGATAACCATTTATAAACTGACTTCTTTAAACATATTTAATAATCATTATAAATAGATATACATCTAACATCCTATTAAAACTCCATAAATAGTTTAAAAAAAAATAGGTAAAAGAAGATTGCCTTAAAAATAAGAGATTTCTTACTAAATAACTAAGCAGACTGCATGCTTAGTTATTGTAAGGAAAAAGTTCCGTGCGGTATTATAAAAATTATATATATTTTTCAAATTACATATCTGAAATTGGAGCATTGGAAATAATATATACTTTTGAGAATTTTCTTGGAAAGTTTCATGGTACTCAAATGTAAAAATGTTGTAAATTTTGTAAATTTGAAATATTTTGTAAACAAATACATATATTCTGTTATAAAAGTTACTCAAGTTTGTATAATTCGTTGTTAAATTATGTCATAATTTAAACTATCCTATTACATTTCGTTGAAAGAAGATTACACTTGACACAATAAAGTTAGCTACATAATATTCTACTACGTAATTAACACGATCCGTCACCATATTGGGAATTGCTAAGTCTTTTTTGTATCTAAATTCACTTGCGAGAATGTTTTCGAAGTACTGAATTGGATTTCAAATATATATGGCATGTTTTCGATGTGTTTTAAAAACAGTCTGTTTATCCATAAATAAAAAGTTAAAAGAAGTATTTACTTAATACTTCTTTTCCACTCTTTATTATGCGTTATCATAAAGGGCTGAAGAAAAGACTATACCATATTATAACATAAAAATAAAGCAGTTAGTAACATAACAAAAATATAAATCACTATGATTGCATTTATATTGTGACATGGAAAAATTATATACATATACCTACTAGCCTATAAGCACAGCCAGGAAGCACACGGCCGGATGCAGTAACTCGCCCACGCAGTTTGCCCGGTAACAAATCGTTTTGCAAACTGAACCATTAAATCACCAAATATCATAAATCAATATAAAATCCGAACTTTTAGTTATCATTATTATCAGAGAAATAATGAGAAAAACAAAATTTGACATTTTATTACAATTGCCTTATAAAATAGGATAAAAAAATGGTTTAAGTAGGAAGTGCAACGATCTTATACTAGCTTTAACGGAATGTATGTCAGAGGTCTTATTGATAAGGCACGTTTATACTTTATACTCAGTAAATTCTGGATTGTTTGTTAAATGATAGAAACAGATATAAAAAATATTAACAGAAGAGAAATAGTTGTAGGTATCTTGATTGACGTATTTGCAATTAGTGACACATGATGTGTTTAACATTCATTCAATATGAACTAAAACTTCTTAATCACAATGACTTTTCAAATATATTTATAAGCTTACTAGTAGAGAATAGAGAGACTTACGTCGGAATATTCATCTATCGTCGACTAATTATGATATGTATTTATGTATTATACATTTAAGATAATATTTTAAACTTATGTGTATCTTAATGGTCGACAGGTACATAGATTGACCTTACTTTTTTATTTAATTTATCCAGGACTGAGACGCTAATGGTGAACAATTTAAAAAGTTAAGGATTATTTATCAACACTATTAAATTATTTAAATGAAATATAAAATATATTCAAAACCATAAACAAAAATTCTATCCAATATATTATAATGTAAGAATGCATAGTGTAGTTGCATAGTGTAGATTTCTGTTTATTCGGCAAATACCACACTTGATTGACCTTTGCTTCAATGTAACACAACACGGTCACGGGTCATTCTCTTCTATAACAATCTATAAAGAATTTGAATATTTGTCTATTCATATTGCTTGATTATTAATGTGTGCATTTTCAAAATCGTTTTCAAATCGAAACAAATAATTTATTTGATACCTTGAACATATAAATAAAATACAGAACATTGTGCTCATGAGTATAAATCATCATTACACAATTTGTTTGTGATTCAGTATATAAATTGATATTTATAATAAACTTTAAGCATTGTCTCAATAAACCACTTAAAATATATTTTTGCGTATTGCCCGGCAAATTAAATGATCGTCTATTGTAGCCTATTTGTTAAACTAAGTGTTTGTTACAGATAAAATACTTTAAGAAACAAATACTGAAAGACTATAATTTATAAAATAACAAGTGGCCAAATTTTATTCCTTCTTAATTATAAAACAAAAAATATAACAATCGATAATTTATCTTAAAAATAGTACTTATTTAGTTTTTCTATATTTTTTTAAAAGATTTTCAAAGTGGTCCCTATTGGCTTAATGTAGGCCTTTCGACGTTAAGGCCTGTTATCAATACGAACAGGCAATTTTTTTTATGAAATTCGTTGCTATTGTACTGACTCGCTGCTTTTTAGGTACTCCAATTATCATAGCGTGTATACCAAGTTTTCCTTTCTGAAATGAATGATTTAATCTTTATGCAATGGATTGAGATCAGGAATAAATGACGGTCAGTTTTAACCTTAAATGAAGTCCCGAACTTTCGGTCCTGACTAAGATCGTGTGGATCAAGCTTTATGATCAGACGCAGGGTGTTGATGAAAGGATCATTCTTGCTTATTGCACATGGTGTTGTTGACGATCTAAACTACCTTCTTTAGAACTTTAACTTGATACACTTGTGCCGTTGTCCTGAACCTTTTCTAAAAACAATATTGTGCATTTATTCTTTCATAGCCAATACACCACCAAGTCATAACTAAAGTATGTAGTATAATTCCAACGTTGTGCTCCGATGACTTATTGAACCTTTATTTAGAACTTGCAACATGAATATGGGTTTGTTAAAAAAAAAAAAAAAAAAAAAAAGAAATTCCACACCTGTCAACACAATTTTTCTTACTATAAATAGGGTCATTGATTTTACAAGCATATTACTTATTGATTATCCATAATGACAATTACATCTCTCATAAACAGCAAGTCCTAGGTGATATTTAAAAATACGGAACATTGGCGCAATGTTCATTTCGCCAGATAAAATCTTGTTTTCGTAAAGGACATTATCTTTTTCTACGAGCTCTATGTGGACCCTAGATTATTTCTGTCACAAACAAATGAGTTTTCATTGTACTCTTCAATAGCCCGATCCACAAACTTTTCATCAATAATGCATATCTACCGTATCGAAGATTTTAAAAATTTTGTTGACTCAGTAGCTACTTTATGTAAAGCCATTATAGTAATTGGATCTTTTTTTCATCCGAGTCAATTTTTATATAGCAAAATATTTTATAATACATTGGCCCGAAAATAAGGAAAAACAATAAACAATCATATTATAGAAAAATTCAAAAGTAATATATTTTTTTTTTATTTTTTACTGTAGCAACATTTATGACCAGACTAAGTACCCACCCGTATGACATCATGTCTTAAAAAACCTATAATGCTTCAGTACACAACTCTAGATAATAATTAAAAAAGTGTAATATAAATTGCACAGCCTAAATAAAACTTCATATATTGTCATATCTCTAATGAAAACTGATTTTCTATGAACATAATATCTAATTAATTGTTATTATTTACAATAAATGCATTCAATACAATTATTAATGCCGTCTTATAACGAACTTAACAGTTAAAATTTTAAATATATGCAGGTTGTATGCAATCAGACCGTATGTGATTGTGCCGGTCTCAAAGGAGATCGCGGTGACATTGGTTCTCCAGGAATACCCGGACCCCAAGGCGATTATGGAGAGGATGGACCTGATGGACCCATGGGACCCCCTGGTGAACCAGGGGACTGGGGCGAGAAGGGTATCTCGGGTGACAAAGGAGAAAGGGTAACTATCTCCTTCAAAATAAGCCTAATATTAAAAACATCCTTAAAATATTTGTTTATTCATAAATATTCTTTGTTTATTTCTATTTTTTATATTTTTTTCAGGGTGTAGATGGCCCCTACGGACCGAGAGGATTCACTGGACCTCAGGTTTCAAATTCAATGCTATTAATCATAATAAATATATATATACATACAAAATAATAATTTATTGATTCGCATGCGAGTATTAAAATTTTATTTATTGATTCTTTAAGGGACCCACTGGTTTAGAAGGTGTAAGAGGTATTGCTGGTCTTGATGGATGCAGTGGTATTGATGGTATTATGGGTCCTCCTGGGCCCCAAGGTATACCTGGTGATAGAGGGTTACCGGGTCCTTACGGTGAAAAAGGATCACAGGGCTTAGCAGGAGAGGGTGGTGTTAATTCAAGAGGAGCGAAGGGAGATCAAGGTGATAGTGGACGACCTGGCTTACCAGGACCCAGAGGGCCTATCGGATGGCGAGGTGATAGTGGTATGCCGGGGGAAGTTGGTGATCAGGTACTTATAACAATGACGTAAAATGATGTTATATAATCCACTGAAATATATAACGTATGGAATAATTTCATTTACTTAGGGACCTATGGGGTACCGAGGAGAACCGGGATATAGAGGAGATCTCGGTGACGATGTTGTAGGGCCTCAAGGTGAAAAGGGAGATCAAGGAGAAGTTGGAGAATCCGGAAGGCCAGGGAAAGTTATCTATATTGATCACCTTCAAGAAAATGTTACAATATTAGCTAAGGGAAACAGGGGTGACAAAGGATTTGCGGGTACACAGGGCGTCAAAGGTGTTAAAGGAGACACTGGCTCTATGGGTCCACCGGTAAGTTAAAACTATTAAAATAAATAAATACTTTGATGCAAGCACCTGATATAATATTTGAAGCCCAACCATTATTTCTGACTAGACTATCTGCTGTCGTCTTTTTCTATATCAATCTTCTATCTTACCTATATGTATCTTCTTACCTATATCTATATGTATCTTCTTACCTTCTATCTTACCTATATGTACATATATTTTAATTAATAGGGGCCAAATGGACTTAACGGAGACCAAGGTTACAAAGGCGATCAAGGAATAGACGGACCTAGAGGTAAACCTGGTCATCGTGGACGCAAAGGGCCTCTTGGACCAAAAGGTGATAAAGGATGGCCAGGATATGCTGGGCTAGATGGAGAAGATGGAGAGCCGGGAGCAAGAGGAGAAGACGGAAGACCTGGAATGCCGGGAGTTCAGGGTCCTCAAGGAGAGAAAGGAATATACGACGAACGTCTTAATGAACCACTTCTGCCTGGTTCAAACGGTCCACAGGGTCCGGTAGGTTTTCCAGGACCTCCAGGACCTCCAGGTCCAGATGGAACTAGAGGTTTGCCTGGAATTCAAGGTCCACCAGGTATGCCTGGACCAAAAGGAATAGCTGGACGTCAAGGACCTCCAGGAAGTTCGGAAAAAGGAGAACCAGGAAATGACGGTTTCAAGGGGTTACCCGGACCTAGAGGTCCTATGGGCTATCCAGGTCCTCAGGGAGTATTAGGACCAAAAGGTTTTAAAGGTTCAGCTGTAAGGGGCCCCGAGGGTGAAGAAGGTACACCGGGATTAGATGGCAGACCTGGTATTAGAGGAGACAGAGGAGACTTTGGTTTCATGGGCCTGCCAGGATATCCAGGTCGGGGTGTTCACGGTGTTGGTCCGCCAGGGGAGGATGGTCCTCCAGGACGTCCTGGAGTCGTTGGTGACCAAGGAACACCTGGAAGACCTGGATTTTTAGGTCTAAAAGGAGAACGCGGTGACGACTGTCCATTCTGTCCATCAGGTAAGCTTATCACAAACATTAACCTTAACAAACTTTTTTAATTTACAATATCCAAAAAATCATATTTTATGCGAAATAAATGTCCTTATAATAAGAACATTTTGAATAACTATTTATACTCACTTTACTTGTATATTTTTAATGTATCATATTTACCTTTAAGATAAAGTTGAACTGTTCTAATAATTGCACAAAAATATTCTATTTTAGGTTTACCAGGTATGAAGGGAAAGAGAGGAGATGAAGGTTTTAAAGGTCAGAAAGGATATCCCGGTCCTGAAGGAGAACGTGGCCAACGTGGGTTAAAAGGAGAAAGTGGCTCGCCAGGTTTACCTGGATCGAAAGGTCCGAAGGGTATCACTGGTCCGCCCGGAATGACTGGTCGTCCTGGACTACAAGGAGAGAAAGGGCGACTTATACAACCCCCTCTATCCTTAATAATAGCTGAACGTGGACCCCGTGGTGAACCAGGTATTAAATAAAACATACGTATTTATTTTTATATAAATATTATAATAAATTAACACAAAAAATATAAATCTATTTTGTTTATGAATTAAAATATGATATGATTTACAAAAATATATTTTTAATAATATGTAGCAAGTTACAACCTTCTAATTACACAAAATATAGTATTGATGTCTAAAGGATATGACTATAATAGGGCGTATATTTGAAAAATAAATATTTTTTTTTACATAATAAATACCAAAAACCATAAAATTTATAATAACGCCTATAACTTTGTAGGTTTTATTGGGGATCCTGGTCTTCGTGGAGATCCTGGTTTTCCTGGGCTTCGGGGAGAAAATGGCTGGAAAGGTTCCAAAGGTATGGCTGGTGAAGACGGTTTCCCTGGTCCTGATGGAAGGGATGGATTAAAAGGACGAGACGGCGTACCAGGAATGCCTGGTGAAGATGCTGATGTTCCTATACAATTTCTATTTGGACAACGAGGAGATAAAGGAATTAAGTGAGTTTTATATACATAATTCTATATAACACATCCAAAATATTTGCTATACTTTTTTTAGAATCGTACAAACTTCGATCTACAAACCCCAGGAGTAGAAACTGGTTTATAAAAAAAATTAAGCGTGCCATTTGAAGTTATGCTACATTCAATACTACAAATTGACAAAAAAATTTAATAGAATACTTTTCAAACTTTTAAATTTTTAATTACACTAATGCCCATCGTTATTTTCTAAAATCAATATGTAATAATACGGACTTAAGTATATAATATTTACATAAGTATGTATATAATATTTACAAATATTGTAAAGAAATTAATTATTGTTATGTATAGTATAAGATAATGTGGAGAGCAGATTTCAGGTATTTCGGATTCAATAATATTTTATTTTTTGCAATAGGGGACAACTCGGAGAACCCGGAGATGATGGTCTAAAGGGTGATGCTGGAGAAGCTCTTGGTTTCGGAATAAATGCTAAAGGAGAAAAAGGGGAACCGGGGCCGATGGGTCCACAAGGTACAAAACTATTAAAATTCGGCTAAAGTTATTTCCGATCGTTTTGGTATAATGCAATTTCATGTTAAACAATAATATTTAACTTAAATATAAATATAACATAGTTATGAATAAAATAAATTAAATCTATCACACATATTGAAATTTAATATCATATTCTATTTACTATACATACAATGACTAAATTCTTTTAATGATGACAAACTTACAAGAACTCGAATGTTATTCAAAAACAGAAGTATATCCATTACATACCTGTACATATTTATTTTAAATATATCAATTTTAAACCTTCATTAAAAACATTATTGTATTTTAATCATCACATTACACAAAAAGGTCTATTTTTACTTTACTAATATTGAATTATCATTGCTAGCATATTCAAAGTTTTGCATTCTGAAAATATCATAAGCAGCTATCAGTAAAGTAGTAATATCATAAGCTATTAAAGTAGTCAGTAAAGTATGAAATTTTTACTAATTTATACGCATTCAATTTTATAATTTGATTATTCCTACGAACGACGAAACGAAAACGGTTCAAATTTTGTACGTGACTCTCTACTGATTATTGTGAAAGATACATATATATTTTTTACTGCATTTTTTTTAATTCCTATATCCTTATAAAATTCGCCTGTACAACAATAGTTTATTTAGGAATTACGTCCATTTTACGATCAACGAATTATTTTATCACTGACGAGAAAGTTATTAATAAATCATTTTAACAACTACAACATCAACAATAAAAAACAAATTCTTAATCTTTTTAGGTTTGCAAGGAATTAAAGGAGATACTGGTGATATTGGATACGAAGGACTTCCAGGAGAACGAGGTGATATTGGTCTACCCGGTGTTTCCAAACAAGGAGAAAGAGGTGCTAGAGGTTTTCCCGGAGACAAGGGAGATATAGGCCCCTACGGAGAACCTGGAGGTCCAGGTCTAAGGGGTCCTGTTGGATTTGATGCACTTAAAGGCAAGAAAGGAAGTCGGGGTGAAGTTGGGTACGCAATTATTTACGGCGAAAGAGGTTTCAATGGTATTGCCGGAGATTATGGTGATGTAGGCGAACCTGGTTATGCTGGAAACCCGGGAAGAGCAGGTTTGATGGGACCTAAAGGAGAACCAGGTTTACCTGGTGACGTGGGTCCACCTGGGCCAGTAGGACCACCAGTAAGTATGGGGATTTAATCATTAAGATATTTAATAATATTCTATAACTTTATTTATATTTACTGTTTTTTTTTTAAGATAAATATTAAAATTCGACATTTCGAATATAAGACTAAAATATTCAGAAATAAATAAATAAAACATGATGTAATAATTAATATAAAGTGCAAGAGTTATTTCGCTTTCTAACATATAAATGTTTTTAGGGACGGAAAGGAATGTCAGGAAACATTATACAAGGTGCTCCCGGTATGCCAGGTCAACCCGGAAGACTGGGTTCTATAGGATTAATCGGTGAACCAGGACTACAGGGTTACAATGGCTTGCAAGGAGATGTTGGTCCAAAAGGAATGAAAGGAGAAGCCGGTCGAATGGGAAATCGTGGTTGGACTGGTGAACGTGGTCTTACAGGCAGAAGAGGCCGTCCCGGACTTATGGGTCAACCTGGTGTGAGTGGCGAAACTGGTGATCGCGGTGATACTGGTCTTCCTGGTTTTAATGGTTTACCTGGAAGGGAAGGTCTCGTTGGCATGATTGGTCAAAAAGGACTACGTGGTGATATTGGTTTACCGGGACCAGACGGATTAGTTGGAGCACCAGGTCCCAAAGGAGAGAGAGGTTTCGATGGAGTTGTTGGTGATAAGGGTATGCAGGGAGAAAACGCCTCCATAGGAATGAAGGGCATGTCTGGAGATATGGGTTTTAATGGAATGCCAGGAAGACCAGGGCAATCCGGTTTAAAAGGTTTAAGAGGTGACATCGGCAACCCAGGATTAAGTTTAAGAGGCCTCAATGGTACTAAAGGATTCCGAGGTGATGATGGCATTTCCCGGAAGAGTAGGTGAAAAGGGCTTTAAAAGGATTCCAAGGAGATTACGGTTATGAGGGTATTGCGGGTGAAATAGGAGACGAAGGTTTCCCAGGTTTGTCTGGTTTACCTGGACGAATAGGATTTGATGGTGCCAAAGGAGTTTCAGGGCACATAGGATTACCAGGCTTCCAGGGACCGAAAGGTGATACAGGGTTTGAGGGTGAGCCAGGTAGAATGGGTTCACCAGGATATCCAGGTGATGTAGGCTTGAGAGGTTTGATAGGTGAAAGGGGTCCATCTGGCCCCAAAGGAATGGCAGGAGATATTGGACCCAGTATCTATTTACCTGCTACCAAAGGAGATATGGGAGATATCGGAATGGAAGGACTAAAAGGTGCTAAGGGTGAAATGGGCGAACCTGGATTTTCAGGATTAAAAGGCCAAAAAGGAGAACAAGGCGATGTAGGCTTACAAGGAGAATTTGGTGATGATGGACTTCCGGGTCCTAAGGGTTATTTAGGAGCAATGGGACCTCCAGGTTTACCAGGTCTAAATGGCATCAACCCTGAGCCAGGAGAACAAGGCAAATCTGGAATTTGACGGTTTACCAGGTTGGCCAGGTCCTATGGGTCAAAAAGGTGCTCCGGGAGAGTTTGGCATTAATGGTCCTGAAGGAGCACCTGGTCAACCAGGGCTCATTTTTAGTGGACCAAAAGGGTATAAGGGAGCAACTGGTCGACCCGGGCTAAGGGGCATTTCTGGTAAACGTGGTCCAACAGGATTACCAGGAATCCCTGGACTAAAAGGGTTAACTGGTGATATCGGTGAACCTGGCTTTGCCATAAGCCCTAAAGGTGAAAGAGGAAATCCTGGTATATCAGGTTTTTATGGCTTGAAAGGGATAAAAGGAGACGCTGGAGATTTGGGACTGGCAGGTTTTAAAGGATATCAAGGCCCGACAGGAATGAAAGGAGAAAGAGGTGACGAAGGTTACGAAGGACTTAATGGATATTCAGGTGCTAAGGGAATGAAAGGTGATAGAGGAGATGAAATACTCCCTTCAGATGTTAAGCCCGGGCCAATGGGTGAAGTAGGTCCTCCTGGATTTGATGGGCAACCTGGTCGTGCTGGAGCTCCCGGAAATTTCGGAGAAAATGGTATTCCTGGATTCAAAGGTGAAAGAGGTGATATTGGAGACATTGGTCCAGAAGGTTTGCTAGGCAAACAAGGTGAACAAGGATTCATGGGTATCAAAGGAGAAATTGGTTTTGATGGAGTCCGTGGTTTGCCCGGTCTTCCTGGATTGCCAGCACCTCCTCCTCCAATTCCTAAATCAAGAGGATTCTATTTTACAGTACATTCACAGACTCATCTCATTCCCGAATGCCCCTCTGGAACTACACCTTTATGGGAAGGATTTTCTTTACTTCATATAGTTGCAAATTCTAAGGCCCATGGACAAGATTTAGGTAAGTTGATAAATGGAACGAAATAAAAAATATATCGTCATATTTTCAGGTTCTTTGTAATCCAGTATAAGTAAAATAAATATTTCTAATAATTTACCAATATCTAAACACAGTTTAAAAAATCCTAATTTGATACTAGCTTACACATGGTTTGTAACTTTTTTGGTAATAAAAAACTGGCTAAGGTGATAAACCAATTTTAACATTTATACTTTTTATATTTAGGTGCACCTGGAAGTTGTCTTCGAAGATTTTCAACAATGCCTTATATGTTCTGCAACATAAACAATGTTTGCGATTTCGCCCAACGCGAAGACTACAGTTTTTGGCTCTCAACACCAGAACCAATGCCAAGCGGTATGACCCCGATTCCAGCAACAGACGTTGGATCATACATTTCCCGGTAAAGTCACCTTAATTTATAAAAAAAGAAACTTTAAAATGATATCATTTACTTATGATATACTATATGATTTTTAGGTGTCAAGTGTGCGAGACATCTACACGATCCATTGCTATTCATAGCCAAAGCAGCTCTATACCAACTTGTCCAGATGGCTGGGATGAATTATGGATAGGTTATAGTTTCCTTATGGTAAGTACAAAAGGTTGATATACCTTCCTGTCAACTTTCTAGATATTAGTGAATATATTTACTTATGATCCTTGTTACAGCATACCGCTGGAGCTGATGCGGCAGGTCAAAGTCTCATATCACCGGGATCATGCCTTCGGGAATTCAGAACGCGACCATTCATAGAATGTAACGGCCTCGGACGCTGCAACTTTTTCGCAACCGCTGTTTCATATTGGTTATCAACAATCGATGACAACAAAATGTTTGAAACACCTATTCAAGAAACACTGAAACAAAATAAAGTTTCTAGAGTCAGCAGGTACGTAGTACCATATTTATATTAAACAGTACTTAAAATATTATAATGGCAAGTATTTTTTTTCAACTGCAAATATTATTGTGCAGGTGCGCCGTATGTATGCGACGTCAACCTCAGAGGTCGTATAGCGCAGGCACAGTGGAGGCTGTACCTAACGCAGTAGTACGACGCCCCGTCAACCGACCTATTAACCGGCTTCGGCCTCGCTACCCCCCGCGAGGTACCGGGGAAGACGCCGCCATTGAAACAATAGTGCCATAATTAATATCACTGCCAACATAACTTACTTCTACGTGTAGTGTCACTTAATTAAAATTTATGCAAGTAGTCCAAGTAATTAGATATTTAATTTTTATATTAAGGCTTAAGTGAGCTTTGTTTAATATGTAATAGAGCGCTCTCTTTTTAAGGAATTTAACGATTTTATTTTATTATATTTACATACATACATAATATATATGATTTCCATAAACATAATAACAATACGACAAAACTACAGCAACGAATTTTATTTTTAAATCTATTATCTATTATTTTCTCCGATATTCATTGCCCTGTTAAAGTCACCAAAAATAGAGATTGTTTAATTTTTCTGTGAAATATTCTGGATAAAATTATAATTAATGTTGATGTTGATTATTTCTTATTAAAAAAATGTTATCGACACTTAGTATAGGTCAAGCAACATGAAAAAGAAATATTTTTAATATGTTTTAAGTTCCCGTTCCCTCAGCAATAATGTAAATAGATATAAATATAATAAAACTTAAAAATATTATGTAATGTACATTTAATTATACATACGTTCCCAACCCTTTTCCTGTTCACATAACATCAAGTTTTTGAAATACATACTTTTCTATGAAACAAAATTCATGTCATATTTTATATCATTTTAAACATAAAATGATACATACATAACAATGTACCTTTATTTTTTCCCTAAAGTAAAATCGCTTTTAACTCTTAAAGTTTTTTTTTCCGAATACAGCAATTCACAGCAATGATAAAAGTAATCCTTATCGATACCAAATTTCCGTAAATCCTACTAATATTATAATTGCGAAAGTTTGTATGTGTGTATGTTTCTTACTTCTTCACGGTCAAACGGCTGAACCGATTTTGATTAAATTTTGTATACAGGAAGCTGACGTCCAGGAATAACACATAGGCTACTTTACATCCCGGATATCTTGGAAATCCGTCGGTAACACCGCGGGGCGCAGCTAGTATTATATAAAATTAACAAGAATTCCTGACAGACACTGCATACTCAACCACAATTTATGGGGTTAAATAACAAAAATATAGAAGTCATTCATTTTTAGACATTAAATTTGTATGTCCCAAGTTTTCGTCTCTACGTATTATGGACCGAACATAAGCCGATATAAATTTACTGGGATAGATTTCTGTTTTCCTAAATTTTGTTGTAGATCATAGTAAAGGATTAATTTAGGTACATTATGGTATTTTTTCTGGTATAGTGTTTGTAAAATTCCTAGAAATCTCAAAAGCAATTACATATAATAAGTCAAGTGTACAAAATATTGTAATATTAGCAAGGATCACAACCACACCTTATAAATATATGAATGACCAAAGAGGATAATCAATAGCATATTGAATACCAAATATATTTCACAAAATTCAATGTAAATCACTTAATATGTGTACACAAAGGATTCCATCTCAGATCTTTAGTAGAAATAATTTAGCAATTAGCTAGTAAAGCAATAGTCAGGAAGAGAGTACAATATACAAACAAATTATACTGAAGTATATAGTTGAAATACAGACAAGATTTTAGCAATTAGCAATAATGAATACATTATACTATGTTATTATAACTCATGAACTTGATCTGGATATATTATGTTAAAGTTTTTGGTTTCTCACAGAAAAACATTCTCATAATTGTTATAGGTGTAATAGATGAAGACACAAGTCAATTGTTGATGTTATTATTAATAACCGACTGTTTGATGTTCCATAAAACACTACCACATAATTGTTAGGAATGTACTTGAAAGCTTTCCGATCTATAAATCTATAATAATGTAACTAGGTAATTTCGATTTTATATAATATGTATATTATAAGGTACAACTGTGTCACTAACATAATAATGTGTCTAGATTAATGTGGAATTATTAAATGCAAGGAATCATAAACAATATAAACTGTATCAAAGTATTACATATGTATTTGTAATAAATACAAAATTCTTAACTATGTTAAATGAACTATATCAAAGAGATTACAAATAATTTTTTAATTATTTTAGTTCAACTAGTTATTGATAAATAAAATAACACTGTCTATAAAAAGGTTTAATTATATTGCATAATATCTATTCTATTGTTTTAGATACACTATCCAAATGCTTTAATTTGTGGTCTTCAAGGTTTGGCCTTGCTTCATAAGTACAAATAGTAACACCATGCCTGTGTCCTGGAGTCCATTCTCCTTTTAATCCAATATAGTATATTCTTGTACTTTCTGCACCAAAGTTGTTAGGAAAATGCATAGTCAAATGGGATACAGATGAGAATGTGACAATTCTGGAAAACAATATTTTTTTAAATAGTTTTAGAACATTTACAACAAACAGTAAACGTATTATTTGCCATGTTTGATATGGCCATTACTTTTTTTAAAACTGCTCATATCTGTTGTCACTTTTAAGGTCAACAAAGTTTTATTTTACTGCATACTTACTTCTACAATACTATTTGGTTACAAGAGTTGTAATGAGATTATCATAAAAATAAATTCAAAGCTAGTAATTTTTTAAGGCTTTGAATCATTCTTTTATAAATTAAAACACTTAAAACTTAAAACATTATATTAATTCAATCAGAATTGCTAAATTGTATAGGTAAATTTTAGTAAGCATTTTTTTTTATAATCCTATACCCTTAAAAAAAATACTCTTTTTAATATTATTATGATATATACTTAGGTGTAAATAATCATACTCACTTTGGACTGTACTCAACAATGCCTTGACTATCTTTTTGCAGGTCAAACACTTGATCAGGTTCTAAAGAAACATCATCAAATGTCATATTTGGTTTGTTTTTGAAGCTGAAAAAAAATAGTATATGTAAAAAATATGAGACTTAACATAATTATAACATTTCTAAAGAGATTTTAACAAAAGTATATTTAGTTCACTTTCTTAATATGGCTATAATAGTTGTCTTACAGTCTTAATTTGGAAGGGTGTGCTTCAGTTTCCTCAGAAGCTATTCTTATGCCTTTCAGTTTGACATTGCCTGTGAAGGGAATATTAAACAGTAACTCCTCGTCAGCATCACTTTCGACATACTGAAACAATATATAATAATTATGTCTAAGTTGAATATCTTGTTTGTTTTAGAGAATACCATTCTAAAAAATTTAAAAAACTCATGATAAAATGATAATGTTCTAAGGATCTTACTCTTTTGGAGATAACATAAAACTTACATGTATTCTGTCAAGACGATTGATCCACGGCTTAAATACTGTTTTTCCAGCTCCATCAACACTTTCATTGAGGCATTGCAGATTGTCTTTGTCTATTTTTTCAAAAAGATTATATTGCAGACCTAGCTCATCTGAACTTCCGTGGTCGTGATCGTGTCCATGGCAATGACTATGAGGCATGACAGTCAAAATTTATTCTGGGTTTGGCTGAAAAATAAATAAATATCTAATCTAAATAAATAAACATCTTTGTTATGGAAAATATGGAAATCGTGCAAAGATTGATCTAAACAGCCAACTCTGTTTTTTAACGTACAAAAAAAAGATGATTCAGCGATTTATGTTTATAATATAATAGAATAGTAAAATCAATTCAAACTAACCATAAATCTTATATAGACTATGAGTATTTTGTACAATTTAGATTACAAAAATGGTAACAGAAATATTTTGATTTAAACTTGGGGTAGCAATACTGATATTGGCTCGACTTTAAAAAACTCTAATTTTAGCACTTGCAAGTTGCAGTATAATTAACGAAATTCAAGTAAATGATATTGACAAATTTGACATTTCAACATCTACATATTGATATAAGTGAAAAAATCTTATCTCGATTCTTGGCATTGAAGTTCTGTCATATCCTATCCTGGTGTAGGACTAACCCGTCTTGTCTTCAACATATCTGATTGACTGAATATACCTACTATTAAAAAAATTTCATACGGATAAATGCTACAATCAAGTATATATTATAAAACTTAACTCTTTCAACTTAATATATTTTTTCGAAATCTGTAAAGAGAATTATTTTGTTAAATACATATTTCACCAAGTCAATTTTATCTTTAATGCTAGTGTTCTTTATAAATTATAAATCGAGTCCTAACATTGCAAGGCTCTAATTATATAGGATATATTACTGTGTGTAAGCATCATAGTAAAAACTGTACAAGATCTTATAAATTTAATTACATTAAACTTTTAGTAAGAATATTAAAATTTTCGGTATACTCACACTTATGTAACTAAAAAAAATTTCTGGTAAAGAAGTGTTTTTGAGAAAGATATATAAAGTTTCATTTAATAAATAGTTTGTGTCTTAGTAGGTACAAAAAAAATATGGTCAAAATCATTTAAACATTGTAGCTACTGACAACATTCAGTCTATGGTGATTAAAGATTGTCAATGTCGAAACCTGATTAAATTTGATTCTTGTGGTTCCGAGTTCGACTATCTTTGTGCAGCTCTGTACCAACTTGTAATCTATCCTTAAAGATAACGTTATTAATGTCAAATTACTAGTATATTACTGTGTAAAAAATAAAAAGTTAAATATGTCGTTGTTAACTAATTTCAGTATTACTTTTCTTTATTGTTAGTTTATTGATATGTTTCATTACTTGCGCTGACAATAATGTTGCTAATGAAAATGAACCCGAAAGTATTACAAAAATAGGACAAGGGGGTCGGTCATGTTATGAATATTAATTACTGGTTTGTGTATCAATGAGACATACACAAATAATTACATTAGTTAAGAACAAATTAGATTATAAACTTAAGATAACCTATTAACCTTTTGTTATAATGTTTTAGTTACTCCATGTGGATACAGACTAAAGTTTTTGAAGACTATGCAGGAATAAATCAACAAAAATATCCAGAAATTTCTGTATTGGTGCAAATTATGACCCTACCATGCATTAACATTGTATCTGTCTAGATTGATTGTAAGTAGTTCTGCTTTGTATAGATTGCATAAATTACACAGTGAATTAATTAACTATTTTTTACGTAAGTGCTAATAAATAATCTATTTAAATGAGACATCATTTATAAGGAGTTTTTTAGAAAGTAAAATAAGAATAAATTTGTATTCTTGATTGTATGGGTAAACTGCATTATCTGATTGAACATTAAATGGAACTGGTTTTCTGAAAATATACAATACCTCTTTTTAGAGTAATAATATTAATAGGATGGAATAGTGTTTTTTTGTATTCAGAATTTTGAAGCACAGAAATAAAGAACAATTCTTATCATCAATTAATAAAATTTGTAGAATGATTTCAATAAAACATTGGTTAAACCACATTATTTTTTAGTGTTGAAATTTATTTAATCTTCATTACAGGGATTTGGCAAAAATTATTTTAATCATGTGTATCTTGAGTGGTGTGCTAACAGTGATTTTGCGAAGCTGGTTAAAACAAACCACAACCTTCCTGGTGGAGTTGGTGCCTTGAAAACAAAGTTTATATGCTTTGTATGATGATGTTTTTCTTGGCCAACATGATTGGAAGGTCAACTGGTACAATCTGGTGCTTTTGGAAATATCCCTTAACAATGATCCCACTATGGTCTAAATTAGAACCCGGAAGAATTCCACACAACAACCTCCGGAACTATTTCAAATTTATTGATCACATTACACCAATTCTCAAAAATGGATATTAGTAATAACTTTGTCAAATAAATTAATATTAAACAAAATATTTTGGCTTTATATTCTGTGGCATTTTTCTAGATGTTACATAATAAAACTATAATCTGTAGAACTTTACGAACATAAGTCAAAGGTTTTTTTTTTTTCTTTAAACAGCATCTTTTCTTTATTTCAACATAAAATTGGTTATACAGCTGGCCATAGTTTCAAAATAAGTAAATGTAACAACATGTATTGTGTAGATATTATTTGAAATTTTGTAAAATAAAATGAAATGTTTTGTTGACCTTAATTTGAATCGAAAATTAATTCTCTTACTCACTCTACTAGGAAAAATTCCAAGACATAATTATGGGCAACAGATTTGTTCGTAACTCACCGACCTTTAAATTAAGTGGTTAACTTTGAGATTATAACAAATTTCTAGAATATCGATAAACTGTGGATTCTTCCAGAACTTGAAATAAATTTTAAAGGCTAGAAGTCTTTTTTAAATATTCCTGCTTTTAGTTCATTATTTTATGCATAAATCAACAATATTCTTAAACAAAAGACAGGAGGATAAGTGTTTGTGTAAGGTTTCAAATTACATTTTATTATTAATAAAAAAAGTATGTTTATTTACGCATTTATTACATAATATAGTTGAACCTGTTCGAAGTGTGGCGTCACCAGCACAACAACGCTTGGATAATCCAGAAATATTATACACCAGATTTTTATTTACAAAATAATTATTGCAGTGTCATAAGACTAAGGCACAGGTGGAACAGAATTATATATTTTAATTTTTATTATTCGAGTTTGATTGTGACACCATTGTGGGGCGGCCGTGTCTTAGTACTCGCGCTTGTTGGTGGGCTTGTGAATTCGCATCGATGACCACGGACCAACGTGGTGTGACGATTATTAATGGCCCGCCAGAATCAAAAAAAAAAAAAAAAAAAAAAAAAAAAAAAAAAAAAAAAAAAAAAAAAAAAAAAAAAAAAAAAAAAAAAAAAAAAAAAAAAAAAAAAAAAAAAAAAAAAAAAAAAAAAAAAAAAAAAAAAAAAAAAAAAAAAAAAAAAAAAAAAAAAAAAAAAAAAAAAAAAAAAAAAAAAAAAAAAAAAAAAAAAAAAAAAAAAAAAAAAAAAAAAAAAAAAAAAAAAAAAAAAAAAAAAAAAAAAAAAAAAAAAAAAAAAAAAAAAAAAAAAAAAAAAAAAAAAAAAAAAAAAAAAAAAAAAAAAAAAAAAAAAAAAAAAAAAAAAAAAAAAAAAAAAAAAAAAAAAAAAAAAAAAAAAAAAAAAAAAAAAAAAAAAAAAAAAAAAAAAAAAAAAAAAAAAAAAAAAAAAAAAAAAAAAAAAAAAAAAAAAAAAAAAAAAAAAAAAAAAAAAAAAAAAAAAAAAAAAAAAAAAAAAAAAAAAAAAAAAAAAAAAAAAAAAAAAAAAAAAAAAAAAAAAAAAAAAAAAAAAAAAAAAAAAAAAAAAAAAAAAAAAAAAAAAAAAAAAAAAAAAAAAAAAAAAAAAAAAAAAAAAAAAAAAAAAAAAAAAAAAAAAAAAAAAAAAAAAAAAAAAAAAAAAAAAAAAAAAAAAAAAAAAAAAAAAAAAAAAAAAAAAAAAAAAAAAAAAAAAAAAAAAAAAAAAAAAAAAAAAAAAAAAAAAAAAAAAAAAAAAAAAAAAAAAAAAAAAAAAAAAAAAAAAAAAAAAAAAAAAAAAAAAAAAAAAAAAAAAAAAAAAAAAAAAAAAAAAAAAAAAAAAAAAAAAAAAAAAAAAAAAAAAAAAAAAAAAAAAAAAAAAAAAAAAAAAAAAAAAAAAAAAAAAAAAAAAAAAAAAAAAAAAAAAAAAAAAAAAAAAAAAAAAAAAAAAAAAAAAAAAAAAAAAAAAAAAAAAAAAAAAAAAAAAAAAAAAAAAAAAAAAAAAAAAAAAAAAAAAAAAAAAAAAAAAAAAAAAAAAAAAAAAAAACAAAAAAAAAAAAAAAAAAAAAAAAAAAAAAAAAAAAAAAAAAAAAAAAAAAAAAAAAAAAAAAAAAAAAAAAAAAAAAAAAAAAAAAAAAAAAAAAAAAAAAAAAAAAAAAAAAAAAAAAAAAAAAAAAAAAAAAAAAAAAAAAAAAAAAAAAAAAAAAAAAAAAAAAAAAAAAAAAAAAAAAAAAAAAAAAAAAAAAAAAAAAAAAAAAAAAAAAAAAAAAAAAAAAAAAAAAAAAAAAAAAAAAAAAAAAAAAAAAAAAAAAAAAAAAAAAAAAAAAAAAAAAAAAAAAAAAAAAAAAAAAAAAAAAAAAAAAAAAAAAAAAAAAAAAAAAAAAAAAAAAAAAAAAAAAAAAAAAAAAAAAAAAAAAAAAAAAAAAAAAAAAAAAAAAAAAAAAAAAAAAAAAAAAAAAAAAAAAAAAAAAAAAAAAAAAAAAAAAAAAAAAAAAAAAAAAAAAAAAAAAAAAAAAAAAAAAAAAAAAAAAAAAAAAAAAAAAAAAAAAAAAAAAAAAAAAAAAAAAAAAAAAAAAAAAAAAAAAAAAAAAAAAAAAAAAAAAAAAAAAAAAAAAAAAAAAAAAAAAAAAAAAAAAAAAAAAAAAAAAAAAAAAAAAAAAAAAAAAAAAAAAAAAAAAAAAAAAAAAAAAAAAAAAAAAAAAAAAAAAAAAAAAAAAAAAAAAAAAAAAAAAAAAAAAAAAAAAAAAAAAAAAAAAAAAAAAAAAAAAAAAAAAAAAAAAAAAAAAAAAAAAAAAAAAAAAAAAAAAAAAAAAAAAAAAAAAAAAAAAAAAAAAAAAAAAAAAAAAAAAAAAAAAAAAAAAAAAAAAAAAAAAAAAAAAAAAAAAAAAAAAAAAAAAAAAAAAAAAAAAAAAAAAAAAAAAAAAAAAAAAAAAAAAAAAAAAAAAAAAAAAAAAAAAAAAAAAAAAAAAAAAAAAAAAAAAAAAAAAAAAAAAAAAAAAAAAAAAAAAAAAAAAAAAAAAAAAAAAAAAAAAAAAAAAAAAAAAAAAAAAAAAAAAAAAAAAAAAAAAAAAAAAAAAAAAAAAAAAAAAAAAAAAAAAAAAAAAAAAAAAAAAAAAAAAAAAAAAAAAAAAAAAAAAAAAAAAAAAAAAAAAAAAAAAAAAAAAAAAAAAAAAAAAAAAAAAAAAAAAAAAAAAAAAAAAAAAAAAAAAAAAAAAAAAAAAAAAAAAAAAAAAAAAAAAAAAAAAAAAAAAAAAAAAAAAAAAAAAAAAAAAAAAAAAAAAAAAAAAAAAAAAAAAAAAAAAAAAAAAAAAAAAAAAAAAAAAAAAAAAAAAAAAAAAAAAAAAAAAAAAAAAAAAAAAAAAAAAAAAAAAAAAAAAAAAAAAAAAAAAAAAAAAAAAAAAAAAAAAAAAAAAAAAAAAAAAAAAAAAAAAAAAAAAAAAAAAAAAAAAAAAAAAAAAAAAAAAAAAAAAAAAAAAAAAAAAAAAAAAAAAAAAAAAAAAAAAAAAAAAAAAAAAAAAAAAAAAAAAAAAAAAAAAACAAAAAAAAAAAAAAAAAAAAAAAAAAAAAAAAAAAAAAAAAAAAAAAAAAAAAAAAAAAAAAAAAAAAAAAAAAAAAAAAAAAAAAAAAAAAAAAAAAAAAAAAAAAAAAAAAAAAAAAAAAAAAAAAAAAAAAAAAAAAAAAAAAAAAAAAAAAAAAAAAAAAAAAAAAAAAAAAAAAAAAAAAAAAAAAAAAAAAAAAAAAAAAAAAAAAAAAAAAAAAAAAAAAAAAAAAAAAAAAAAAAAAAAAAAAAAAAAAAAAAAAAAAAAAAAAAAAAAAAAAAAAAAAAAAAAAAAAAAAAAAAAAAAAAAAAAAAAAAAAAAAAAAAAAAAAAAAAAAAAAAAAAAAAAAAAAAAAAAAAAAAAAAAAAAAAAAAAAAAAAAAAAAAAAAAAAAAAAAAAAAAAAAAAAAAAAAAAAAAAAAAAAAAAAAAAAAAAAAAAAAAAAAAAAAAAAAAAAAAAAAAAAAAAAAAAAAAAAAAAAAAAAAAAAAAAAAAAAAAAAAAAAAACAAAACAAAAAAAAAAAAAAAAAAAAAAAAAAAAAAAAAAAAAAAAAAAAAAAAAAAAAAAAAAAAAAAAAAAAAAAAAAAAAAAAAAAAAAAAAAAAAAAAAAAAAAAAAAAAAAAAAAAAAAAAAAAAAAAAAAAAAAAAAAAAAAAAAAAAAAAAAAAAAAAAAAAAAAAAAAAAAAAAAAAAAAAAAAAAAAAAAAAAAAAAAAAAAAAAAAAAAAAAAAAAAAAAAAAAAAAAAAAAAAAAAAAAAAAAAAAAAAAAAAAAAAAAAAAAAAAAAAAAAAAAAAAAAAAAAAAAAAAAAAAAAAAAAAAAAAAAAAAAAAAAAAAAAAAAAAAAAAAAAAAAAAAAAAAAAAAAAAAAAAAAAAAAAAAAAAAAAAAAAAAAAAAAAAAAAAAAAAAAAAAAAAAAAAAAAAAAAAAAAAAAAAAAAAAAAAAAAAAAAAAAAAAAAAAAAAAAAAAAAAAAAAAAAAAAAAAAAAAAAAAAAAAAAAAAAAAAAAAAAAAACAAAAAAAAAAAAAAAAAAAAAAAAAAAAAAAAAAAAAAAAAAAAAAAAAAAAAAAAAAAAAAAAAAAAAAAAAAAAAAAAAAAAAAAAAAAAAAAAAAAAAAAAAAAAAAAAAAAAAAAAAAAAAAAAAAAAAAAAAAAAAAAAAAAAAAAAAAAAAAAAAAAAAAAAAAAAAAAAAAAAAAAAAAAAAAAAAAAAAAAAAAAAAAAAAAAAAAAAAAAAAAAAAAAAAAAAAAAAAAAAAAAAAAAAAAAAAAAAAAAAAAAAAAAAAAAAAAAAAAAAAAAAAAAAAAAAAAAAAAAAAAAAAAAAAAAAAAAAAAAAAAAAAAAAAAAAAAAAAAAAAAAAAAAAAAAAAAAAAAAAAAAAAAAAAAAAAAAAAAAAAAAAAAAAAAAAAAAAAAAAAAAAAAAAAAAAAAAAAAAAAAAAAAAAAAAAAAAAAAAAAAAAAAAAAAAAAAAAAAAAAAAAAAAAAAAAAAAAAAAAAAAAAAAAAAAAAAAAAAAAAAAAAAAAAAAAAAAAAAAAAAAAAAAAAAAAAAAAAAAAAAAAAAAAAAAAAAAAAAAAAAAAAAAAAAACAAAAAAAAGCTAGTTTGTTTTTACAGCTGTTAGGTCATCAAATTATTGTTTCGAAGCATTGTCGTTAAAGCACTTCCATTTTCCACCCGAGTAAAGATCTGATAATGAGTTTCGTCCCCTTGAAATCGAAATGAACACCTTATATTTATGACGGATAAATGAGTATTTTATAAAATCTTTTCAAAGGCACACCTGAGTTTTTATATATGTTTTATATTATATTTTATATATTAATATTATATTTATATATGCCAAACAGTAGATCTAACTATACAACATAGTTTATATCTTCTGTTGCATGTTTTTCGTCGTGATTCGTGAAGCTTAAATAACGTAATATATTCATGTACAGTTGTGAAAATATGGAATATCTATATTAGTATAATGGGTCCTTATATACAAGGTGACTGGTGAATTACTATCGATATTTGAGGGATGTCATATTGGCCGATCATATATGACAAAATAACACTTAATATAACATAAATAGTAATAAACTTCTAAGTAAAGTTAACCAAACGTTGTGTAATAATTTAAGCATCGTGTGAACACTCCTACAGCTTAGGTATCCACACACACTCACACATACGCGAGCGGCCGGCGTGTGTGTTGTATCAGCACGGCAGCCGCACGCGTCCACACTTGGAACACTTGGAACGTGTCAACAACTTTTATTTTATTTATTACGGAAATTTTTTTCAAAAATTAAGTGGCCTATTTTGTTACATAATTCGAATGAGGAATCATGTACCGAGTATTTCCTCCTTAAATATTGGATAGTATAATTCACGCAGTCACCCTGTATAAGAAACCAATTTTTCCTTTTCTTCTTAATACTTATAAAATTTCTACAAAAGGAATTATCTGCCAAGGAATAAATAAAACTTACCAATCTGGTATATTCATTTGACAATGGGGGCATTCAATGTTTGTTGGACCCTTAGCATCCTTGGGTTTACATCTGCTTGAATATTTGCAATGGCGATTTGACGCGAACACCTCGGGCTATAAAAGACGGATATAACGTATAAATTAATCAATTAACTTTTGTTAGTATCTCTTAATAATTTGTTGCACTTACGGCCCTATTGCCTCAAGACTTTATCAACGCTTTTGAGCAAAGTTCGTAAGCCCTCGCTTGTAATGCTATGGCAGCAATCCAATGTACACCCAAGACTGTTGCTAAAACAGATCAGCATTTTTAATTTTTATGTAAAAAAATCTTATTAAATTATGAGGGCTATGGAACTGATATATTTATTGTGTATAAATGAAGTCATAAAAATAATTTAGGAACAAATAACGTTATTAATATATTTATATAATAATGAAAAACATAAATATGCTTTAACTTTCATCATGATACTAGCTGACTTTTTTTAAGATAGGCGAAGGATACTAGCTGAATTTTTAGAATCGGCGAAGAATTACTAGTAAAATCCTTTACTAATTATTAGTTAATGCGAAAGTAACTTGTCTGTCTGCCTGTTACGTCTTTCACTAACCTAAACCACTGAAGCAGATGTTAATTAACTTTGTAACAGAGATAGAGTTGACCTTAGAAAGAACTTAGGATAGTGTTTTAATATCCCAGACTTTTGAAAAGTTCGCTTGGAAATGCTATATAACCGAACTCCTCGCGGGCGAGGCTGCTGAGCGGAAAGCTAGTTTAGTTTATATTTGTTACTTAAAGATACTGTACTTGCCTAGTAAGTGTTTGTGTTTCGTGTAGTGCTGGCAGGACGTCCATCAGGCGGCGGGGCGGGGCGCAGGCGCGGCGGGGTCCTCCACCCCCCGCAGACGACGCCGCGGCAACCAACGCAGTTCTTGTGCTTCGACCTGCACGCCAACACGAACTATCCTTCACGACCTCCTTACCAGACCGTCCTGGTAATCATACCAGTAAACATAGCTTTATTATATTTAATAGTAAAAACTATGTAAGTTTAAGGAATTTTTTGATACGTTGTTATCCGGGGGGGGGGAGGGGGGGCTGGCTCGGCTTAACGAACGAGTCGAATATTCTAGTAATGTTTTCTCGATAATTAGAAACAGCGCCATCTCATGAGCGAGGGTTCGAACTATTCGCTTAACGTTTACTAGGACATCTCTATTGTCAATTTTGAGTTAACAACATTATTTTATAGTTGTTTTATTTTAGTTCAGTCCCAATATAAGTACCGTATGGCTTGTTGACTGTACAGATGTCCGGCTAGAACATATAGTTTTCTTGATTCGTACTGGTGAAGACGCTTTAGTCCGCCCGCCGCATTCGCCCATCTGAAAAGTTATGAATCAATGAGTTAATAAAGACGACACTTACAAGTTACATGATAAAACTGATTAGTATGTACTTGAAACGCCATAGGCCAGCCTCTGCCCTGTATGTCCTAGTGCGACCGGAATTCTTTTAAACTGCGGCAATAAGCTTGTTATGGTAAGCTCTTGAATTGCGATCGATTTTTTTTGTTCGAGGCGCTGGATTTATTTTCACTGTATATTAAACTTATTATTTTATTATTTATTTATGGATAATGATTTTTCATTTTGCAAAAATAAAAAATAGTAATTGGTTTCCACCGTAGTCTGCCCTCTGTCTTCCTGATATTCGTTTTAGATAGAGATTCATTGTCTTCCAACGCCATATAAACATTTCCTTGAGACCAATCCTATGTTGTTTTTGACCATATTTGTAATATTTCAATCGCACACTTGTCCCTGAACAGTTTCAAATTACGATGTTGTTACCAGAAACAGTAAAAGGTTTTTAAAATGCTGATTTATGTTATGAATACAGATAAAGTGTAATACAGTTAAGCTTAGCTAAAAAGAAAAAGAAATGAACTATGCAAAATTTATCTCAAGAAATGTTACATATAATTAGTAAGAACGAATCCCAGATATAGAATATTTCTTTCATCCTTGACCTGAACTGCCCTGACTGTACTGACTCCTGGGCATCAGTTTTCCAGTTAAAAGCCTTCTACACTTTAGCCAAATATCATATATTATAAAACTTTACATATGGAAGAAATATCCATATGTATTGAATCTAAGCGTACGGTTGCGCGGCCGGCGCAAGAGTTCCACAGTCCGGCGCATGCCTTGTGCACTATATTTTACAACGAACCCGTTTCGAACCCACTTTTGTTGCCCCCCCTGTATCTCATTGTCTATTGTGCAAGTACAGAGATAAAAAAATTGTTACCTACGTAATCATAATACTAGTCCTAAGCATTATGCCAATTTCATAGTTAAAGCTTCAGTAGAATCCCTGAAATATGACCCTGTGAAAATGAGACTAATTTTGGCACTGACTCACAGACAGGTTACTCAAAACCTTTATATAGGCTCTCATCTCAGGCACACTAAAATACATAATAATGAAATACTTAATAATTAATAATATGAGTAACATCTATCAATCGGTGAATAAATGAAACTAAAAAAAAATAAAAAAGAAATATAGTTTTTAAAAAACACTAAAAAAACGACGCTCCAATGATGAAAGAAAACCGCGTGGAGAGACTAATTTAAACCTTTTCAAGACCTTGGAAATCAATTTAATTTAAATTGTTTAAAATAAACAATAAATGGTTAGTATTGAAAAAAACAAGCGAGTGGGGGCGCTTCTCAAGAAGTGATATATGAAGCTCCCCACGCTTTTTTTTTCGCATAAACTACCATTTATGTTTCTTGTTGAATCGTTATTTTTAAATTAACTATTCTTGTGAAACAAAAAGTGTGGGCGCTCTTTTAGAACTGATATATATATTAAGTGATATAAAATATTGTCATGTATACATAATGCACACTGTATAACTTAATTAAATATGGCTTACCTAAAAAATCAGGTTTTCTATTGTTATAAATTACTTTCGATAGATAGCCGCGTAGAGGTATAAAGTGAATCGCGATATTTGTTTTGTCTGGCAGTATAATATGAATGAAAGTCCGTCAACTGATCGATGGGCATTTCTTTCTATTTTTCTTTCTACACTTAACGTTCTTGATATCTTATATAGGGTTAAGATTTATGATTAAATGATTTCACTGATTTGACTTGCTAAAGGATTTATGTTGATATTGCTTGTGGATATATTACTTGTGTGTGTTAAAAAGCACAAATTCACTCTGATTCTTTCTACTACTATTCATTTACCAACGATTGGAAACATTTGTACATCTTTGCGGTGGTTTGGCGGAGATAATACCACATAGGGTAATTCCCTATGCCATCAGATGGTATCTCTATGTTTCAGGTTTGGGTAAGTTATGCATTGTACGGCTGTATAGTAACGATTGCATGTAACGATTTCTTGAAATAAAGTATTGAAATCTCATCCAAAAACAGGCCTGTTAAAAAGGTGGCCAAGTTCCGACCAAAAAAATCGGCTTAATTGTTTGCCTAAATAAAGGGGTGAATATTCCAATCTAATGGCCAAGTTTAGACGCACTTTGAAATCGATCATAATCATCTTCATCAACAGGCATGAGTTCACTTGGTAAACATTTTGCCATTCCCAAGACTCGCCACCACACCCCATTCCCGCTGCCTATCCACAATCGCAGCCACTACCCCGCCACCTAATTCACGTCAACGGTCCATCGTGGCCGAAATTCCACTTTATACATAACACCCAACTTAAAATATGGTATAGTTGTGAAAATACGTAGGTGCTTGGTTAAAAATATCGAAAATTATAATACTTCTAAATTTGAACTTGGCAGGTTAATTTAATTATTTAAAACTATATAATATTTAAATTATATAATATAAATCATTATCTAACTAAATAAATAAATGAATGAATACAAATTAATTAAAGTGTTAGCGTTAAAGTAACCAAAACCTGCCAGTTCAATTGCGAAGTACTTATATTTTAAGATATTTTTAACCAAGCACCTACGTATTGTTCACAACTATCACATCTTTTAAGTTGGGTGTATGGTAAAGATGAATTTCGGTCAGATGGACCGTTGAACGTGAATGTAGGTGGCGGGTAGTGGACTGGATGTGGAAGGCAGAGGACCTGGGTGTGGTGGCGAGTCTTGGGAATGGCCAAATGTTTTACCAGTGGATTCTGCTGTTGATTGGAAGAATTATTCATGCTCGATTTCAAAGTGCATCTAAACTTGGCATTAGATTGTATTTCAACCCCTTTTTTTAGCACACAGTTAGCCGAATTGGAACTTGCCCCCTTTTTAACAGGCATGTTTTTGGTGAGATTTATTTTACTTTAAATTATTGAGTAAATTTAGATATATTATTACAAACAGTTTTGTCCTGTCAATATAATAATCGCCAATGTTGGCTGTAAGCTTGTTAAAAGCGTGAGCCTCCGTTGGTTGTGACCGACCATCTTCAATAGTTGCCACCACACGGGAACCAATGTCCAAAACGTTTTCGTAAAGACGATAGCACAGATCACTGGTAAACGTACATAACAAAAAAAAATTCAAGCTAATTAACTCAATTTTCATCCATCTACATTTTTTTTTATAATACAGCAATTAAAGCTACTTCTGTGACAAATAATAGATTTTTTGGGCGGATTAAAATCACTATAATAGTTTCAATACTTTTCCATTACTGTGACTACCCCTAACGAACAATACATAACATCATTTTTACTGGACATATTAGTACATAATAGCAAGACATTTACAACATAGTATTTATTTTTGTTAGTTTGTCTATATATAAAGTGAGCTTGTTATTACTAAGACACTATATAATATGAATCTGACACCGCCTGTCTTTCATCGTGGTATATCTGTTCAGACCAGTTGCATGGCCCGCCATCAAAGTCTTTTGAAGTACGCCAGTGTAATGTCAGCCGTCTTGAGAGCTTCCGAGTGCAAACCGTTTGATTCCTCCTGACTGCTCTAGACATTCCGTCCGTCGTAATCATTTCGGTCTAACAAACGCAGTCCTCCGCTGTCTCCAAAGACGATGGTATCCCAACTTCTTTTAAAGTCCCGGCCTCCGCTAACTAGCAACCGGATAGTGTTTTATTATTATAAGTATAATGCAATTGGTTTACAACAGGATAATGCAAAACATTTATATCACCTTCAAATTATAGGTATTTATTGAAATGTACATATGTGTAATATAGACTTCATCTTGTTATAATGATCAATCATAATAATAATATTTTTATATGTATAAATATTTAATTGATAACTCACATTGTGAGCAAAAAATGAAGTACAACTACTTTCCGGAGTTAATTTATGTATAATTAACGTACCCAGCCCTGGACAAAGTAACATTTTGAAATTTATAATTCTTTTCTTAATTTAAAATAAAGTAGGGTAGGTTTTTTTTCAAGATGCTATGGCGTTTGTTCATTATCTTTTAAATGCAAATTCTATGTCCATCTGCCCGTTGTCCTTTGTCTGTAAAAGCTACAGAAACGCCAGGATGAGTTAGATAACAAAATAATAAAAAATATCTTAGTATTTAAACAAACACCTTAAGTTTCATTTAAATGATTACCCTCAAAAATCTTCAGTGTCACGACGATTATTCTTTAAGTTTGTTTGTATCTGTGTCTAACATAACATATATACTGGTCATCATAAGTTATCAAATAGATCTGTACTTTTTTAAATGTATTAAACGTTGAGTAACGAGCAGCCAATGAAATATAATTTATTATCAGTAGAGAATGATTGTTCTCTTGGCAACATTAAGGTTGAAATTTTACCACGGGCTTAAACAAAACTACTATCTAGAGCCATAAAAACTTAAACAAAAAAATATAGTTTTACCCATAGCTTGGAATGTGGGGTTATCTTTGATGACAGTCCTCGGCTTCCCTTCAAGCCGACTTGTCTCTTATGAGCTGTCTCGTGTCCCTCAAAAGACTTTGACTTCCATCCTAACCGACATGTTTCGGGGGGGGGGGGGGGCGTAACACTTGGTCCGTTATACTATCTAACAGCGCGCAGTTTTTTATCGATCCTGGAATAGTCATAAACATTAAATTTTTATCATACTTGTAAATAACTGAAGAAAAAATTTTATTTGAGAACAATCACTCATATATTTTTTATAAGCAGAAATCTATAATAAAAACTTCAAAAGTTTTAGATAGGAACCTTATAATCCGGTTGGTATGATTTTGCTAAAAACTCCAAGATGTATATTAATAAAATTAATACAATTTAATATTATATTAGGGTTCATTGGCCCTTGAAGTTCACCAGAGGTAACGCGTTAGCTGTTTAAAGGTTCCTCAGGGCTGGCCGGCCCTCAGTACATATAGTCCGATTCTTCTCTGCTAACGCCAATAGGGATGAGTTAGCCTTAAGCCCATCGGGGCGCGGTCCCATGCTTCGCTATAACGAATGAAGAACCGCAATCGATAAATAGTCAGTCGACTTTTAAAGCTTTCTTTTAATTGAGTATTAAGTCTACATTTGTATTAAACATATTAATATGTTATAATAAGGGACAGTTTTTACCTTCCGTACAAGCTTGTCCCACACTGACGTTTTATGAAAGCATTTATGTCTCCAGAATGAAAAGCGAACCAGGGCTGTTGCGATTACGAAAAATTTGTGCTGAAAAAATAAACATAATCAATTTGTTTTTTAATTAGGTATATAGTAAATTAAGGCGACAACAGTATGTTTATTTTCCTAACCTTGAATTAGAATTAAGCCCAATGCTTGTATACTGGTTTTCGTATTTCTGTTAATTGAAGTAATTTTCTTGGAGTTCAAACATAGAGAACAATAAAATCGGTGCCATGAATCTCTTCCTATCATTAAATGTGTGTCCGAACATGTGATACAACGTAAAATATTGTAATCATCTTGGAAGCCAGCCTCGCTCTTTGTGACAGGACTACCGTCACCATAAAAAACTTGCTCCCCTGTTTACCTACAATATAATTTAATATTTACAACATTTTTTACTTATATACTTATAAACGTTTTCATCAATCTACCTTAATCAAAATATAAATATCTTAGTATTTATTTACATATTATAAATTATTTCACTTTTAGGTATTTTTAACAAATTTTATGGGGCAATTTATTTCGGTGAATTTGAAATAAGTTTACTAGCGCTTTTGTACAATTACTGTTACAATTACTTCCTGTTTCAAAGTTTTTTTATAAGTTATCTTATTTTTTTTCCAAAAATTTATGACACAAATGATTATAAAAATAAATTCCATATACCCTATATATTTGCATAATAAACATCACGCGGTCTTGAGGGTATTGAAAACTTCCATATCATAGGACTCTTTGAGGCTGCAACACTATCATCTATTCGCTCCATTAATTGTCTGATATGGCATAGTTATAGGACTAAGATAAATTAATTATAAAGTTATATTTGATATAATTTATATATATATAATAATATAATATAATATATAAATATATATAATGAATATTAATGAATATGCTGCAACAGCTATATGTTAAAATGAAATTTATATATGTGAATTAAAAATTTATAAATATTTATGAATAATATAATAAAGTATGATATATGATAATATGAAATATCGATAAATATAAATTAATGATTGATGGATAATATATATTATATAATTATTAAATTGATATATATGGATAATTATATAATATTTATAATAAACAAAAGATATATAAACTATGATATATTATATATATAATAAATATAAATAGGAAAAATTAATATATATAATGTTAAAATATATATATAATATGAATATTTATAATAATAATTATAATGAATATTATATAACTAAATAAAATTGTAATATATATAAAATTATATATATAAATATATAAAATATAAATCTAAATTTATGTTTATAGATAAATGTGGATATAATATATAATGATTTTAAATATAATATATTATATGATATTATTAAATATAAAAAATAATATAATGGATAATGTATGAAAATTATATAAATTATATTATTGTAATATTGATAATATATGAATGAATATTAAATAAAAAACATATAATAAATAAGATTTATAATTATAAAATGAATAATATAAAATTATAATGTATTATAATTATTATATATATATATATATGACATATTAAAAATAATATAATAATTATATACTAATATGCTATATAATTTGGCTATATAATATGGGTAATATAATAAAAATAATAAAATATATGAAAACAACACAAGTATGTAAATGTATGAAAAGTATATATGTTACTTCAAATACATATAATATAATATATACTTATCTTAATTAAACGCAATTTTCTTATACCATCACATTGGATCCCCTGTTGGTTGGATATGATAAGAGAATTCAAAGTTGCTATAATGCAGTACTCGTCAACACCATACATGTCCACTACGTCGGGAATATGGTTTATCCAGGACTGTAATAATTGCATTCACTAAGAATCTTTACTCTTATAGATTTCATAATAAAAGAAAATGATTGAAACTGAAGAAAATCTCAATCGGAAAAATATTTAAACATAATTATAAAAAAACACCAATTATAAAAAAATCTTATATTATCAAAAATTCAAAAAATTCTCTAGAAATCTATTAACAATAACTTAGTAGGTCACAAAATCGCAATGCCAATTACAGTAACTATACCTGATAGTGAGGGTATCCCAAAAGGATTGACAGTATTCAGTTCCGAGAGACTAGGCCAGCGTGTTTTACCATAGTAGGCGTATTGTGGTCCGGTTGACGTTCGCGAAGTATATGAAGTGTCTATGGTTGACGGCCAAAGCCGGGAGTGAAGCGCTGCTCCCAACACAGGGACTGCATACAACCGCTGACACGCGCAGCAACCGGATATGCTGGGAAAGAAGGTTTGAACAGAATATAGGTCATGTATGATTCAAGCTTCACTTATTAACAGAAAATTTAGGTATCAGGACTAAATAATCTATGATTTTTAAGTTTTAACTGTTTTTTTGTTTTTTTTTTTTTTTTCATATGATACACAGACTAAGATCCTAAATCTTCAGGGTCATTTTTTCCCCTGCAAAAAAGCTTGTATGTATATGTTATTTGTTATAATATGATTTTATTAATAAGTGAACCGATTAAATAGAAGAGTATGAATAATTATCTCCAAAAAAAATGTTAAAATTAAAAATTATTTACTGTTCCATATAAAAGTATTGTTTGACATAATGCTGGGTTAATATCAATGTCAAAACATTTGAACTTTCCAGTAGACATACCTCTCTCATAAGCACTAAAGAACTGTACAAACATTGGCTTGATCTTGTGTCTTTCCGGCCACACCTAATATATGGTTCCATTATGATTCCAGTGACCCATCTATTATTGTTCATGTTTGTATTCAACCACTTACACTCTCTGTAAAACACCATTATTAGTATAAACAGACTTTCAGCTAGAATTTTGGAAAATTATAACATCTAAGGAAAAGCGTATTAATATATACCTATTATGTATTTTTGTTTAAAATATATGTATATATAACTCACCTTCCTCAGTGATATTCTTCATAATAAGCAATCAGGCCAGTTTTTTGTAACATATTAACTAAAACTGGTCTGTTTGCTGGTGCTCTTCCCGGAATACCAGTCCATACAGATTACATCAGTTGATCCTGACACCTCATTATTTCCTACTGGCATCTGTGCAAGGGAACATTTACTGTAATATCATGACAATAAAGTTTATAATATTCAAATAAGCATGCTGTACCATAAAAGGTTTCCTTGATCATCATATAAATGAAGTTTCTCCATGGAAAGGGCCAAACAGCAGTAAATGAAAAATTATCTGGTGACCATTGAACAGCTTTAAGACCTGGACCCTTTATATCTTTGCCCCAAACTCGTTGACCCATCCTACTGAACCCACAATTACTGCACCTGTGAAATTATTAAAACATACTTATCTTACCCGGTAATGTCTGTTATGATGCAAAGATTTCCTAAACCTTTTGGGCATAATAATTTAAAATTATCCTATAGACAGTAAAGTCAAGAAACATCACAAAATAACTCTTTCTTAAATAGTGAATCAAACTGACAATCTTACCATCTTCATAAGCTATACAAATTTTCTGTCCATCTGAACCCCATGCCATCCCTGATACTGTAGACTTATTTCTATTATTTATCATTTCCTCATACCATGATCCCTACGATTATATGGAGAAAAAAATAAATAATAGTACTTTTAAAAATACAATAAATATAAATAAAAACTTTAAAACCTTATATAACATCCACACTATGATAACTCCATGTTCATCACTGGTCGTCAATTTTTGGAATACCTCATTCCAAATCGCACAACAAAACTCTTCCTGTGTGACCTTCTAAACTAAGATTCATAGAGAGGTTACCACTTCCACCTAAACAAAATAGTTTCCATTTTATACACTCATCATTATAATATTAATTGAAAACTTATTTTAAATTTATATTTATTTAAAAAAGCTGTTTTTTTAACCTGATTCCAATTTTAAAACTTTTAGCATTCCATCCTCTCCTCCAACAGCTATATATCCCGATGAATGATTCCAAGCCAGACAAGAAACATTTGATTGTTTGGGAATAGCAATCTAAAAGGTAATGAATATAAATCTAATTCGATTTTTTAAAATACGTCTTAGAGTCTTAACACTTAAAATCTTATGTCTGCTTAAGGAAATATAATTATAAATAATGTATTTATTTGATAAAGGAATTATTGTAATTAATTAAAATCTAAGGACTATATCCATATATATAATATCATAAATAGGGTAATATTATTGGTTTTTATAAGGTAACGATGTTTTAACGTCGTTATAACTGTAAAGTATACCTTTTTACTCATATATATAAACATTTTAGTTAAAATTTTTTCTTTAAAGTTAGTAATTAATATTTTTCGCTCTTAAAACGAGCTTTTAATAAGTAAAGCTTTTTCAATGTGACTGGTGACATACGTAGCTTCTGTTTACATTCACTTTACCGCCGTTGCCTAGTTACCAAATTTGATTGCCCACTGCATAAAAAAATAATTTGAAAAAAACGGTTCTTTTTTATTTAATACAATATTATAATAAATCACTAGTAATTATTAAGATAAGTAATAAAGTAACAGTATTTTTTTATATTTGATAATCCAATATATGGGACATTTATAATGCTTGACTAGAAAGAAACTGAAAAATCAATACTTAATTGTATCCCGACTTCATTGATCAGTCGTCACTCGTCAGTCCTGAAGAATGGGAATACGACAATTTATCAAGAGGATTTTTATCTATAACAAAATTTTAGAGAATTTCATTCTTCCAGCTGTTACTTTCTTTTAAACATGGACATTTATCTTCTATATAAATATAAACCCTTTTTCAAATTACGATAACAAAAACTTTATGTAAATGACTTTAAATATTGGACAGAAAACTTTTGTTAAGAACTATATTACAATGCTTGGGCGAAAGCAAAGTCTGAAAGGAGAACCAGTACTTGCCGACTATGGCCCAGAAGAATCATTAAATGAGAGCGCCGATATTGAATGGGTGAATAAGGTAAATTTGGCAAAAACTTTGTTGCCTTAATATATGTATAAAGTTTTTATATTATATTGATCTTAATTTTAATTCACAGCTATGGGTCCGAAGAATTTTACGTTTCTGTGCTCTACTTAGTTTGATGTCGGTTTCATTTAATACACCGAAATCTTTTGAAAAATATCCCTACCTTCAGACTGTAACTTTTGCTGTGGATTGCTGTGTCACTCTTTTATTTACTGCTGAAATGATTGCCAAAATGCATATAAGAGGAATTCTGAAGGTAACTTAGACCTAACTTAATAAATGTGTATAATTCATAATAAACCACATTATTTATTGTTTATTTTTTTAACTTTTTTCTAGGGAGATGTGGGCTTACTTGAAAAGACCACTGGTGCCAATTTGATGCTTCCATGGTATTCTTTTTGTGGGTGTCCGTTTTACTTCAAATGTTTGAACTGACTGGAATAGTGCCAAGATATAGTTACTTGAGTATACTCCGAGCACCTAGGCCTCTTATAATGATTCGCTTTTCTCAGAGTATTCCTTAAATTTTCAATGCCAAAGTCTAGGATTAACCAAATATTCAAGTAAGTAATATTATAGCTATAATTCATAAGAATAATTATATAAGTATAAAAAAACTCAACATCATGTATTTGTTGTTTTGCAGGAGGTCCAGTCAACAGATCTACAATGTAACATTATTTTTCTTGTTTTTTTATGTCGCTATATAGTTTTTGTTGGGAGTTCAGTTTTTTGGTGAGCTCACACACCACTGTGTAAGGAACACAACAGATCCTAAGTAAATTTATTTATTTTTTTAATTAATTTGATATTATATACGAAAATAATATTATCTATTTAAAAAATGTTTGTATTCCAGTGAAATCACTATAAACTCTTTGGCCATCCCTGATACATTTTGCTCACCTGAAGCCAATTCAGGCTATCAATGTCCACCGGGAATGAAATGCATTAAACTTAATTTATCTAAATACATTATGGGTTTTAATGGTTTTGAAGAATTTGGTAAGAAATATATAGATTGTAACATAAATTGGTCTTGATACTTTTGGAATAAAAAATTTTAGAAACATATTATTTTTTTTGGTTCAGAATGCACTCCTATTAATATATATTTTTTATTTTCGCAGCAACCAGTTTGTTCACTGTTTATCAAGCTTCTTCTCAAGAAGGTTGGGTTTTTATTATGTACAGAGCCATTGATTCCTTACCTACCTGGAGATCGGCCCTTTATTTCAGGTACATAAAAAATTTAATGAAAAACTTTTATAAAATAAAAATGTAATATGGATATTTATTTAAAATAAATCATTTTTCAGCACAATGATTTTCTTCTTGGCTTGGCTTGTGAAGAATGTGTTCATAGCTGTTATCACAGAGACATTCAATGAGATAAGAGTTCAATTTCAACAAATGTGGGGTGTCAGGAATCCTATAACTAAAGGTAGCACCACACAGTTCTTCACTGGAGATGACAATGGATGGAAATTAGTTACTATTGATGAAAATAAACATTCTGGTTTGTATAAATATAATTAAATTTTACTATTTTATTACAAAATCTAGTGGTGTATTTTAACTATTAATGCTAATTATTGAATCTACACAAAAAAAAAAAATATATTTTTCGTATTAAAATTGATTTACTTTTAATTGGACAATGCTAATCCCTCTAGAACGGTATTAAAAGAATAATCATCTGATGTCTGCCAGTGATTCAGTTCCTATCGGAGTGTCACACCAACTAACATCACTGTGTATTCACAATTAAACACGTGACCCGTGCCTCTCATATTAACCTTACTGTAATGTGTTGAGATAATGTTTCCCTTATCAATTTATTTATTTTGTAGGTAGCGCACCAGAGATTTTTCATAAAATGTTGAGATCCGCTTATTTTAGGCTCATTGTAATGGGCGTGGTTTTAGCAAATGGAATTATAACGGCTACTATGAATTTCAAGCATGATGATAATCCGCGAGAATTCTTTTATGAGAAATACTATTATATCGAGGTAGTGAATATTCATTACAATTTTTACAGATTTTTGGACTAATTTGTAAAGTTTCTTGTCACGTAACTTGGCAAGGTTTTGGCGTAGTTGGGATATGATTACGCATGTACAGCGAGGACAATAAAAAGTGGTCACTTTTGATGGTTATCAATAGCAAAAGCTCATAACAATACCTAATAAAAACAATGGGTTCAATTTAATTGCTCCCCATTGTACTCGAGAGCAAATATCCTATCACGCGCACGAATTTGTGTCGTCTCGTTTCATTATACCCAGGACACTTAAAAATTGCGTTTTGCTCCTCTATCGTCCCTTACCAAGTTACGGGCTGTATATATATACGATTTAAACTGAAATATATAAATAGTTTTTATTATGGAATGATGAAAAATTAACTATTTATTACCTTATATTTTCAGATTGCCTTTACAATATTTTTGGACTTAGAGGCTCTTATAAAAATATGGTGCTTGGGATGGAAAGGTTACTTTAAACACTCAGTTCACAAATTTGAATTACTTTTAGCCATTGGTACTTCAATTCATATAATACCACAGCTGTATATGTCAGGATTTACATACTTTCAAGTAAGTAAACCTAAAACACATTATTTTATTCATAGTGGATTAAAACAAAAATCTATCATTAAACAATTTTTTAGGTACTTCGTATTGTACGTCTAATAAAAGCATCGCCGCTGTTGGAAGGATTTGTTTACAAGATTTTTGGTCCAGGAAAGAAATTGGGAAGTCTCATAATATTTACCATGTGTTTGCTGATCATAAGTTCATCTATTTCAATGCAACTCTTCTGCTTCCTTTGCGAGTTTACTAAATTTGAGACATTTCCTGAGGTGATTCTAAGAATGCTGCATATAAAGTTAAAATTTTATTATGTGCAAATAAAAAATCCTTGTGGTATTAATATTTCAGGCTTTTATGTCTATGTTCCAAATATTAACCCAAGAAGCGTGGGTCGAAGTCATGGACGAGACGATGGTTCGAACAAGTCAGACCTTAACTCCTCTGGTTGCGATATACTTTATATTGTACCACCTGTTTGTAACACTGGTAATTCAAATTATTTAGTAAATATACCACAAATTTATACAGAAGATAAGCTAAAAGTCATCTTTCACTTATTTTCAGATTGTGCTATCACTTTTCGTAGCAGTTATTTTGGATAATCTAGAACTCGATGAGGACATCAAGAAGTTAAAGCAACTGCGCTATAGACAACAAAGTGCTGAAATAAAAGAAAGCTTGCCGTTCCGTTTGAGGATATTTGAGAAGTTCCCCGATAGTCCGCAGATGACCAAATTACACAAAGTACCAGGAGACTTTAATTTACCAAAAGTAAGCACTCTGTTCTATTAAAATACAAAACTATACAGGTGTTGATCAAAGTGGTTATGTTCTACCAAACCATCTTGTACTTACATTACATATTTTTCGCATTTATCTCACATATCATATGAGGTTAAACTGTTTGTCAGTTGGACCTGTTTTCGCCATCTCAATGACGTCACATTAGTCCCAAAAGCGCTAATTTAAATGTGTTCACGTGAAACTTGTATAATTGATATAATAATGTTTTGGTGATTAGGTCCGGGAGTCGTTTATGCGCCAGTTTGTATGTGATCTTGACGTGGAGGAAGAGGTGGCGGGGGGCCCGGGGGCCGGGGGGGGGGGGGGGGCGAACCACCGGCGACATCTCACGACGGGCTATAGAGTACATTGGAGTGGACAAGATAGCCTTCCCATATAGGAAGCGTTGTCTGGTGAAGACGCTGACAGTGGCGCCACCGTCGCAGAGACCCAGCGCAGCGTTACGAAAACATGTCGTTGCTTCTATTATTAAGTATGTTCTTGTTTTATAAAATTATGCATATAATTTTTACATGGTATATTTCTGTTTTAATCTATTTCCTTTCCATCTTATTTTTTATTTTTGAATTTATGTTTGCAGGTAGACAATGTACTTCTTTTGTTTTTATTGTGAGTTTTATTGTATTTACTTTTGTTTCATGATAAATATATATTACTTTGTGATTTATGTATTCTATTGAATAATAAAAACGAATCCAATATTTATACTTTTCTAGCGACTCTAATAATCACCGTCGCCTGGTCCTCGGTGATTCCGCCATGTTAGCGACGGGAGGTAAATCCGGATTGAAGTCTCAAGGCACAGTGTCCAGCGCTAAACAACTTCGAGTCGATCAAAAAAAGTAATAAAAATCTATTATAAGTTAACTCACCCTCTGTTATACACAGTTTTTTTTCTAAAATGACTTTTGTATTAGTTCATTTTGCTCAAAACCAGTAGTCATGAAAAATGGTAATGAATGAAAATAATTACAGATTCGGTTCAAGATCTATCCGCAGATCTGTCCGCAGCGGTTCGATCAAGCTGAAGCAGACGTACGAACACCTCCTTGAGAACGGCGACATCGGGGCAGCGTCACGCGTGGTCCCTTCGTCCCGCGCCCGCCCGCCGTACCTCGATATACGACTACTACAGGCTAAGAGGCAGCAGGCTGAAATGAGACGGTGAGATTGAAATATTGACATACATACATATTTTAAATATAACGTATTAAGAAATAAAAGGAAGTTTCTTTGTTTCATTTTATAATGATGATAAATAAAAAGACTGACAGACATTCACATTTCGTGTGCCGGTCATCACGGTTACTGCAAAGTAACCGAAACGTCGGAAATATGTAGATCAAAAATAATAAAATAACGAGTAGTAATCCGAAAATATTAGTTTCGTTTATATACTAAAATATAAAAATTGTGTGCTAGCAAAAAACCTTATGTAAACAATCTGTATAGTTATCCTCATATACTGAATAATATATAAAGTATTTAACATTTAGAAATCAACGTGAAGAAGACCTCCGTGAGAATCACCCTCTATTCGACACTCCGCTGCTGATAGTTCCAAGGGAGTCTCGCTTTCGTAAAATTTGTCGCGCCATCGTAGACGCCAGATACGACGCGAGACTAAGAGATCCCGTTACAGGAAACGAGAGAAAAGTTCATTATAAGAGTTTCCAGTACGTTATATTTTACATATTATGTATATTTAGTGTACACCATGTATAATAGTATAATTTTTACAGTAACTTCCTCGGTCTGGTCACGTATCTGGACTGGGTGATGATCATGGTCACCACGTTATCCTGCTTATCAATGATGTTTGAGACTCCTACGTATAGAGTTATGGAAAATTTCGTACTTCAGGTCTGTAAAAATTGCTGCATTGTGGCTATTTATATATAGGTCTTAGTATTATTTAGTTATTTTTTATGATGTATTATGACAAGGACTGTGGATTACCGATGTAAATAAATAGATATTTTAATAAAATCTTATTGTATTCATTCTGTGAACCATTCGTGTTACAGATAGCTGAATATGGATTCGTCGTGTTTATGAGTCTGGAGCTGGCACTTAAGATTCTAGCGGACGGTCTCTTCTTCACACCTAAGGCATATCTAAAGGACGCTGCGGCTGGTCTCGATGTCTTTATTTATGTTGTGAGTTATAACTCATATATCAAATAGCATAAAGTGACGTAATCAACAATAAAAACTCGAAATATGAAGTGGTCCATTGCGGGCATATACAAGCCTAAAAATTGGTATATTAAACTCTGAAGGCTATAAAGTCTATGAAACCTAAATATATGTCTGTCTATGCAGGTGTCCCTAACCTTCCTCTGCTGGATGCCGGTGCGCGTGCCTCCTGGCAGCCCTGCCCAGATGCTCATGATACTCCGCTGCGTCCGTCCGCTGCGCATCTTCACGCTCGTCCCCCATATGCGTAAAGTCGTCTACGAATTGTGTCGCGGCTTCAAAGAGATCCTATTGGTCGGCTATTTGATGTTCGATTTTTAAACATTAAATTGTCCGTATTACTTTTTTTTATAATTAATATGTTAATGTATCAGGTATCAACGTTGCTCATTCTGCTGATGTTTGTGTTCGCGAGCTACGGAGTACAACTCTATGGTGGAAGGTTAGTATTATGTTTTCGACAACAAATGATATTTATTATTTTTTACTCTACTGCCACATATAATGGTATCAATTTAATATACTATAAAGTATTTGATCCTTAATATTTAGTTTGAACAAATATTTATAAAAATACTGAATTAGATACTCGTATATGTATGTATTAAAATATATACATGAACACATCTTATCATTTATTTATGCATCTGTTACAATATATGTTTTATCAAAATAACTAGATTAAAAAATTGATTTCCAGGCTAGCTCGTTGTAACGACCCAACAATAACTCGTCGCGAGGACTGCGTCGGTGTGTTCATGAGACGTGTTTTCGTCACTAAAATGAAACTCAGACCCGGGCCTAACGAGACCTTCCCATCTATGTTGGTGCCTAGAGTTTGGTTAGTATTAACATTTTTTAAATACATTTTTAATTATATGGTTTGCACCAAATAATCAAATAAATAATATTTAATAATTATATATCACAAATTCTGCCTGTTAATTTGAAGTCATCTCTTACAAGCTACCTAAACAAGACGATAACATGTAACTAAGAGTTTTGAGGAATAATAATATTACTAACAATTATTATTTTGATTCAATATATTAAAAAATGTATAGTTATATCACTGAGTCAAAATGTGTCTTGATACGTCCAATCATCATAATTTAACAAGAAAGTAATTATGAAAAATAGCGTATTTATATATCTATCGTTGTATTTTCAGGGCAAACCCAAAGCGTTTCAATTTCGATAATATAGGCGATGCTCTTCTAACTCTCTTCGAAGTTCTGTCGTTTAAAGGTTGGCTTGACGTTCGTGATGTATTGATCAAGGCCTTGGGACCTGTTAGTATTGTTATACCAATTAATATTTATTACTATACCTATATCTGAATACTATAATATATATTTTTCTAGGTACATGCTATTTACATACACGTCTACATATTCTTGGGCTGCATGATCGGTTTAACATTATTTGTTGGTGTGGTTATTGCGAACTATTCAGAAAACAAAGGAACGGCTTTACTCACTGTCGACCAAAGGAGATGGTAATTTTAGTTATTGAATATACATATATGATTTAACAGTTTTAACACTTATTTAATCTTCATTATAAATTGTTTTCTAGGTGTGATCTGAAAAAGAGATTGAAAATTGCTCAGCCATTACATCTACCTCCTCGTCCCGATGGCAGAAAGATTCGTGCCTTCGCTTATGACGTCACACAAAACTTATCCTTCAAAAGAGTCATTGCCATCGTCGTGCTTATAAACAGCGGGTTACTAGCTGTTACTGTGAGTATTTTAAATGTTCTAAATTTTTCATACACTTTCGATTTTCTATTTATTTTCTACTAATAAATAACGAGTTTCCTATTTTAAATTCTTTATTAACTAATTATGCTTTACATCTAGATATTAAGCATACTTCGTAGTCTTGCATTAGTAAAAATAAATTAAAAGCATCATATATGTTTCAGCTATGAATTTTATTGCCCTAAGTAGTCATATTTATAAATATTGCATAAAAATCTCTACAGTACATAAATACATCAAACTGTCTATGCATATTCGCGTTAAACATCTGTAGACGCTCACCAATAGACGTATAATTGACAACTAAAAATTATCACAATTTTTTAAACTCTTTTTAATATTAGAGTTCTTTACCATATTTAAAATTGTCACTATATGCTATAATTATTTCCGTTTCCCGTCAGTGGTCCCGTCATTCGAGCAACACGGAACGTCTCGCGTTGACGTCAGCACTACTGACGCTGGTGTTCGTAGTGGAAGTGCTCCTGAAGACGATAGCCTTCACACCGCGCGGCTACTGGCAGTCACGCCGGAACAGATACGACCTACTTGTTACAGTGGCGGGATGTATATGGATATTCATGCATTTTACTCTTAAGGTACATACGAAAAAAAATTACATTAAATACAAATTTACACTTATTTTAAATTATTATACATAAGAAATATAATGTCAGTTTTTTTGAAAAGAGTAGTTTTTTTGAAAAAAGGTAGTTTCGTATTCTGCCCTAGAAAATGTCTACACAGACTTTAAGTTACGTATTTTAAGATTTAGAGCAAGTTTTATTCGATTTTCTTCTTTGTAAAATCTTGAACTAGTTAACCTAAATGAATATAAGTTTTGCTAATGTATGGGACTTATACACTAGCATCGTGTTTAATATAACGATATGGACAGGTACAAATAATCTATATACAAAAAAGGAAGTCGTGTAAACTGTAAATTACAATAAACTCAAGAACAGCTGTACGGATTTGGCTGAAAATTTGTGGTAGCGGGTGGGGGTGTTATATTAGAATCAGGAGATTGGCATAGGATAAAGAAAAAAAGAAATATAACTTGATAAAATCTAAAATCTGCTCATTGACTGCCTCTTAGTCGGAACAGAAGTTGCCAAATCAACTATACATTTTAATTCTCAAACTGACGCAGACTAAGTTACGCTCAAAAACTAGTAATATATGTACATTAACAGAATGACCTGTCATACTTCGTGGGCTTCATGGTGGTGATACTGCGTTTCTTCACAATAACCGGCAAGCACACGACCCTCAAGATGTTGATGCTGACCGTCGGTGTGAGCGTCTGCAAGAGCTTCTTCATTATATTCGGCATGTTCCTGCTGGTGTTCTTCTACGCACTCGCCGGCACCATCGTGTTTGGAAACGTTAAATATGGCGAAGGGATCGGAAGGTATTTGATGGAATAATAATTGTATATTATAAACAAATTTTGTGAATATGTATGTATTTTTGTTAGTAAGCTGATTTTGATGAAACTTGAGAATAAGATGGAGTATATAATTTTCATAATAATTCCGGATATTTCGGACCATAACGTTTGTAGAATTAAGTGATGTAACAGACTAAATAAACGCGAATTTTAGTTGCCAGTTTTTATATATATGTATATTATATACATACGTATACAATATACATACATATATTTCTAACACAATTCTTATATACGAGTAGACTCGGTCGAAATGGTAGTCAAAACTAGTTCATATTAAATAATATTTATACAAAACTATCTGTTTTCAGACGGGCGAACTTCAATTCGCCTATCCACAGTGTAGCCATGTTGTTCCGTATAGTGACCGGCGAAGACTGGAATAAGATCATGCACGACTGTATGGTGGCGCCACCTTACTGCACGCCCGCTGACAACTACTGGGAGACTGATTGCGGAAACTTCACAGCCTCGCTGGCATATTTCTGCACCTTCTACGTCATTATTACTTATATAGTGCTCAATTTGCTTGTCGGTCAGTACTACACATACAGATAAAAGTATTAGAAATACCAATATGCCAATACAAATATCTAATGCATTAATGCAAGTTATTTATTGAATATTCTAAGTAACTCTATTAATAGTCTTAAATAGTTTTGAATGATATCTACAGAATATAAAAAGAAACCAGACTATATATTAATATCCAAAACTATACATTAATAGAAATAAAAAAATATATTTTAAATTAACTATATGTTAATAAATCCCACAGCTATCATAATGGAAAACTTCTCGTTGTTTTATTCGAACGAGGAAGACGCTCTTCTATCATATGCTGATATCAGAAACTTCCAGAACACCTGGAACATTGTGGACGTTCACCAGAAAGGTGTGATCCCTGTGAGGAAGGTAAATGAAAAAAACACAACATATTTTGCATATAAAAGTTCTTGAAATATATAAGATGTATTATGTTTCAGGTGAAATTCATATTACGTCTCTTAAAAGGCCGCTTGGAATGCGATACGCACAAGGAAAGGTTGTTGTTTAAATACATGTGTTACGAACTGGAACGATTACATAACGGAGAAGACGTGACTTTCCATGACGTTATTAAGTAAGCTAATTAAATAAAAAAATACATATGTAATTTGTTATTGCATATTTTCCAAGTCATCACATCATAAAAATGTCATACTAGTTCAAATAATATCTCAATGCATAGAGACTTAGTTGGAGTTCAATTTTTAAAAAATCTTTTTTTTTATTCCATTTGTTACCTTACAGTATGCTATCCTATCGAACGGTTGACATACGTAAGTCCTTGCAAATGGAGGAACTGCTTGCTAGAGAGGAGTTTGAGTTTCTTATAGAGGAGGAAGTCGCCAAACAGACGATTAGGACATGGCTCGAAGGATGTCTTAAGAAAATACGAGCCAACAGCAGCGTAAGTAACAATTTTTTTTAGTATATGGGACAATGAAATACAGGAGCGAGTAACATCTTATGATTTGTGACCATATATAGAAGTACTCAGTAAATCAGTGGTGGCCTAGTGGTTAAAGAAGCCAGCAAGCCAGAAGGATGTCAAGAGACACAGTTCTATTGAGTCTTAAAACTCGGAATAAAATAAAGGATTTTATAGTCCGTTAGACTTAAGCTGAGTGGCAGAGATATTCTAGATGAAAAATAAAATAAGAAATACTTGTAAAAGGCCAGATAGAAATATAATGAATGTAATGGAAAAAAAATCTATTAATTAATAAAAAAATTAAAAAACTATACAAGTATTTCTTCACTTGACATTGCGTTTTCAACATTAGACGCTGCTATTTGTACTGGACAAAAGGGTGAAGTGCGGAAGGTGTGGGGCGGAGTAAAAGAAGTATAAACCGATTCAAATCTAGAAAACAAAGCGGCATTAAAAAAGTTTACATCACACCTACACTATCCGTGTGCACTCATACAAATGCAAAGCTCAGCTTATACCTCACACACTAGACGATTCAGACGGAACGGACTTAAGATTACATAAGAAATGATGAATTAATAAGAAAATTAATATTAGATTTAATATTTTGTTTTCTTTTATTAGAAGCAGCAGACAAGTCTCATAGCAGGGCTAAGGAAGACCAACGAACAGCCAGTTGACTTTGCCACAGAGAAAGAAAAAGAAAAACAGGAAGCGGAAGCTCAAGTAATTTATCCACTGGTCCATTTAATTGTTTCTTCTATTAATAATATGTTTTTGAATATATGAAATGTTTTTATTTCAGCAAACTGTTGCCAATTCCGGTCGTACTGAGATCACTGAATCGGCATCCCAGCCTATAATGTCAAGTGTGTACTTTTTGTTTTTTTTTTCTATTTAATTATTTAAGAAAATTTAGTAAAAAGATAGTTTATTAATATAGCGGACACGTTTTTGTGTAATGATTAAAAAGGGTACTAATTAATGTACTAGTATAGCATTATATACTAGTATAACATAGATTAATGTACTAGTATATCATCTCCTAACTAATCTTTTTGGCACCATTTTTATTCGCAGACGTAACGTCTTCTATGGACTCTCAACCGAAACGTGCCTCCGGTAAAGGGCAGTTCAAAAGATCTGGACTACCTTCAGTAACTGTACCGAGGTAAGACTACAAAAATGTATAAATATGTACACAAAAATTAATTTTTATAAGGGTTTAAAGAGAGTCATTATTTTAACAGACCTGAAAGTCCAGTGAAGAAATATTTACAACCAACACTGAGTGACCCACATCCAGCCCTCACTAAAAAACCAGCCCCACGTAAGCATTCTTTATAAAGCGACTTTATACATTAATAAATATTATATCACTTGCCAGACAATATTAGGTAGATTTTCGAAAATCAAATTCCAGAGCAAAACCTTGTTTTTTTTTAACTTACCCATTATATATACATATATTATATTATTATAATAGAAGTGTGTAGTTCATATATTATAATTTTCTCTCTTTCAGCTACTGTCAAGAACAATACTCGCGGCGGCCACACCCCCGCTCACACACACACGCACACCCAGCAGCACACACACGCACACACCAACGCGGCCCTACACGACGTGCACGCGTGGTGGGGGGCGCAGCTGGCCGCACTCGCACACTAGACATACACACACACATACACAATAAATATATATAAATAGTATTCATGAATGTATACAAGCTCGTGGAATAAAGTGTCACTCTTACATATGACTCTTCTATTCTATACAATAGTAAGCTTAGAAGGAAGTTCTTCTAGACAGCTCATTATATAGAGAACGAACAGAAATTGTCACGGGAAAATAAGTTTTAATTCTTCTTCATGTTCTAACTTCTTTGTTAGTTTTAATTTCTGTAACAGTGTTATTTAACAACATACTATTGCATTTTTTTTGTTATAATTCGCTAGTTTATTTTTTGTTTAGCATAAATATGTTGAATGAAATTTATTAATTTAAATGCCACATTTTTTGTATACTAAAAGTAGTATATAGAAAATATATAACAATTAGAAAAATCTTGTTAGAAAAATATATTAATATAAAAGAAAATAGTTTCTATATCAAAATAACCTTCATCGTATGGGGTGTTATCCGACCCTAAATTATATAATTAGCTAACTTCTTATAGGAATATTAAGTATTCCAATTTGAACCTAAATGTTGTAGTAGAAAACTAATAATTTATTTCATCATTTTATATCAAAATAATACTCAAAAGTAAATCATAACAATGTAATTAATTAATTATATTAATCATTGCAAATAATGACACATTCCTAATGTAAATAGTAATATGATAGTTGTCGTGAAAACTAAGCATATGTATCTGCCGGCTATGGGATAGTAGAACAGCTTGGCTCGTAGTTGTAGCGAGGCGGAGTAGGCGAGGACAGTACTGATGTCCTCCTGGGACGTGTCTTGGTGGAGAAATGGTCTCACACACAACTCGTGACCCACGGACTGAGTGCGATGGCATTCATCTGACAGTCTTGCCGCCTGTAATTGTTATATATATATTAGCTCTCCGCCCGCAGCTTCGCCCGCGTGCAGTTCGGTTATACCGCGTTTCCAAGAGAACCTTTCAAAAGTCTGGGATAAAGACTATCCTATGTTCTTTTCATGGTCAACTCTATCTCTTAACCAAATTTCATTAAAAACAGTTCAGTGGTTTAGGCGTGAAAGCGTAACAGAGAGACAGACAGTGTTACTTTCGTATTTATATACTAGTAGGGATGTATTTGACATTGGCAAATATTCCACAGTTCCAGTGTGAAAAAAGCCATAGCCTAATATGTATACTAGTGTCAAAGTGTTATTCGTTGTTTATGTTATACCATATTTTAATCATATATTTAATAGAATTAAGAATAAAACTAGATGTATTTTATTTGTTTCTGCCTAAGTATTTGTTTTTTAAGTTCAAAAATAGATCGTTTATGTTCAATATTGTTTCATTTAAATCAATGTTTGCTGAGAGTATAAATATTTGATGTGTTATTCCCAACCTGAATGAAGGGCACCATGACGGCAGATATCCACAGTAGTTGATTCAGTACACTGATGCCGACGATGGGTTCCGTGCCGGTGTCAACTTTATCTAAATTCAGTAACCACATAACGCCCGAAGCTGCCCACGAAATATTTACTATCGTAAATAAACAGACCGCTGGGGCTAAATCGTCATTCAAATATTTCAATAATTTACGAAATTCAGCAATCTCCTACAATAGAATATTTATTAGAAAATTGATCATTAATTACACACAAAATCCTCAGTCAATTCTGATAACATACCCTCATCCAATTCAAAGGGGTTATAGTTCGGTTTAACAGACGTTCCTTCAAAAACATCAAATGTGCTTGCAGAAGCTGTGCTTGAAGACAATAACTCGTTATAACAGTAGCCTGAACCATATCATGGATGAGTGTACATATTATGAGTAGGATCTTCAGTCCTAATATAACGTCGGTGGAACTGAAATTAAATATGGTATATAATGGTAGAAAAGAGTTTTTATATCTATAAAAAATTATATTATAACGCAACTACCTTGTTTCCATCCATTTAAATATAATGGTTCCTTTAGCCATCATCAAATTGACAGAGCAAAGAGAAATACACATCCAAATAACGCTTAATATAATAAAAAACCACAGCATGCGCAAAAGTCTTTTTGGTTTCACAGAAGGCATCCCTTGAGGCGCATAAGATGACAAAAGGAACACCTGAAATTAAAAAAATTGGTTTCAAACACTATCCCAGAACATAACGTGTTTCCAATAATTTTTGTTCCATGCTTGAATTTCAAGTGATATTCACTATGTCGAGATATTTTATGCTACACACCCTTTCCATTAAATTTTGCAACTGTTCATTATCAGCTATTCTGAACAAATAAAGTGCATAGAGGAACCCTGTAAAATGTAAAACGCTTGGTCCGATATATGTGAATGCTATATTGCCATAACAAACTTGTCTATATGAATCGTATTCTAATGATGATGACAAAGCAAGTGGTACTAATTTGTAGCAAAATCCTCTGTCTCTCCTGTAACAGATTTAAGTAAAAAAAATTAAAGACAATGTTAGTGTAGACATTTATAAAATCACAAAGTATTTTTTCTAGTTACATGAAATGAAGTTTTTGTTAGGTAAAAATAACAGTTAAAATCAATAAGAATTCTATTAAATTCATACCTGTCGGCTGAATTAATTTTGTTTATAAAACTTGTGAAAGCCAACGTGACATTTAAATTAACTTTAAAATTGTTTAAATTAACATAAAAATTATTTAAATTAATAGACAGGCCAATGAAATTGTCAAAAATGTATAGATATTTACCTAAAACATGCCATATATTGAAGAATATACCCGAGAAACATAAATACTGCAACCTGTGCAGAGTGAAAATGCGATATACAAATTGAATATTTAGAGGAGTTCGATGCGTCTGCAACCGGTCGTAATCCCATTACGGTTAACAATTTTAAATACGGAAGTAGTATCTGTAATGACGTTGACGTTAGTTAATATTTAAATATTAATAATCCTATTGCTAATTATAAAAGTACTTACTTTTGATTTACAATAATGTAATATAGCTGATGTACTCATATATTCCGTGTCCGGAGATTCTGTTATTTCACCAATCTGGACAGAGTTAGCATTTAAGATTATTGAGACTTTCTTAAAATCTTTCACAAACATTTTAACAAAGAAAAACAACTAACAATAACATCAACAACGAACGTCGTTATGAAATTGAATATTTCTATTGATCGCGGAATGAAAACTCAATTCAGTTGAGGGTAGATTTTTTATGCGAATCAAAATGAGGAAATAATAAAAAATAATATTTGACTTCTTGAATAACACACTTAAACCCATAAACTTATCACACTACATTATTTCCTTTAATATCTCTTATGGTAAATATCAAAAACACTCACTTCAACACTATGGGCATCAAGACTCGATCTGGTGGATCTCTCCATGGCTGGCACTCCCAACTTGTCGTGTCCCAGTACATGGCTATCCAGCAAATCATTAGCTGCACATTGGCATAACAAACCATTAGCCATTTTATTACTTATATCAATGCGTTAATTATAAATGTTCACATTATTTCAAGATAAAAATATTATATGTCTTAGCTTCAGATTATTTATAGTCAATTAATTTAGAACAACAACACATTTAACGATTATTTAGACTTTAGTAAATACAATTCATCTGTACTCACAACTACTGTACGATCCATTGTCGCTTTGCATAATTTATTTGAGGTATGATTTATAGTTGTGTTCCTCTCAGCACTTATAAATAAAGACTCAAAGTAATTATGAAAACATTGTTATTTAGTTAATACCCACTATCACAATCAATTTTTCAACTGTAGGACAAAAAGCAATGAACTGCAAATTAGTGCAAGATATGTTTATTTTAGATATGAACGTGTTTTAAAAACTATGATGACGTTATAAACTATTTGATGTATGTTTAAAAGTAATATGAACTTCGTTATGAATTCAATTATTATATAATTCTTGAAAAGAATTAAAATGTTTAAAATATGGAAGTTGTTATTTGTTTACTTTGCTAAATAAAATAATAAGCGACAAAGGAAACAGCCCAGTTCGTTTATCATTCCATTGAGGGAAAAACTAAGTTTGCATTATTCACCAGGCTACCAATGGTTCTTTATATGCGTTGAACTCTGATAAACTCCCATTATAAAGATAACAATGTGAGAAAAATATTTCGCTCTTGGATTTAACAATAAAAAATATGCATATTTGTTGTACTTCGTGTTGCATTCTTAAGTTATTAAGAAAATATTTAAAGAAGCATTTAAACAGTTCAAAGGTAAAATAAAAACTATGGAAATTATATTTTCTATAAGTAACCGACAGTACACTGTTCCTTTTCTATTACTCTTGTTTTAGGTACTGCTTCCTACAAGCAACACCTAAATTCTTCATAGACGTTAAGATTGAATTTTCAAAAAGCGTCTCTTAGTCGAATAAAAGATATGAACTACGATATTTTATAGAAATAATAAGTATCTAGAAAGATATATGTTAAAGCATTTTTTAGATTTTTTATTTGGCATAGTGAAACAAACTTTTTAATGTATACATTTAATTTAAAACCTATTACATTTTGGGTAATCTTTTCTTTGTCAAATACGATGTTCGTCTCACAATCTTCTTCCTCTCTTCGTAATGTTTCTGCATTTTCTTGTGAGTCTCTGAAGATCTCTTCTTGTCTCTCATGGAAAACTTCATTTCTCTATTCCCTCCTGTGCCGGTCACTATATTAGATCCCTCTTTAAACAGTCGATCTCCAAGACTCTTCTTGCTAACTTGCATTATACTCCTGATGTTATTCGTTTTTGGTGCTTTACTAAACTCGTATACTTTTTCATTGTCCTCATCTTCAGCGACAATCTCTTCTTGTTTCTTGTTCCTTATTATTTTATGTTGTTTCTTGATCTCCTTCCTCCAAGTTCGATCTTCATCTGAACTATCGTCACTTGATTCATATAATTCTCTGTCAGAATCTTTATCTTCCTCTTCTTGAACCTAAAAAACAGTTTTTATTGAAACTCCTTTGTCTTATATTATTGAGACATAAAGGGCAAAAACGAATTTAAAACTGGGTACATATGATATTGTTATACGAAAGTAAGATTATGGAAGGTCTAAATACAAAAAACCATAATCCAAAATTACTCCAAGTACGATTAAAAATATATCATTTATAATATATATATCTACTTAAAGTGTATGTCTTAGTTAGCGCAGTATAAAATAAAAAAATATATATTTACAAACCTCCATAGTCTCTTCTTCTAATTTCGACTTTCCTTTGTTTTTGTCAAATCTAGCGAGAACTGGATTGAGGAGGCGATACTCATCAGCTTCTTTATCAACTTCGAAGTCAGGATTTTCAAATAGCGCCTTATAAAAATAAAAAGCAAAATATTTTAGTTATTTTGTTTCATACATATAACTTATACTTTAGGGAAACAAATTACCTTAAATCTGTCATCTTTAAGTAGATTGGACGACTGTTTCTTTTTATTTGAATCATTATCCAACAACCGTGAAGCCAAATCTCGATTGACTTTCGGTAAGTTGTCCTCAACTTTGATTCTAGAAGGTCTTTCTTGCTCAATTTTTTCTCTGATCTTACGTTTCTTATATTCCTCAAATGCAAATGGATCCGCAATCGACTTTGCTCTTTTATATAGTCTCACGTCCACGAAGTATCTATTTTAATAACACAAATACTAATGTTTAATTAAGCATGAACATTTTCATGTATATCTAATTGTCAGTAATTTTGAACAACTGTAGTTTATATTTGAATGATTCTTATTATAATAAAACAAAATAAACTAGAATAATAAACTTACCCATGCATGTATGCCCTTAACAAATTAGTTCCCAACAAATGATCCAATCCGAGTGACTCAAGTTCTTGTTTTGTTACAAACTTGTAATCGTCATACACAGTTTGGGATGCTGAACTCTCCATTTCTTCTGTCAGATTATCCAAGAACGCACACCATCTAGGGGCTGGACCTGAACAGAAATATTAATATAATTTTAGAATTCATTTCTTTTTGTCTATGAAAAATGTATCCACATTAATAAAGTTTAATAATTATATATGTATATACAGAAAAATTACAAATATCACTAACCTAGAGATGGTATGTAATGAATTTGCATCTTTTGATCTTCAACAGCCATCATACTCAAGCCAGTGTTAGGAATGACACAGAGATCATTGAAATCAACGGATGATTCTATATTTGTGTATTGCTTTCCCTGGAAACAAAATACTTATTCATATCGTTGACATAAAAAATAAATAATTTAATTTGTTTCTATATTAATTTAACCAATGCTTAGACATAACTCAAATTTACTATAGGAAGAAAGCTTCTGAGAATACTTACAGTATTACTGTCCCATATTTTTACAACATTGGCATCCATTGAATAAACATAATCCATTTGTTTGTGGAATTCTATACACTTTATAGGAATTTCATTCATGTGGTCCTTAACTAATAGTGGTTTGCTGGATCTTATGTCATACAGTAATACATGACCCGTTGATGTTCCCACACCCAGTTGTAATGCACCATTAAACTTAATTGAAGTTATTGCTGGGACACTTGAGTTCCTATGCAATAAATTTTTGTTAATTTAATCACTAAACATTGATATTAATTACATTTCAATTGATATTATAATTTGAAGGGTACAGGGAAATCAATTTATGATTTGATTTTGAATGGATTATTTAAATTCACTTGTATCAGATTTTTTTAAATCATAAATGGTTTATTTTCTTTAGTATTTCTGATGTATAAAGAAATATATATTTATGCTAGTTAATATGAGGATGGAAACATTTTGACTACCCATATTACCAGTATTACTTACTTATAATCTGCATCGGAGCAATGTAGTGCACAATCAAGTATGCCTTGTCTAGTCTTAGTCCGAGGGTCCCAAGCCTCAACATGACCGCCCTCTGTACCAAACACAAGCAGACCATGTTCATCATTCACTCCGCAACAGTTTATCTCAGTGGCTTTCGTGACATATGGAGCTAAGAACTGTCCTAATTCTAGGTTAAGTCTGTAAACTTCCTGAAATTGTTATATAAAAGACATGATATACAGCATTTTGCTTACATTTTACCTAAGTGTAGTTTTGAAGTATATAGTTATCTAGTATAGTTAAGTTTAAAGCACCATGAATTTCTATATACACGTTATATCAAACAATTACAACTCACACTTGAAGCTCCAACAACAATAAGGTCACATGAAGGTTTATGATACTTCATATCCCTTCCAAAGTGAGGGACCCTAAGACGATAATGTCTTCCATGTCCCACATGGAATTCCACATAACGGTCACATTGTAAAAACACTATCTGAAAAATTGTGATTTATTATCATATATATTATAATACTGACCACTATGAATAAAAACTTTGATATTTTATTTGTTTTACCTTTGTATAATCCTCACTTAATATTTCAAATGTTACCACCTCGGAATCTAGACATCTTTCGAATTTCAAGGACAAGTTATTCACATCATAACACTTCACTCTTGGTTTGTAAATTCCTGTTGCCATTATATACTGCCCATCTTTGGAAACACGCAAACTTGTACTAACTCCTGGCATATCAAACTCTTGGATTAGCTCAATACGTCTTCTGAGGTCTACATTCTTCTTTAAAAGCGCTCTTTTTTTTCTTTCAGTCAGCCACTACAAAAAATTTTAGGAATATAGAAAATCTTTATAACCTAACCAACTGGGGTAATTTCTTATAAAAGCTGTAGATAAAACCACATTATTCATTAAAACTATTAACTATAGGTAAACTGTTATTTAACTTACATCTGGTAACGATTTGCCAGCGCTAAGATTGTAAATTTTAACGTTGTCTATTTCGGACACTTGCATTGTTTTTGTTTTTAAGAAAACTGGTGATATGAAAAATTATAAGACACAATTCGTTTGTTACAAAAATAAAATTTAACTCTTTGTATTGATAATGTAATAAATCCCTTTTTTATTCGTTATAAATAATATTTCAAACATTATAAGAAATAAATCGCAATAGGCCCATGTGTTAATGACAATAGTTTGTTATGACATTTTGGATGGCATTAGGTGGGCACAATTGATATTCGAAATCATTTAAAACTACAGATACTAGTTTTTGAATAAAGTTAAATTAGACAGCAATTAAAATATTATGAAATAAAACACAAAAATTTGTATTAATTCATATTAATATAATATTAACGTTTTTAATACAATTACTCGTTATGGATTTTTTCTCATCCAAGTCTACTAATCAATTACAACAAAATATTTGTAACATGGAAGTTGCCATGAGGATATGAAACAAGTACGAAAAACTAATTTGATTTAGTATTTTTACCTCAGTATATTCATTTTAATTTATCCCTACTAATATTATAAATGCGAAAGTAACTCTGTCTCTCTGTCTGTCTGTCTGTTACGCTTTCACGCCTAAACCACTGAACTGATTTTAATGAAATTTTGTACAGACATCGAATTGACCTTGAGAAAGAATATAGGATAGTTTTTATCCCAGACTTTTGAAAGGTTCTCTTGGAAACGCGTTATAACAGAACTCCAAGCGGGCGAAGCTGCGGCCGAAAACCTAGTAGAACTATAATTTCAATAAAAATGACAATATTAAAACTTATAATAATAGTTTTATAATTTAAGTTCTTTTACTTCTTATTTGGTAGTTCATATTCTCATATTAATAAATTCACAATAAATCGTATAGACCCTGAAGCTAGATTAGAACGAATGTGACATTGACATAATTTTTGACGTTATCGTTAATAGTTATATGACATTATACATAAATTGAACCTACTGAATAGTTATCCTCATGGGTTTATTTTGATAAGTTTTAACAAAATAAGAATAAAAGCATGGCTACCAGAAAAAAACCTCAATTACCTAAATCCGTTCTGGATATGAAATTTATGAAAAAAACTAAAGAGCGGATAGAAAAAGAAATAGAAAACACACAAGACCATGAGGGACTATATTCGGGAATTATCACCAATGAAATGCGACATGCTAGTGGAAATTATATATCCGAATCAAGTTTTATTTTTTGTCAAGATATAATAGAAGGAAGAGTTTCCTTCAAAGGTATGAATCCGGAAATAGAAAGACTTATGGAATCTGAAAATAACAAGGAACAAATTAATGGTGAAATGGAAAAAGACGTATCAGATGAAGTTCTGTACAAAAAAATGAATAACTTTCATAGAAGAAAACGACCTTCTAGTCCAAGTAAATATGATGTCCCAAAAAAGAAAAAGTAATGCTTTCGATATGTAAACTTTAATGTCAATTATACTGACTTGACAAGTTATTACTATAAACATAGTTAAGAGTGATAAAATCATAAAACATTGACTCCTGCAAGGTATTCACGATTTCAATGTGATTGAAGGCATACCTTAAAAAGTATTAAGAATGACTTAAAATACCAGTGAACTTTTGTAATATACATATTTTATAATAAACATATTAAGTTTTAATTTTCACTGAAGGGTTACCTGTTTTATTCCAGAAAACTTAAACTTTTTATCCTTCTTAGTGAACATAGTATAAATATCTGTATGCTATTAAAAATTTCATATTGGGTGTTGACTTGTTCAGGAATATAACGAAAAGTTTTATTTCTGTAAATAATTAATATTAATTGTTATAAAACCATATTTACTACATGTTGCTAACCATACAACTTTTTGCTACCCAAAAGTGTATCGAAATCCAAGAAACTTTTACAAAATTAAATTCCTACATTACACCATTAAAGCCTGTTTTCATTCATCTGATTAATGTACAGTAAAAATATCTTAAAGCTATTAAAATAAAACTTGCGAATATAATACTGATCAGATTACCTCATCTATTAATATTGTCAAAATATTTCAGAAATATACAATTTGAAATATGAATATATTTTCTAATGTTTTTATGGGATGATGTTGAGAGAATGATAAATAAAGAAAAAAGATAGATTTGTAGTATTTATTTTATTTGTTTACCTTACATATTATAATGGATTATTAGATGCAAATGATGTCAGTCTATCAATAAAAATCTAATGTTCCCTTAAGTCCAGTATATGAAAACTATTTCTAGTGCATATAAAATTTGTACACTAAATGGTAAGTACTGAAGGAATACAGTCTTAAAATTGGTATGAGGCCTCTAAAGATTAATATTATTTTTAAAATAAACCTATTAAGCAGGGGTTTTTTGTATTAATGGTATTAATAGACAATATTTATTGACTTTAAAGACAATGGATACTGATTAAAAAATATGGCAACTTAGATCTAACAGATTAAATATGTATATACTGTAATAAATAAGACATAAGATTAATTATAAGTATTAATATGTTTAATATTTTATTATTTAACTATAAGTGCACTGTGGTAGATTTAACACATTGATTTCGTGTAGAGTCCATGTTAGAAATAAATAGCCCACGGTGGGAACGGGTTTCGTCAGTCAAGTCCTTGTTGCATCAATGTGTGGAGATCTCTGAAGGCAGCTCCGAGCCGGCCTTGTAGGGTTTGTCTTTTGAGAAGGAATGCTCGTATATCTAGCAACAGTCTGTGTATTTGCGCACATTTGGCGTATCTTTCTTCCCTAGGTATATCAACGCCTAGAGTCCTTACTGGCGCGCTCACGTTAGCACGCACCACCGAGGAGAAGTTGCGTACTATTAGTCTCAAAGCGTTGCATCCACATTGCATATATCTGAGAATAAAAGTGATTGTTTTCTAGAAATTCATCTTACGGGGCGGATAAGAATATTATGACAGATAATAATACTTACGATTCATATTTGCTCTGCAGCAGTTCGTAAATCTTGGGTAACATTAATAAACATATATCCAAATTCCATAACGACCTGAAATTAATAAAAAGTTTTGAGTAAATATTTTAACTTATTTTTTATTATTATCATTATCCATTACACTCACGGTTTATGAGCCATCACGTTAAGAATGTCGAGTATCACAGACGCGTCTTTCTAATGCGATAACTGAATCCAGTGCTGATTTTAGGCTTTTGTTTATTCTGACGGAGTGAAATATCTGCAATAGTGAAAAAAATATGTTGAAGACCAGAAATTAAAAAAATCAAAATAATACACGAAGACATTTTGTACTAATGGCTCATTTATACGACCTCAAGCTAAAAATTGAACCAACTTTCTACATTTTTTGCATGTTTTAGTTATTAGTGTGACATTTGAAAGCAACGAGTTATGTTTAAGTCAAGAAAACAAAAAAAACTATGTTATCTAAATTTTACTTTTGTTATTGGCTCCTTCGGATTAAACAAAACTGCAAATACACACAATTTGCACATACATACACTAGTTTTAATAACATAGATTGATGATATAGGATATATAACTAGTGTTGAACCTGTAGAGCTCTTTGTCTGGCTGCCAGCACCGTCATCATTGAGTCGTGTCCCCTCATCATGACTCCTAACACTTCTTGTTCACTAGGCTCGGCCGTGTGACCTCGAGCGCCGCGACCCACGCCAGACGCACACGCACCACGCTGGAATACAAAAAAAAATACATTCAATATCAAAATTATTTATCAATTCTTTTTAATTAATTATTATTGGAATGCTTTATTCAGTTTGTACTGATGAATTATTCTTTCTATTTTCTATATCAATGTTTAATCTAGTATTAACTATATAACAAATAAGAACTAAATCTCTTATATATTCTTTATATATATAAATGGGTATATACCCATTAGAAAAACGTGATATATCAATGTTGCAGGTTCGAGATTGCACTGACTCACAAATTTATCATTATACATTTTAACTGTACGTCTAACCAGACGTCAAACTGAAATAAACCTATTTTTAATGGTTCTTAAGGTTGATATTTGTATAATTAAAATTGTTAAGTTATAGTACTGACAGGTAGGAATTCATCCAGGTCAAGTCCAACTGGTCGGTCGATGGAGTAAGGCACGAACTCAGGCTCCGGGACTCTGTCTTCAGGAGACCGGGGCGGAGGAGGCTCCACACGGGATCTGATGAATAATAATAAATTGATATTAACAATATATAAGAACGATAAGAAGGCTTTAAAGATTTTGAAGGAACTATTAAGTCATATTAGACTTGAATAGTACAGACCTTTATAATACAGGTTGTTATTTATTCTACAAATATTTATATTTAAAATGATTTATTATTGTATATGGTAGCATAACACACATACACGCACACACACGCACGGACATATACAGGGTGACTGGTGAATTATTATCGATACTTGAGGACGTGATATTTGACGATCATATATGACAAAATAAAAATTAATATAACATAAATATTAATAAACTTCTAAGTAAAGTTAACCAGAAGTTATGTAATTAATTACGCATCGTGTGAACACCTTACAGATTAGGTATACACACACACACACACGCGCGTGTGTGGCGGCGTGGTGTTGTATCAGCACGCCGCCACACGCGTCCACACTTGGAACACTTGGAACGTGTCCACGCTTTATTTATTTATACGGAAATTTGGTCAAAAATTAAGTACCTATTTTTTTTACATAATTCGAATGAGAATCATGTACCGAGTATTTTCCTTAAATATTGATAGTAATTCACCAGTCACCCTGTATATACATATATGAAATGCCATTTTTAATCCATATGGTAATATTGCTTTTATTCATTTGTCAATAATGAATATTTATATTAAGCAGTTCTGTACTACTATGTGACTAATCAAACATACCTTGGTATTTGACTAGGAGGTCTCGTGAATGATAAAGAACGTGGACCAAGAGACGGAGGTCCCAAAGATATCTCGCTATTACTCTGACGGAGATTCGATGAGGCTGAAACATTTACAAAATCATATTAATATTATGGAATAAAAATATATATTTATTACTAGCTGTTAACTGCGACTTTGCTCGCAGCATTTACTATACATATGTGCATCAAACAAAATAACAGTTATTTTGAATAGTTTTTTTCTGAAACTTAAATAACTGTTAAATAATGTAGATATCGCAATATTTCTTTTAGATATTCGGCTACATATAATTGGGGTATCTATCTTTCCAATAGTATTGCAGTGATACTTCCATAATTATATTTATATCGAGACTATATTATATTATTTACCTTTCTCATAAAATTATATTTAATTAATATAAATTAAATAATTTGTTTAAACTCACTTATTTCAGTTGATGATTTTGTTTCTTTGTATGAGTTATGTCTATTTAATGAGGAAGTTGTTAGTGGGCTCGTTGCGAATTCTTTTACAAGAGATGTTTGGGCGGAGGCGAAAACCTTTTCTTCCTTATTGCTTTTCAAAACACCTGTTAAATGTTACACATTATTTTGACGCGGTCAAATATGAATATTAAAATATTAGATAATAATAATGGAATGTCCCTCTGTGTTATTACTGCTAGTTTTGTTAAAATTTTATATATATTTATTTATATTATTATTAATTATTCTCTACTTACTACTAAAGACAGTGTTTTCTGTTCCGTAGTCCCGTCGTGTCAACGATAGATCCCGAAGTGCTGCTCCTGTTTCAAGATTGTTATCTTCACCTGCTAGACCTGTACACATTAAACATTATTGGAATAAAAGTTTTATAGCCGTTATATTATTTAAATCTTTTCTTAAATAATTGTTATAGGACGTCTTTTGACATTTCATTATTATCTCAAAGTCCGATTAAGTTAGCGAATAGCAACCAGCTTGGGCTTTATTCTTCTGTTTATAAAGTAATTTTAAACAAGCAACATTCTGTGTGAATAATTTCACATATTTTTTTTACATCAAGTTTATATAATACAGCATGTATCAATGAGTTCATGTTCTTCAGTGGTAAATTAGGTTTGGAAAAGATGAATTAGTTCAAAAATGTGGTCAATAGCTATATGGATATACCAGTACTGTATGTATGTACAAAGATATACAAAATGATTAGTTCCACAATATTTTCTATCAGTTTAGTGTTAATAAACATACGTTTAGTAATAATATTAATGAATTTCTTACCAGTCAATGAGAAATCTTCTGATGATAAGCTAGTGGCGGGAGGTGGTGTACGTGGCACTACAATGAAATTAATGCATTATTACTCTTATACTGAACACATTTCCTACATCTAGTGTTATCTACTCACAGGCTCTAGAGGGACGGAATATTTCAGTGTAGTCATTAATATTAGCTATAACAGCACCTGAATCTTCATCTGCCTCGGTCCCAGAAGTTGATTCCTCTGCCGTCTTTTCATCGAGGAGTGTTGGTCTATGCAAGACTGTAAAACAAATTTAAAATATAATGTATATATTAAAATGATTCTAACATGTTCCTGTGTTGTAATTGTAGTGTGTCTTAGTACTCTATATATACATAAAAGAAAGTTGTGCCAGTTACACTATTTATAACTCAAGAACGGCTTTAGGGATGTAGTTAAAAATGAGTGAGGTTATAGCTTAGAACCAGGAGACCTACATTGGATACTTAATTCTGTTTGATCGAAAAAAAATACTTAATAAATTCTAATATATAGTTATTTAAGGCCTTTAGTGCAGAATAAAGTTTAGCCGGTCCGCTATACATATATTTCTAATAATGAGATCTAAGATTTTCGCGAGTACACATTTAAATGAAACTAATATTTTCGGATTTTACTTCGCGTTTTATTTTTGATTAGAAACTACATACTCCCGACGTTTTTAGTTCTAGCTACTTTTCAGCAACCGTGATCACGGGCAGATGAGATGTGATCTGATGTGATCTAATCAAAAATAAAACGCAAAGTAAAATCCGAAAATATTCGTTTCATTTAAATATATTTCTAATGCTGAAATTAAAGCGGACGATGTCGCGGACAAAAACTGGTGAGATATATTTAAGTAGAGTGTTCTTCTCTGTCCTTCTAAATGCGTTAAGTGGAATATATTCAATGTTAATCTTTTACATCCATCAAAAAGAGCTCTAAAATATTACACTTATATATTAAAAAAGATTTTAACAGAGTGATATGAAATAAGTAACAAAATTGCAAAATAAACAAAAATCCTTGCTGTGTAACTATTATACTTATATATTTATATAAAGATAAGGCGGCCAACCGTCCCGCATTCTGCAGGACCGTCCCGCAATGTTAGACGAGATCCCACTTTGAAATTATTAGTAAAATAGTCCCACAAAACGTTGTATGCGTCCCGCATGTCCCGCATCCCTATTTTTCTACCAGATTTCTACACAACACCACTTTCAACAGTGCAGGAACACAGATTACCTATAATAGCGACAAGCATCTCGCCCCTTCGCTAATCTCGTTTTCTTTCTTTCTTCTGAACTCATAACGCGTAAGAGAGTACCTAAATTTAATATGGGTAGTTGCGAAGATTTTTATGACATTTCCAATCCCTAACAACCCCCCTCCCAGCCATTCACGAAAGGTTAAGTCCCGCATTCAGTTTTTGGACAGTTGGCCGCCTTATATAAAGAGAAGCTATACCATATGCTTTCAACATATATACCTTCTTTAGGCGGTTTCTCTTTAGAAAAACTCTTCCGAACAGACTGCCCTTTCTGGAATGGTGAGGTGTCTCTAACAATAGTTGGCGGCGGACCTCCAAAGGGATGGACTTTGTTGAGATCAACCACAGATAAAACAACATAGGTTGAATGGAATGAACCCGCAATCTAAAATAATTAATGATTAATGTAGTATTCAATATAAAACTATATTAAATTCGCAATATATGTAGTCCAAGAATAACAGATCTACTATGATCTAAATACATTAAATTAAACATCATATTATTATTAAACAATACAAAGTACAGTAGGACCTCGATTATCCGGACTAATTGTTGTCGGTAGGCATCCGGATAAGTGAAAGTCCGGATAATCCAATATATGAAGAAAAACGGGCTTTTTGCATATGTACATATGTAGTCTGTACCATACATATGTAATGTTAGGTGTTTATTTAAAACAACAAATACATATGAGCGAAAATCAACGTTTATTAAGAAATTGTACATAATGTACGTATAAGTGTGATAAGTGGCGTGGCGTTGTGCAAGTTCTGACATGTTAATCTATACATACAATAATAAAATTGTAGAAAAGTGCTGTCTGTACATTGAAAATAAAAAAAAAAAAAAATAACAGGGATTATTGTTATGTCGATGTCGAACCCAAAAATGTAATTAACTTTTTTTTTGTCTGTTCACGCTAATCTAAGAAACGGCTGATCCGAGTTGGATTCGGTTTTCACGAATATATTGTGGTATGCTTCAGTTATGCTTTAGTGTTTGTTTCATGTCAATCGGTTCATAAATAAAAAAGTTATGTCAAATTAAAGAACTGAAGAACTGCTTTCAATATTCGACCGGGTGTGTCAATTGTATATGGCTCTGTCCCGTGTTAGCAATCCCAGCAGCCTGTATGCTTTCACCCCCGATGGCCATACGTCTAATATTGTATATAGAGAAGCATTACAGTAAAGTAGGTTTTTTAGCTACCCAAAATTACTGTGATTATGATCCGAAATAAAAATAAGTATATATTTTAAAAAAAATGCTGCTCATAGTCACTATTCCACGCGGACAAAGTCGCGGCAAAAGCTAGTGTTAGAATAAACTCGTCGCGATTGGCAGTCCGGATAATCGCGAATTCGGATAACCGAGGTCCGGATAATCGGGGTCCTACTGTAACTATAATTCATACAAAACATATAAAAAGAAGAGAAATTTTTTCATAATAAAATATAAGTCGTCATCAGCCTATCAGAGCCCATTGCTGAGCAAAGGCCTCTTTCTCACATGGAGAAGGTTAGGTAGAATAAAATATATAGATCTAGTTTTTATACTATTGAACTTAGTTATTTAAAAAATGTAATAATATGTAATATGGAGTCTTACAAGTTGTGTCTGTGCCACTGTTATGTCGTGTATATGACCCCAGTGACCGTTCACTGTGTCTAAAACCCTGGCAGGTTCAAATCCTATAACATGTAACCCATCATTGCCACATCCTAACAGCGTAGCTCCATCATCACTGAACACCATGTGCCTGAAAACATTACAATATTATTTGACATTAACACAATAAAAACTGTAATAGTCTTATAATTAGGTTCTTAAATAAAATCAATTTTAAGCTTTACAATTTAAACAGACAATAAATACATAAGGATATCTAAGATTACTGCGTACACACTAACATGAAACTGAGTTTTATAATACTACAAGTTTTTTAATAAATTTATTTTATAATCTACATGTTCTTGATATTTCAGTTATTTTACAATAATTATGATAAAAGTTTAAACAGACACTTTCATCTTGTAAGTCGACAATGTATGAGTCCTAGTTGTGCAGTGATTTTTCATATATGTTGCCTCTATAATATCAATTCTATTTTCATATTATTATAATTGAAGTTTTCACTTACTAACCTTATTGATGTGTTCTCTTTTTCAAACTTAGATACTAGTTGGAATTTTTCCATATCCCAAAAGTTTACAGTCTTGTCAGCACCACAGCTGGCAAGTAAGAATTCATGAGGGTGGAACTTGACACAGGTTACAGCTGAAGTATGCTCCATGAACTCTTGTAAAACCTTTCCAATCCGCACATCCCATACTTTCACTAAACCTAAAAAGATGGCCAGTGTTTTATATGTAAGATATGATAAGCTAAGTATATAGTAAGCTTATTTACCATATATACTAAGATATATAGTAAGCTTATTTACCATCTTCACAGGCTGATGCTATCCATTGACCATCTGGGCTGAATTGGAGACTGTTAACTGCAAGTCTATGACCTGAATATGTAACAATGCAACCTCTTTTCCTAGTGTCCCATAGTTTTATATTACTGTCACATGATCCCGTAGTCAGATAATCCCCATAGGGGTGGAAATCCATACATTTAATAGCACCTTTATGTCCCGTGAATGTTCTTAATAACTTTGCAGCCTCCAAATCCCATATTTTTAAGGCACCTGTTTGAGAACCAGCACAAACTAAGTCCTCGGAGTGTCCAAAGCAAACACACTCTACTGGAGTTGTGTGACCACTAAGGCTCTATAAAAAATACAAAACAATGTTATTACTACTTGATCTGTATTAACCAATTAACAAGATTTAAGAAGTTTATATGTTTTAGCTTAATAAGTCTATGTTAATCCTTTTTAATTTTTGAAGAATACATACAATATTTTAACAAAGTTGTGTCAAATATTTTTGAAATTATTATCGTGCCTAACTCTTTATGGTGTAAATAATACATGAAATGTTTCGTGCCTTAAATTACAGGCAAGCCAGTATGACTTACCATTAAACACCCTTGTCTACCAATAGCCCAAAGATTAACTTTTTTGTCATCTCCACCAGTAGCAAGGACTTGATTTGATTTGTGTCCCATAGCCAAGCAGTTGACGTTTGCCTTGTGGGCAACAAATTCTTCTGCAAAAATATCTCATTGCGATTAAATCATTATACTACCCATCTATCTTATAAAAATAAAATACATACGCAATTTCCATGATCTCCTTAAGGTTTCCATTTTAATTACAACATTCCATATATGGGATAACAACTTATAGCAATTTATAGATATTGAGGGCTTAATAAACTTTCAATTTCATTGTTTAAATTCAAATCATTTAGTTATCATGATTGGATGATGTGTTTCATACACAAGTCTATATACTAAAATAATTATCTAGTTTTAATCCCGTACAGCTGTTTTATTTTCAATCTTTTTCTGACTTCACACTTCACACAGAATTTTGTTTGTGGTGCTAAACTAACATAGTATAAAATATAAATGACACTTAAGACAGAGAATAGAGCTTTTCCAAAAAAAAAATATGACAACAGATGAAAAAGAAGCATTAGATGAATTTTTTTATTAAAAAAATATTTTCAAGTAACATTAATAAATTTATTTCATTGATAAAATACTGTATAAAATAATTTATTTTTACTATTACACATATTATTAATTTTGATATCTGCTGTCATAAGACCAGCTGTTTGTTGACAGACTGCAAACCGTAAATGAAGTCTGATAATTAATGTAATGTATTTTTCAAAGTTCGGCAATTTATTTAAAAAATGAATGCGTTGTATAGAAGAACTGTTTTGTTTAAACACTGCGATTTAAGAAAGCGCTTTATACAATATGTCCAAGGTCAGGAGCCTGAACCCAAAATAAGGGAATATTTTTATTATATAGATCACCAAGGAATGGTAAGTAATAAAGTAACCTTTGAACTGGAAATGTAAAAATAATGACAACGGATTTGAAAATAAATAAAAATACTACAATAAAGGTATTTATTAATTTCTCCTTTTAGTTATTTCTAGATGATTCTAAAATGAAGAACTTCACTTCATGTTTTAAAGAGAAAAAATTCCTTGAATTCTTTTTCAAAAGGATAAGGCTGAATAAAAGTGGTAGATATGAAAAAGAATTCCCATATATATCTTTATGTGGACGAGAAAGAAACTTCGTAAGATGTGATGATGTACCAATTGTTTATACACACATTGTTAATGTAGACTCAACTGACTTTTTATTATATGGTTATACAGGTGACTCAATGAAAGTCCAATTTCAACCTGAAAAAGTTTATATGTTACCAGATACTGGTAGAGTATACCATCCAGCCGATGATAAATATGGAGGTGTGGGGCTCATTAGATCTAAACTAGCTATTGAGATAAGCAAACATTTTACATTTGAGAATGGTGAACATAATTCTCCCACTCAATTTACTTGGAAGGACACTAAGTATACTTTAGACCAATCTTGGTTCCCACAAGCAGTAGAAAAGTATAATATTAAAATAAATTCAATCCCTTATTAGTGAAAGAAGACTTAAAAGTTTGTGTTAAGATTAAATATTTAAGAAATAATGTTTTTAATTATTTACATCTTGAAATAAAATCGAATATTAATATAAATATTATTTATTTGTAACAGGTGACCCTAGCTTAAATATTAGTCAAATATTATCTTAAAATTAATATGTAGGATTAGTTATGCGAGTTGTCTTGTACAGCACTAACATATCAAGTCACTATGGTCAGTAACAAGTTAGCGGTAATGCTTATTAATATTGTTGTCAGAATTTAATTTTGTATCACAGGTATGTTATATGGCTATTACTATAAAAATATAACATTTATTTTGTTTATAATTATGTGGTATCTTCTTTTGTGAATGATTGATATGACCCTGATTGGACCCAGGATATGCCGTGTGAGCTTTCATTAGTATTTGAGGGCTTCAACATCATATTCCTGGCGTTATCATGTATACTGGGGTCATATGGTTTGAATGTTATATAGTGTTTGTCATCAGTGGGTGGATCATCATATACATGTTCAACGCTGGCCACTATGCACTCTTTTACTTTATCTATAAATGACTTTCTGTTCTTTTTTAATCTGTAACAAAGGTGTTTTATAAGAATATGAAATAAATCATTTTTTTTGTTGCATATGCAATACTTACAACATAGAAGCTTCATTGTTAACTGGTACTTTCATATTCAAATTTTGAAATATCCAATGCAAATATTTTAGTATCTGCCAAATGTGGTTTTGTTTTCTGTCCCATTGTGGAAATACCTCTTTTAGGTTCAGGATACCTGTGGTTGATTCCACAGCTGGATGAAACATTGGTGAAGTAAAAGTAACAGTCTGAAAGCATGTATAGATGTCATTTTGTGTCTATATAAAGTATTAAAATAATTATATATGAATCTCACAGGAACTATATCATCGGGAAACTTTTCGGGTAATGTTAACGTAAATCTGAAGACACCGCCTCCATATATGCCTGATCTTACAAATATTACTCCATACCACACTAAAACAAAATAACCACGTTTATAACTTAAAATATTATACATTTAAACTTTAAAAGGTAAAAGTAAAACATTATACATTTAAACCTTAAAAGAAGTAAACTTCTATTGCATAGATACAAACTTAGATGTTTATCTACATTTGTTACTTACAAAGTGAATTTTCATGTGATGGTATAACATATATTCCAGGCAAGTTTTCTGTTTGAAGCATACGACTGAAATTAGGAAATTATGTCTTATAGCTTTTATTTGAACAGCATGATATTTTAGCTTAATTGTACTTACTATTCTGCCATAATGATGTATTCTTGATGAAATATAGCGTAGTTACCTTCCTTCATTTTACTTGAATCAATGCTACTTGCTGCATTCATAGAGATTTGTTAGGTATTTATAGTTAGAGGTACTCTTAAGCTTTATTATATACTTCTCATATTATACCCCAATATCGAAAGTTTTGTAACTACGAAAGCCTTAATGACATCTACCTACTCAACTAAGATTTGACATCTGCCATGCTGACATAAGGCTATAAGACGTAACAGATAATTTAATCCTGTCTTATTATTTTATAATTGCATGACAAGCAAGGAAATAAAAGCAATATATTATAATAACATTAGAGAAATTTTAGTTAATAACTAATTGATTAAGGCATATTACAAGTTTTAAGATTATATTTTTTTTAAGCTTTTCTGGTTTCAAATTTAAAATCTATGAGAGAATTTATAAGACCTTAAATGAATTAACTTTGCAATTATATTGAGTATTTTAATAATTTATCCACATATTATTATGTTTCTTTTTCTATAATCTTTATTTTGAAACTATTTTATTAAGTAGCTTGTAGCTTTTTAGCTTTGAAGCTGATCATTTTAAACGTATATTACACACACACAGCTACAAACGTACAACTTTAAACTTTGTACATGACGAAAATGTACGCAGAATACCGAAACTATCGGAAAGCTTTTTTCCTTCCTTTACACATTTACCGAATAATTAATATTAAAATTTATTGAATAATTTAAAATACCATATTCAATTTGTCTTACCTGTTATATTTTATAAAAATAAATATCATATCATTATTTTTTAATTTGGATGTATTTTTTAATTAATTCTTTATTATTTGTGTGTTAGAAATTTTCCTGTTTAAAGTACTATGACAAAATGTATTCTAAATCTCAATGTATGTAACTGTTTATATAATATTTAAATTAAAACGTTAAAATCCGACAAGAAATGAGAACACGTACAATTTTTGCCCAATTATAATATATTAGCACTTTAAACACACACAAGAGAAAACTTTGTAGGTAAAGAATTTGCTTACATGGGTAAGCCGTGAAAAATACATTATAACATAACTATATTATTAACACAAGTGAATTAAATTGCCAATAGGTATATTAACGCTTTAGTAGATCTACGCAAAATATATTGACAGATTATTTAATATACTTATTTAATAAAATTAATAAGTAAACATATGTTTTAAAATAATTTAGGCTTCATTAATAATTATTATAATTAACATTTTAAAATACGGTTATATATGTTAATATATAATATAACATGTATATAAAATATATAATAGTGGATTAACGATCTGTAAGCACCTGATGATCTCCGGATAATCCCGCACACACTCTCTATTAGCGTAGATTATCCCACACGTGTCAAATATTGATCGTCATTTTATTGTATTACCTGGGGGTATTAAAAAGAAATTGAATTAATTAAATTTAATTTGCTTTATTATAAAACTCAACCGATTTGTATTCCTGCAATTAAATTATATGAAAACTTTTTTTTTTACATTACGAATGTTAAGAGAAATTATTATTTTATGTGTAGTATTTGAAGCTTCAAATTTTAATTACATACTTCTATTTACGCCTGTTACAGGCATAATCTAAATTGTTCTAAAATACATACACGTTAATTATTAGACGTTTTAAGTAGTTACAAATATTTTTGAATAATTATCAATTAAAACATTCACTTTAATCATCGCTTTTAACTTATTTATTTTACATTCTAAGTATCCCTACGGGGCTAAAACAATTATTAATTGTCAAGCCATTCAGTTGGCCAGCCAGACAGTTTAAATTCAGAACTATTAAAAAAATGTAGATCACAATAATTGCTTAATCTTAATCAAGTCGAATCAAATTAGACACATAGGAATAAACAAACTTGCTTTCAATAAACATTTTTATTATCAACAAATAGTTAATAATGTTTTATGTGTAATCTACTTGTTTAACGACCGTTTTGTTCTGTGAAAACAGACGTAAATTCGAGGAAACATGTGCATGAGATGGCGCTACTAGCTTTCAAGAGCCGCCGACCGGCCGTAAAATTGTACCATTTGATGTACGCTCTGCTGTCGGTAATTTAGGTATATTGTGTAAACAAAAAGTTTAATGTAGCTGTCGGCTGCATACTTATAATAATAATAAAATGCATGTCTTCCGTGCTTTATGAAAAAATCTTTTCTGCTTTCGATATACAATATTGCATTTTTGTAAAAAAATATCATTTTTAGGACTCCTAATAGATGAATTATGTATAAGTATATATATGCTAATTGCAATCTCTTGAATAATATAACTCCATACATATTTTTGTATTACAAATAATCCTGAAGCCTGAAGGGTACATACGTGTTTGTATACAAGTAAGTATCTACGTTAACTTTTAAGATATCACTTAAATTCTTAAAGGGTTGCCATTCAATATTACCTTTCGTGGAAGCCTTATAAGTGACTCTTACGAAATGCATTCAAATGGAAAATAATACATATCGTGTATCAAGGAAACCCTTTCAAAGATTTAAAAAGCTATAAGTATATTAATAATTACTTATAATAACCACATATTAAACCACGTGTATAATTTCCATAAATAAGTGTTAACTTTTCTGTTTCAATTTTCCTATACGTAAATAAGTTCGAAATATGAACGTATTATTTTAACAAGAAACAAATTAAAAAAACAATCTTGTTTTACAGGATTCTTAGATTTTATTCATTCATATATGTGATATGATAGATATGATGTCTCAGTAATAGACATTTTATAGTGAACAATATTTTATATAGTCAATAGATGTCATGTAAGTAATACATCGGGTCCGGTAAATCCGTTCCCACGCTTTGTACGTAAAACGCCCTTTTAGAGCTTCGTCCATAACAACCTGCTCTTTTTGCGCAAAAAGAATGTCCTGATAAATCACGCGTTCTTTGTAACCAAAAATCATGATAGTGTTCGCCGGTTTTTGGATTTAAATTTTTTGTCGAATATTAAAGACGTTATATAAATCTACCTGCCGAAAACTGACGGTCAAGGTGCCGTACGTCACAATAAAAACAGATAACATCAAGCCTTTGTGGACATCAACGAAATGCTCACTTCCGCGTAAAATGCTATATTATCTATAGATTATTTAATGTTTCTCGATCATCGTTGAGATAAAATGAAATGTTAGCCGAAGTTTTTTGTTACCAAGCCAAGTAGATTAAAACGTATTGAAATATCTAGTTCAATAATTTTAATCAAACTCAGAAATATTGTTTGTCTATGACTAAAATTTATATGGGTGTATAATTTTAATGTTTTCTGAAGGTGATTTAGAGAGAGTATTTTCATTAGTAAAAAGTAGTTTATGTCATCTTCTATTTTAAAGACAAGAGTACAATGTAATAAATTTAAATTTATGCATTGAATGGATTTTTAACTCCAATAAATATGTGCCTAGAGACAATAACCAAGTAAGTAATGACAACAAAAAATATATATTTAAAAAAGAATACAAAATTACTTTTTTATAGCTTTCTAATGAAAAGCATCGTTCTGACTATTCAACCTTTAAATGCTGCAATTAGCTCTGTGTTCAACGAGCATAAATGGGAACATTTCCTGAACTAAATTGGGTATAATGAGTGTAGGGCGAGGGTGCGCGGGCGCAGCACAGGTGCGCCGCGCGTGCAATAGCGCCTGCCCTTGTAAAACACCATGTGACGGACGCCTAATTGCATTTAATTGCGATAGCGTGCAAACCGTTCAAACAATTGCACCATTCTGTGTAACGTAGAGCCTCCGACTTCACTGTCTTGGTATGTTCTACTTCTGTTCAAATAATTGGAATGAAATTTAATATTTATTGAAAATATTACATAAAGTTTATTTCTAGAAATAGAATTTTACACAAACGCGAACGTTTGATGCTAAACCTACATGCAAAATATGATATACGCAGTTAATTTAAAAAATAACATTTAGGTTACGTTATTACGTAACTTAAATTTAATATATATTCGATTATATGTATATGTATTCGTTTATTATTATTAATATGTATATACATATATATTTTTTATTATTATTTATTTTTATTTTTTTAAATATTATTGGTGTTCATAACTTTTATAATTTATTTCATAAATCATTTTGTAAGAATAAATTAAACGCCTTCCATTGAATATTATGTTAGTAATCGGATAAATTATGTTCGTTATACTTTTTCTATATTTTGAAAGTTAGGTTTATAATATGAATCATATTTAAAGTTACTTACTATAGCAGCTTATTGTGTAATGAAATAATCGAAGCAGCTTAACAATTCGACAGATCTTAAAATATTATAATATTTTTTTACAATATGTATAAATAATACCAGAAAATCACACGTTCCTTTTTCGGAATTACTAGATAGTTAAATAAAATATGTAAATACTATGAAGTGACACTCATGACTCATCTCATCTGTCCGTGATCACGGTTGCTGCAATGTAACCGAAACGTCGCGTCGGGAGTATGCAAGCAGTCAAAATAATTAAAAACTAGTAGTTAATTTTAAATCTATTTCTATGAAGTGCTTTACAAATTTCAAACTTTTTTTTTGGGAAAATGTAATGCTGAGAACTATCTATCTATCTGACTGTACATATTTGAATAAATATGAGCTGAATTAACTTAGGTAGGTACAGAATACATTTCATTTGTTTGTTAAAAATGTTTAAGAACTGTTTGAACTACAAATAAGTATATTTTATTTGTATTGAGACTTCTTAGAGTACATATTCATTTGATTAATCCACTCAGAGTAAATTTGGGAAAAGATATATAAAAAAAACATTTTCTAAACATGGAAAAAGGAGAAAAACGAAATATAATAATTTTTTATTAATTATAATATGCATATTTATTTTACATATACACATACAAAATCTTAAAAAAATAAATAACATAGGTACTGACAAACATTAACATAATAATTTCTATATCAACAAATCTTAATGAGAAATCAAATAAAAATTATGTTATGAAATGCAAATTGTAATGTATAATGTTATAAACTATTTACGAACGTAGTACCGGACTTGCGTAATAAAAACATTAGTATTAAATGATATAGCCATCAACTAATGACTATTACACATTATTTATAGATTTCCACTTGTTTATTTATTAGAAATACAGTCTAGACTTTAAGACAAAAACGTCATTTTAAATGCAATTTGTTATAATATTTCTTCTAATCTTGGTATTGACGCGAATTAATTACACAGTACATATTTTAAATAGTGGAATATTATTGAAATTTATGATTATACGTCAGAGGTAACTACATAGCTATTAATACTTAGTCTTTCTTATAACTAACATTGCAACGACAAAGATACACCATAGAGAAAACAATGTATCGGAACTATAAACTACGTAATTAAAACATTTATTTGGTTTAAATTTGATGGTATTTGGCATTTACGAGATGAGGGCACCTTGGGAATGTGGTTTGATGTGTACTGGATGTGTAGCGTGAGGATGTGCCGGGTGTGTGGGGTGTGGAGGCTGGCGTGCCTGGTGACAGCGCTGAGCATGGACTTGGGAATGCGCGCGCAATTCCTCGCCATGTTCGCGATAAGCCCGCTGCTTGTCCTCGAAATCCCTCAATCTCTGGTTGTATCTCTCTATCTGGTCTCGTAAAGCTGCGTCCTCAATCGCCGCTCGTTCTTCATCTAATTCCAGACAGCCGACTCCATCCAAACGTTCCAGATCGATCCAACCCCGCCACCTCACACAGACTCCATTCATTATGAATCGAGACACGATATGGGCCTGATGACAAAAAAAAAGGTTGACTTTCATATAATTAATGACTACGTTTGTAACTATGCAGAAAGATTTCGTTTTGTTTAAATCCGGGTAGATTTTTTTGTATACATCTCTTAGTTTTTGTTCTCATTCTTGTGCTTACATAATATCTTAAAAGTATCACTTATTATTATGTTTAATGTTGTATCTTCGGAGCCAATATTTTTTTACAATAACTTTGAGCAGATGGAAGGCGTAACATTTCCAATTGCATGGTAGGCCTATCTGGATCAGTTTTTTAAACACTTCTTTGTAATTATTTTCACAATGGTTATTTTTATTTATTATAATAAATTGATATTTAAAACACGACTTATTTTTAGACACAGATCGCTGGAGGCTGAATAGATAATAGAATTATCTGTAAAATCAATAACAGTAAGCTCTTTTTCAACATAGGAGTATCTATATAATAGGTATAGGAGAGGGAGGTGACGCCGACGCTTAGCGTCGCGACGGCCATATTGTGTAAACAGGCGTGGCATCTCACGCCCTCCAATCCTACGGGAGCTTTTCCTTTATTGATTTTTAAATTTTCCCCTTACCCTCCAAAATCTCATTCGTTTGTTTACCCCCTAAGTATGATAACTAGAAAATTTAATGAGTTTAAGAATTCTGTTTTTAATATTGCATTAAAAATATTCAATATATCGAGTAATTTTGTTTTGGTTTCGTAATGTTAAATAATATATCCATTATATTTCGTTTAGTACTTTAAATAATATTGAAATACTCTTACTTTATCCATACCTAATTATTATACGGGTACAGACACTCACGTCTCGTTTGCCCGTGATCACGTTTGCTGAGAAGTAACCGAAACGTCGAGAGTATGTAGTTTCTAATCAAAAATAAAACGCGAAGTAAAATCCGTAAAATCATTTATAATACGGGTTATTACACGGAACAAGACATACAAACTCTGTGTGAGAATATAATATACCTAAGTAAATATTAAAATAACGAGACTAAATGTCTACATATATTAAATATTAATATATTTATCGTGAATCGTAAGTAACATCCCTATAAGTTTTATGAAATTGTTCAACAGAAGAGGGCTCGAATACACTCGAGTGATGTTAAATGAACTGAGTGTAAATAAATATATAGATGCACAGCGGGGACATGACGTTATGAAGGGGCTGGATTCAATAAAAAATTTCATTAATTCAATGCCTCTTTCATTCGTTAAAACCAGTTGTAACATTTCAGTTACATTCTATTCATATATGCTTAACATTTTCTTTTTTTATATAATATATGAAATCGCATAAGGATAAATAAAATATTTAGATGAGATATTAGGCTTGTTTTAAACGTAAGGTTAGTGTATTTTTATCATTTTAAGTTGTGTAAGGCATTACCTCTTAATAAATGTAGAGTCACCATATTTACACAATAATTATGTAATAAATTTTGTTATTTGAGGAAAAATCTTTATAGGAGGGAATTCCGCACACCTTTCACATTTGTTTTGCCTTTGAAACTGTATTGAGCAATCAAAGTATGCTGTTAAATAAAAAAACGGAAAAAACGGCATTGCTATTTATTTAGCGGATTTATAATAATACATTATTAAATCAACAATACCGACATATCGTAAGGTAGAACTGATTTTTAAAATAAATTCGTTTATGTATTTATTTTTAAAAATATCTTGCAAAACTTCTTTTTTATTAAATCTACGGCATCACATTAAATTTGCGAAATATTATTCTAAAGTCAATGTATTTATTTACTAAATTCCAATTTCATTATGAATATTCTGAAACGAGAAGTAAATATTATCGAAAAGCTATCAATATCATTTAATTGAAATTTTATTATAATTAGCAGAACGATTTTAACGATTGTACAAACGTAATATGAATCAACACGGACATTAGCGTAACCGGTATAAAGAGAGTTGTCATTCATTGAAACACGTATTAAGCAACTTGGATGCGTGACCGACGCGTTATGTTCGGTGTTACGAGCTAATATTTTTTTCATTACCAATGTTATTTATGTCTTAATATCGTTTATACTGCGGACCGGACATTCTAATGACGTGTTGAATTCCATGAGTCCGTAGCCGGACTTACTAATGTTAGGTAAAGGTAATGAACATTAGATAACTTGATTTACTATTAAATTTAAATGAATGATATGAAAGATGAAAACATAACTGGAATTATAAATCAAATTAAGAATTAAATTCATTAACTTCAAAATACGTGTCTTAAGGTTATCTTAGTTTATGACTCAGTCGAGGCCTAGAAACGTTTGCGTAAAATATTTGAATCATGTCCTTGTTGACTTAAGTTTTTGTTAAAAATTCAATAATAAAGCGATAATAAGCATTTCAAATATGATGTTGATTGAATTAGACATGTATTTCCGATGTTTGTACAGATCCTTAATATTGTAAGCGTTATTTGTCATTACCAATGAAATGACTCATAGGTAAATACGATTAGTTCAAACAAAGGAGGAATATACAAGTCATATAAACACAAGTGTATTGATAAATATAATAACGATTGCCAAAATATTATTGAAGCCAATTTAGGCGTATCTGGGTAATATTTATTAAAAAATAGGCTGACTGGACATCCAACAAAATTTCTAGGTTTTGTTTATTGCTTCCCGGCGTCGGGACGTGACGACCCCATCGCCCACCGGTGTATTCCGGTGCAATTAGTCACGGGGGGGAAGGGCCTTGACCTCCTCGTGGGGTCTTGGCCCGGGCTGAGGGTGCAGCCCATGGAGGTGGGTAGGACGAGGCTCGGCGGTGTACACCGCCGCTGCCAAGTTCGGCCCTACGTGTTGGCGGGTGGCCTCGGCCACTGTCGGCGCAGTCCGGCGTCGGGACGTGACGACCCCATCGCCCACTGGTGTATTCCGGTGCAATCAGTCACGGGGGGGAGGGCTGGGGGTACAGACCTGGGAGTAAGACGGTCACGGATCTGGCAGGAGGCCGTCCGTGGCTGTCTTGGGGGGGAGGGGATACTCGGGTCTCTCCGGAGGCCTGAGTTCGCTTGTGGTCGGTCGGTTTCCTCTCTGTCTGTCGTCGGGCGCTTGCGCTCGTCGGTGGGTGGTTGGAGACTGGCCGCGTGGGCTTGGGTGGGAGGGGTAAGGGGTTAACCCTCTCGCGATTAAGCAAGCCCGCCAGGCGGGGGGACACTCCTGGTCACTTGGAGTGAGCTCTCGGGGGGGAGGTGGCCGTTCGCGGCCCGCCGCCGGATCGTCGCGGATGCATGCTTCGGCGTTTCCCGTGGCGATCCACTTGGCGGCAACGGAGAGTGACCGCTGGTGTTTTAGTGGGTAACATGGGCCCTTCTGGCCGTGAATCCCACATAACCGCCTCTGTCTCCCCTAGACGGAGGGGTAGGTATAAAACCTTTCACCGCGATAACAAAAAAAAAAAAAAGGTTTTGTTTATTGCTTAGGTTTTCAAATTTAGTAGTATGTAAGAATGAATGAATTTACTATGTGTGCTACTTAATTTATTTAAAAGAATACTAATATGAAAATTTACCAGGATATTTTATTACGCTACTTTTATATATATTAAAGGAAGAGGAAAATTTATTTTTATTAATCTTTGGAAACATTCCTGTACTTTAGTCTATCTATTATTGAGAGTACCTAGTTATAATACACGTCTAAAAAATAACAATGCCTCTAATTAGAATTAAAATTCTAGGAATGTATCCTGTTCGTTATCTTTACTTCTAGGTAAATTAAACGAGATGATTTAATTTGAAATTATACGTAACGCACAATGTAAAAATAGGTTTACAAATTTTGAACTAATATATATAACATTATAATCATTTTCCATATAATAATAATAATAATAATAAAATAAGGATAATAACAAAATATCGATATACCTTGCCGGTTTCCTTCTGGAAGTCGCATCCCCTATTGTTGTAGGGCGAGTGATCGAACACTAGCTGTAAGTTTGTTCCCGTGGCTGTGAAGGCGATCTCCGTGTGTCCTTCCCGACAGCCGCTGGTGAACCTCATCTGACGCTCTTCAGGCGGACGATCTCGGTACCCGGTGTACCTCACCTGATAAGAAGCCATGTTTGAGGAAAATACGAATAGGAAAAGATAACACGAATGTTTGTTAGCTCTGTTATTGTAATTTTGACTTATTTTAATATTATATGATTTCAAATATATATTAGTTGTTAGTGATTAATATCATATTATTAACAATTGGTTGTAAGACATTTTACATTTTAGTAAAAGCTTAAACTGACTCTGAATATTATGTAGCCGATTTTAATTTATATGCTTAAACAATTCAAATATTGTAGAATATGTTTTATTAAAACTCACCTCGCTCTCCCTACTAAGTCTTTTAAACAGATCCTCGGTTTCAAATTTACTCTTCTGATCGGGAACAACTCGCGGCATCTTAAATATAAAACGCTGTTTCGGTTGTTCATACAATCCGATAGAGTCGAAGGGTAACATTCCTGCTAGAGCAGCGGGGTCACCCATAGCGTGCATCACAATAATATGTCACACGATCACACTATTCAAGCATCACTTTTCACGAAGAAACTACTGATTCCGCTGAGCGATGATTCAGAAACGGCAATGAATTTCGCTCTACGACAACCTGTCACTACGGCCTCCGACCACTGAATGTAAGTACGAACGATCGGTAGCAGAGAGTTTCCACCAGGGCGGGGTCTCATGATGGTGGGGAAGCAGGGGCCAATGACGGTTCTCTGCGACGCCTCTTCCACAGCCCCGACGCCTTCTTTGTGCAATTTCGGGAGCTTTGGAGCGGAAAGAGGGTTTTCACCCCTCGACATGTTTCAAAATAAATATTGTAAGCAACAAAGCATATGAATGTATAATGATGGGCATTATGCTTTTCGACGTTTGAAGTGTTTTATGTACATGTATCAAAACTTTTGTTCCTTTGTAAAAAGATAAATATAGGTACTTTATATACTAATATAATTGAAGGGGGATCCTGATCTCAGGGTCCGATAATGTCGAAATGTGATATTTTTAGGACAATCTAAATGTATGTAATAATAGGATTGTACGTACCTTGTAATAAACTAAATGTAGCTGAAACAGCGTGCAACTAAGTACGTAGTGCTTTATATTATTTTTATTTTTTGGATAACAAATACGATTTTAATTTATAAAAAAGTCTTTTGGGTGAATTATTATAGCTACATATAATGTTTGAATATTATGATCTTATCATTATAATAACTTGATCATTAATATTAATATAATTGAAACAATAAATGCGGCAACTAATCTTAACAGTATTAAAATGAAGAAATCTTGTTTTAAAATAAAATAATGACCACGTGAGATTACGTGTTAGATTAACAAAATGCTTTAATGGATTACTTGAGAAGGCGGCGGGATTGTCGTGAAATGTATCAAATGTTTCACAGATATCAGCAAGAGATCAATGACAGATAATGCACTGTGTAAGTGTTAGCATTGTTGTTGAATTTACAACAAAAAAACTCCAAGGCTGCCGCTCGATCACTTAAGTAGGTGAGCACACATTGTCAACTTAATTATTTGTAGACGTCGAAACGGATTCCATTAAAAATAGCTACTTTTTTTAAATACTTAGTATACTCGATACTGTTCTTTTATTTGTCAGACTCATGAAATGATAGTCGTAATTTATATCTCTGGAAATTACTTCATTATATAAGAGGTTCTTATATTAATTTTGAAGTATTTAGGTACTTAAATTCTTCATGTATTTTTAGATACTTGAAGTAGAGACAATAATTTATTTTAATAGAACAAAATAAAAAAAAATTGTCTAAACATTTATTAAGATTTTTAAAATAAGTAGCTTATGCTTATTCTTCGTAAACATATTTTTTGCAGGCTCATAATGTTCACTTTCTATTTTATTTACTTGTTTTTTTTTTTTTTTCAGTATGTTTTTCATTATAAGATTGGGTTTAACTTTTCATAACGTTCTTAAATATGAGCTTGTCTTTTGATCTCAATAATCTGGTGTTGCGTTAAAAATTACATTATAACTGGTTTATAAAATGCGCTTGTGAGTTTTTGGTCCAAAAATACCATATTAATATATTTTCACAACATTTGTATTTGAGAACTCTTTCTGTTAACAAAATTGAAAACTTGAAAAGTAACCATTTACTTAACAGAATGTTGTTAATTCATGGAATTATAACGTGATTTTATAGAACAATTAAATGATACTGTGTCATAATATTAAATATGGCGTGGCAGCTTCTTGCTTTCACATTTTGCGTTTTAAATATAATGAACTCCTAACAAATCCTTCTTACCGCCAGGGACCCGAGTATACGCTGATTTATATGACCAGGAATCGAATCTATAACAAACCATTTTGAGTTAAAATTTCACAATGAAAAAAAAATGCACTAAAAAAGTTATGAAAATGGTAGACGTATGGATCAAGTGAGATTATAGCAACTAATCAACTCTTAAAATAGAGAATACCGATTTTTCTAATCAAAAGGATTTTCTAATATGTGACATTCAGACATATTGCTACAGTGTTACATTCACGTAATTAAATATTACTCAAAACAATTGAAAAAGGATATGGTACACAGATGCTGGTATCATACATTGTTGGTTGGAAGGCTCGTAAAAAGAGTTTCCCTGAATCATTAAGAATAGTATCACACATTGAAGCTTTCTAAGATCTACCCAAATTAGGTACATCAGCATAACAAAGAAATGAAATGGCCTCATAGTAACAAAGCATCATATAGTTTACGATACCTGTCTCTAAATTAGAGGAGATACGATTGTAACGTCGCGACTGGTCATAGAATTATCCAGTTTTTGCTTCGTAAACTTAACTCCTTATATTATTATCAGTAAGCCAAATTATTAAGGATCAAACTAAGAACAAGTCATAATTTCATCATAAGATCAGTATTTTGTTTTATCCACAGCTGCACATAATAATGATCTAACATTAAAAGAAATTGTTTTCTAAAATTTCTCTTCTTCGAACCAAAAGTAATTATTCAATAACCATAGGGTAATAAACTTTATTACTTGCCAAGTTTTTAAAATGGGTTAACAAAGTGTTGCCAAAAAGATTTCCGGGAGTTTCTAATTTTTGAATAAATGAATAGCAATTTTACATTTTTATAAAATCAACTTTATGCCTTTTTGTGTGTGTTTATCCATTAATTCGAGGTAATTCGTTCTTCCTTAGATTTAAAAATTATTAGGTATGTGATAAAATCGCAAAATTTTTGATATGAAGGTTTTCTCTTTTTCATTTACTTATTTCCAAAAATGTATGCAAAATCACACATTACTTAATTCTATTTACATTTAAGATACTGGTTATTTTTTAATATCAAACGTTTATAGTGTTCAATTAATGAAAAATTTATAAAATGAAAGTGTGTTAGTAATATGTAATACCTACTTATTATTTATGTTCCTGTATTAAATCATGAATTATGAGATAAGATAAAGAAAAAGAAAAAGTAAAACATATTCTTATTTTTTTTAGATATAGATATTTATATAAAAATAAAAAAAACAACGTAATAAGTATGGAAATAAAACTGTTGATACCTAATTGATAGCGGGAATTTTTAGCGTCATAAATTTTGATTGACATATAAAAAAGACCTTATCAACACTCAAATGTATAGATAATAACTAACTTAATTTATATTTACAAAATTGGTTTAGCTTTCTTTTTAGTTTCATGAAACTGTCTCGTAAGTATTTCGTATTTTTGTATAAAAAAAAAGATATATTATTTAATATTTACAAGCATAAAAATTATTATACGTCTCTTTAAATAATTGTAACATTTTCATATTTCTTCTTTAAATTGTAACGTATTGATTATTACAACGAGCGACACGTGTCTGAAAGCTCTGTCGTTTGATCTTAATCCAACGCGTAGTGCGGGGGATACATGGAAGAGCTAACACGCGGCGCCAGTTGAGTCTTCATTTATAACTGAGGAAATTGTTTCAAAATCACGTTCCTGCTTAATACAAGTCTAATCCTTGGATGATGCTATATTATCGTTTCGATTTATTCATTTTTAAAAGTACAATTACTTAGAATTTGTAACATATATGGTACATATGTATGTAGCAGAGCTGCATAGTTTTCTTTGAAAAGATTTCTTTCATTTTTAACTTCAGGCAATTTGAATATACTGTTAGGAATGATAAATGAAATTAAAAATTGTACTACTAACATTATTTGTATGTCGTTAAATATAGTTTAAGCAACTTCTAGAAGAAAAGGCAAGATGCAGTAAACAAAGCATCGAGAACTTTAAAGGGACACGACCTTCAGTATTGAAGAAAAAGTCAAAGACGAGTAGGGAAGAGAAGTACAAGTCTTATGGTCATACTTCTAAAAGTAGTTTCTTAATAAGTTAAGAACTACGTATTTACGTCTTGGCGTTTTATTGTTGATAAAAAATCAATATGAAAAGGTTTTTTTTAGTATTTCTCATTCAAAAATGAAAACATTTCTAACAGAGGAAGTATAATATCATGCAAAACATATGATTACAGATATTTCGTTCGACAACCTTCGTCAATAAGAAATAGAGAAAAAAGAGGGGACTGTTCAGGTAATATTTATAGTATAAATTAAAACTATTATGTATAACGTTAATATTACTATAAAAATAACACATTCTACATTATATCATTAACTGCTTATTTTTTACACATAAATATGAAATAAAAAACATAGAAAGTTGTAGATTAATAATAATAATAAAATTGTTTCTGTTCGTATTATTTTGGTTAGCGATCTCTCGACCGAAGTATACTCTACAAGTTTAACGAGAAATAATTTGTTGTAGAAATATAAATTGTAAGTATAGATAAGTGATTTACCTTTTCTATACAGCATATGTTTTATTTCGTTTCTGTTATAAAATATTTCACATGAAAATCAAACAAAAAGACATTCAAAGAAACCTATTGTAACATACAACCGTATATGTATGTATTCTGGATCGTCTTAAGAAGCCGATAGTATTCTTAGGTATCAATTGAGTGTAGAGCTATATTTGTATTGGTATTTTAAATTGTAAAACCTTTACTATAATGGAAAATACTGATTAAATAGCATTAACTAATGTTAATAATAATTTCGATCTTAACACAGAATATAAAACAAATTATGTTTTTTCAGGTTGTCTTGATTTGGCCATAATTATATTATAAATTAACTTTGATAAGCATTTCATTTGAAAAAGTACTGATAATTAAAATTGATATTATTTACATATAATATTTGTACACGTCCAGCTACCAGAAATACACATTTGTAGGACATGATAACGATTGTAGTGTGAACAATGAAATAAATTTAGTCCCACGCCTACGCTTCACTATTATATTGATTACATCCATGTAATCTTTCTCACTTGAAATTCTAAATATATACAAGGAAATTATTCGAATTTAGAAGCAGAGACACAAATTTGTATTCCTTTTCAATATTTTTTTGATTATCTACATCGTTAAGACCAAGATTTTCATATAAAGCTTTAAGTAAAAACTTAATTATTATTACAAGTTATTTCTTCAACTGTAATAAGAATTGATGCATACAATATGGAACATTGTCACAGAGATTTATTTGAAGCATTGTTACAAAGGGTTTAACAAACAAATGCAATTCTCACCTCGGCTAAGATTTTTTCTAGCAGCTATCTAATAAATCAAAGCATTGTTAACAACTGGTTAATTTCCATATTTACTTAGTAACAATGACCGTGCAGACATTTAATTAATTGATCTATAAAACTTTTCATAGT